TATTTTTAAATGTTAAGGTTTTAAATTATATTATATTCAAATTCTATCACTGTTAAATTATATATCTGCTTTATATGGGCTTATTAGCCTTTTGCAGATTATTGACATAGACATAGACATAGATATACCAATCTGGACTGATACTGATATTGTACTTGGCTGGAATATAATTTGATGTGGAATTAATGACCATAGAAATGTTTTAATCTTCGGCTATTTATCATTTTGAATTACATGTAATTTCATATATTTCACGCATTGTGTTGTGTTTAAACTATTTTTTAAACGAGATTGCAAAATCATTTTGATTAGCCCATAGATGACATCATGTCTGTAAAGTATTAATAACTGACCTCTCTAATGTTTAACGATATCTATCTGTTAGTGTTGTATAATCACGTTTTCTTCATGAAAACCGCATGTTTGATACTAGTGCTAATATAATTTTTATGATCGACAGTGTTTTGGTATGACTATAAGTATTCCGTTTCAACGGTCATACCATAGTTTGACCATTATCGATATCCTTTTAAAGTGTATCGCTTATATTATACGTAGACAATGCACAAAAATGACATAGACCTTTTTCAAAAAGTTTTTGCCACCTGAGTGATGTCACGTTTATGCAGAATACTTTCAATATGCTAAAACATTAAAGTGGCACATTAGATATGACATTTTATTATTAAAATACCTTGTCGAATTCAAGAAGCTTTGAGGAAAAATGTGATGATAGTCAGTAGTAAAATCTGGTCTCAGGTAAAATATATAAACACCCTGATACCTCTATAGTCTATATTTTTCATTGTTTGGGGTTTTATAAACCATAAGCAATTATTTCTTGTTCGACTCATGGCCATGGAAGGAATGAATTCTTAAATGGAACTTTCAAATACTAAAACCCTAATACGTCTGAAACTATGAATCTATAAATAATTCACACAATTTTGTTGAATCTGCTTGTCCAATATTTTAAAAATTAAACAAAAACTAAAAGAGCATACTTATGTAATAACTAATTAGCGGCTGAAAATTACATTTAAATTATAATAATATATTCATAATGATTTATGGTTAATATGCTCAGATCAACGTTTGGGACTAATAAAAATGTGAAAAATCGAATGAAACCTTTTTACGTTTTTATGTCACCACCAAAAAGTGTTTAGACTGACTTCAATGTTTTTAAATCATTTACATGTTTTCAGAAGTTCAAATCTGCTTTGTATTTAAGATTTGACCGTCAATGACCTTTTCAAGATCAAAAAGGTCAAAAAGATATTTTTTCAACTTGCTTCAAATTGACCAATTTGTTTTCAAAGTCATCTACAAGTTATCAGAAGTTCAAATCTGACCTTAGATTTGAGATTTGACCTTCAATGACCTTCTAAAGGTAAAAAATGTCAAAAAGGTTTTTTCAACTTGCTTCAAATTGACCATTTTTTCAAAATCATCTACAAGTTCTGAACAATTCAAATCTGACTATGGATTTTACCTTCAATGACATTCTCAAGGTCAAAAAGGTATTTTTTCATCGTGCTTCAAATTGACTCATTTTTCAAAATCATCTACATGTTCTCAAAAGTTCAAATCTAACTTTAGATTTAAGATTTCACCTTCAATGACCTTCTCGGGGTCAAAAAAGGTATTTTTCAACTTGCTTCAAATTAACCAGTTTATTTTTTCAAAATCAACTAGTTCTCAGAAATTCAAATCTTACTTAGATTTAACTCATAGTATTGTGAGCAACTAGGTGGTGACATTTTGTCATGCCTTGTTTGACCCCTTGTAATCAGAGACATATTTCGACCAAAAAGCCCGAGATGTTTTCAGCAAACGGCACTGTTGTGAACTGAACCGAACTGAACTTTATTGCGCTATGGATATCCCAGAGTCATACCATGGACTAAAAATTGTAACTCAAATGAAATGAAATGAAATATCAAATTGATCTCTGCATTTTTCACTTAGAATTTGAATAGCGAGTTTTTATTTCCGAACAAAAAATGCAAAACACGCTAGAAGTGATTAATATTAAGTTATTAGTTCGAATCTTTTGGATCGCTGATTATGAATTATGCCAGTAATAATGTCAGAAAATAAGACACTTTCAATGTTGTCGTCGATCAAGATCAAGGTCGAATATCGAGTTTAAACCCCTGGAAGCATTCTTCAAAGCACACAAGAGGTGATCAAAATAATATTCCAAATCTTTTGGATCGCTGATTGTGAATATAAAGCCAGTAATAATGTCAGACAATAATCCAACAATCCAATGTTGATATCGGTCAAGGTCGCTAGAATATCGGCTATTCTCATTGCAACTATCAAAAATACATTTTCATTTTGTTTTTGAGTCACCATCTTATTCGAAATTGATTGAATTATTAGATCATTGTGATATCCTGGTTCCTTCCTTTGCACAATTTTCTCTGTTTCCATACATTTTACCGACATCTATAAAAGGAGTGGTATCGATATGGTGAACTTTTTGAACACGCTGTCTCGTTCCAACGAGGTTCGGAAAGACATTTTATTTCATCCTCAAGAATTGGTAGAAAGGAACAAAAAACAATTGCACTAAAAAACAAAAAATGTTAACAAAAATAGTAATATAAAAAATATATAAATAATTTTTTGCATTAAATTGTTGCCAATCAGTCAACATTACATAAAGGACCGTGTTTTTTACAGAATGTTTTCAATAATTGGTTTAAGAGAAAAACATTGTTGACTTCAGTTCGCCATATCCATACCTATCCTTTGCCGTTTAGTTCTCAACTTAACGTATATCCGAACAATAAAATGCAAAACACACAAAAAGTGATCAAGATATTAGTTCAAATCTTTTGATCGCTGATTGTGAATTCATAGTCAGTTATTATATCAGCGATTGGCGATCAAAAGATTTGAACTAATATCTTGATCACTTTTTGTGTGTTTTGCATTTTATTGTTCGGAAATAAGACCAAAACACGCTATTCAAAGTTTGAAGTGAAAAAATGGCGGACGTTTTGATTTTGAATTTTATAATCACGACATGACGGCGTGATAATAAGGTCAAGGTCATAACACCATATATAACAAGAATATCGAGGTTGCATTCTGGGAGCCAATGCTCCTTGGTTTTGAGTGTAGCCAAACACGCATGCATAGGCAGGCAAGTCGGTTGTCATTCTGACAGACATACGTAGACACACTAGTTACCGGGACAGAACAAGTTCCAAGTATGTATATTTACTCTCACTTCATCACTTTTAAAGAGTAAAGTCACCGCATTAATTGCAAAATTAACACTGAAAGCGGGATACTTGGGACTTCTTCATGGGTAAGTAGATAGGTAAATATGTGGTGTTATCCCATGATACTACTTCTTCCCGGTGAATAACACCCGGGAATATTTTTGATATTGAAAAAATCGTATTGTCCCGCCCAATCCCGCTCACGAAAATCTCATTCACCTCCCAATACCGCTCATGAAAATGGTATTCACCTCCCGGGATTTTTTGTCAGACAGAGTTTCCGTCGGGTCGATATAGCGTGCTATAAGTATAATGATGTTCTCATGTTAGAAACGATATTTTCAAAACAAGATTGAAAAAGGTAAGGCGATTTAGAGGAAGTATGAAGATTGTAAGCCTATTAAACATAAGCGAATTGTAATTTCATCATCATCATGTTATATCGCTGACACGGACAGTCAACGTCATAGAAATCTGAGCAAAATGCAAAAGCCCTGTGATGGGCATGTATAATGTATTGTCAAATCGGATGTTGATGTGTTTTTATGTCATACAATAATTTTTTTTCAATCAGATATGGATTTTGGACTATTGTATTTTATGAAGAGAGTCATGAATATCATGGGATAAAAAGCTCATAGCTACTGGTCGGGATTAAATATGGGTTTATTCCTCGTGGAAATATGATATTTTCCGAGGGCCGGAATAAAACCCATATTGAATCCTCCCAGTAAATAACCCCTATAAACTCAATATGCCAAAAGGTCCAGAGTTGTCTAGATTGTGCTATCCTATGGTATAGAATCTCTTTAAATATATCCAAGACTGATGTCACAATAAATCAAAGTGAAGGCCATTGTAAAGATCACTTTAACTTGTCAATAATTGTATTTACTATTGTTTTCAGAAATAGCATTATTAATCAAATGAATTAATGATAATCTTCTATGGCTTTACTCATATTTGAATGAGGTGTGATAGATGAGCTGACAGAATATGCTAGTATAGAAATATGTAGTCTCTCAACAATTAAATCCATCCTCATTAACATTCTCCTAGAACAGACAGTTTGATGTGACTATTTGTTAACATGTATTAATTGTATCATTTTTCATAATTCTCGGAGACAGGTGCAAATGAGAGTGGGTTGACTTGTGATTTCATCAGGATCTGTAATAATTTATAATAGTACATTTACTGCATTGAAGTAACATATTTAGTCGCCTGGATCAAATCGCTTTGTTCAAATAATGCTGATGACCTCCTCACACAATTTCTTTGCATTATTCTAATATTTTTCTAAAAATTTACATAACAAAAGATATAATAGATTTGAAAGTGGTTTGTTACAGGTTACAGTGTATTGTTGTAAATCCACATCATGCTGACAAAGAACACGTAGGTATTAGGATATTTATGAATATTAATGTGAAACTTAAAGTGAATACGGACGTGACAAATATGGCAAAGTTAAAAATTCTAAATGGTAAATACCTCCTAATTGATAATTCAATGGAACATAACGTTATAAAAACATTGAAAACAATGCCATAATTAAGTCTGGTATATCCGTTTGATGATTGTTTAACTAGCAGTTGAACATAAAGGTGTATATAATATATCTATGTAAACATTTAATGGTGTGTATAATTACCATTATTGTGATCAGAATATGAGCTGATGTGCAATTGGCTATGAAAGGCGTGGACTACATGCTTCTCTGCAGGACTCTGGTAATCGTAAACATTTATTTCTCATATACTAGTTTTCCATTTAAAATTATTTAAAGAGACACTCAGTCACCGAGTCATTGAAACATTTATTTCTCATTTACTAGTTTTCCATTTAAAATTATTTAAAGGTACACTCAGTCACCGAGTCATTGGAACATTGTCAGTGTCATATCTTGGCATGTGAATGTCAATTTGAGATGAAGATATGTCTGGATAAAAATATGATAAAAATGGTTGGCAAATTCAACGAAAAATGAGATACTACAATCCATTAACATGTCTGGCTACCTGGCTAGCTATGTGTGAATGCGAGTCTAATGATAATCAAATAAATCATTATTTATAATTAAATTCATTTATCATAGTAAAATAGTTTAATACACATGACTGGTTATCATGGCACTTTGTTGCCTCGACTTAAAAACTGCACTGTTTCTCGTAAATATGTATATAAATGATAATACGTTATACGTTTTGGGATGTTATGGTATTGTTCACCTTCAGCGTCTCAGACTTCCGATGAATTTGTCACGATCATTGTTGCGTTTAGATACTGCAAAGATTTTGATCGTTTGATAGGTCCAGATTCTTCTGGCTGGCGGACACTATGAAGACTTGTACTGGTCATATTGGAATGGGAGGGACTAGATAAAATAAAATCACCCCTCGTCGTATATAAATCTACTAAGGACGCTGCGCGGTCTAGACGATCACGCCTTGCACTTCTTTGATCAATTATAGACCTTGTACTGTAATCGGATTTGGCATTTTGGACTGAGCGTTCCCCCGTTGATGAGAGATTATGTGCGGATTTTGCCATTGTATCACTTATGGTGTTGATAGTATCGGCATTAGACTTTTCACCGACGAGACTCCGGGGTAGGAGGACACGCAGTTGGGTGTGATTTTCCAATATGTTTATACAATTTGTGCTTTTTGATTTTTGAACACTTTTCAGAGGTTTTGTGGGTTTACAAAGGTCACTTTCAAAAGCAGTGTTCTCATAACAATGGCTCTCTGATTGTGTTCTTTGACGTTCTGTGGCTCCTGCGTTTAATATTGGGCTACTGATTGTGCATGCATCATCTGCGTTGACGTCCCCGTGTGTTCCAACAGCGTTCATATTGTTTGAAATACTAGCGTCAACAGATTCTTCCTGGTCGGTAGGACGTGTATTGTCCATCGCAACACTTGGGATATGTTCATCGCAAGAGGATTCGGTATCAACATTAGTACGGTCAACTTGTCGAAGTCTAGCTAGATTCAAAACAAACTGAGGGACGACATTAGCTCGGGTTTTCAGCCTCTTTGCACTTCTTTTGCGTCGATGGTCACGTTGGTTTTCATTTACTTCATTGTCTGTGTCACTCACGATAGCCAAGCCGGAAGTTTCCCCTCGTTTTGAAGGACAAATCTGGGAATGTGCATAAATGGTTGGAGATAACTTATACGCTGGAGGCGGGTCGTCCCAAATTCTTGATCCAGGTATTGTTTTAACTGCCTGAAACGAAAGTGATATAATTTGATAAGAAATCTCAAATATCTTCTATAAACAATACAATTTAAATTGCAAACTTGAGAAACATAATTTTGAGACGATTGCTTCTTACATTTTCCATTCTCTATATTTGTTACTTGTCTATCAATGAAAGACCATTTGTCATCGAATAGTCTTTTTAATGACATCAATAACCACCAGTCATCTATCATTCTATCAATTACAATTGTCTGTTATTATAAATGGGATTTTTACAAATAAAACGCGTGGTACGTGATGACACTTTGCATTACAAACGTGACCATAGAAGTCACATACGTGCACCCATCAATGCAACTGAAATATCCTGATTTGAAATATCACTATTATGTTAGCGTGAAATCAATATATTTAGATATGTTCAACTCACGTTTGCAATAAGAAATGTTTACATGCTGTAATAATTTTACTGAAACACTTGTACTATATGTGTAGAAATATGTGTAGATTTGTTTGTGAATCGAATTGTGTAATATATATGCAAAATGTACTAATTTATCAAATCAGCGATTTCCCGTTTAACAGTCTTTAAATAACAGTATAAAATAATTAATTGCCTCTTCGTACAGCATTGGGGTGTTCGTATGCGGAAATATCCTTTCGGAAGGCTTCGGACTACTTCGGAAGCATGCGCAAAGTCGCGCTTTGGTTCGCATGTTTACGTTTCCAATCGCTTGAATTGACAATTCACCGAATTTGCAAAGCTGCATTTAATGGATTTGTTCATGTGTGAAGAGGTCTTTTCGCAAAGCCAACCTATCTTAAACTCTCATTGCAAACATTTATCAGTTCATACCTTGCATCTAGAAAATTATCAATAAACGTATCCTATTTTTGCTCGAACTCCTATGCAGTGTCTCGGGATATATCACTGCACGGGAGTTCGATTTTTGCTTTTAAGTGTAACAACCGGGGATCACACTTGCCTAGCCGTTACGTTACATAAAATTACGAGATGTTAAATGAAATAACATATACACTGTATGTGGTTGCGTATTGCCTGGACTACGGAGTATGATGGTTGTTATTAGATTCTTATTTTCTCTTTACTGACAGCTTACTGCCATACTGATCTCAATAATAACATAAAATATGATTTGAATTGAAATATATATGTAACCAACTATAAGTATGAAATATGTACAATGAGTTTTCACAACGAAGCTAAGGTCTTTCAGATGGTTTATCAAACACAATACTGTCAATACCTAACAAAACAGTTTTCGATCTTACTACCAATCTGACCTTTAATAGATAATACACACATCTACTACGTGTAGATGCTCCACAAACACGCCACCTTTTGGCAAATGTTCAAAGTAATAAAAGTACACATGGCTATGAATGTCTATCCTCGACTAAAACCTTGCAAAATTAGTATGCTACCATAAGCTGGTAATATTCACAGAACAATATGAGACATAATTCTGAACATATATCTGATTGGAATCAACGATAGCAACTAAGAAATGATGTATGGTTCTCAAAGTTTGCAAAATTAGGTCACTTGACTTAGCCGTCTATTTTTGTTCAAAACTAACTTCCTTACCCTATTTAACTTGATTTATCCACTCATAGGCCATTTACTGTTAACATAATCATATCCTATCCTAACTTAGAACCTTAAGTCCCTCAGTTATAGACGATTTAATCCGCATGATATGAAATAAATGTCAATCTAAATTATCCATGTGTGCCTCCACGCTTTTGTGCTCTGATTGGCTAATTTAAACAAGGCATAAGTTTTTGGCACCAAATTCAAAATATTGCTACCAGTAGGGCTTTATAAACTATACGGGACTATAAAGGCCTTCTGCTGCCCTTTCTGAAATATCTGAAATCTGAATAATTTAATTGCACAATGATATGATATAATATGATCCTCCCAAAATGTACTTTAGCAGTTGTATATTGATTTTACAGTTCGCTTCTCTTTAAAAAATCAATGTACACTCTCTTCAAAATGTTTTGTTACACTAACTCACATATAAGACCGCTTGGTATAAGAAGTGTTTATGTTAGATGATCTAAAAGAATCATCAATGTCATATTCATCCAATTTAATATTCCTGGGGAAAAATGAACAAATTGCAAAACGGCAAAACGGGAGGTTCGGGTTACGGAACTTTCGGGAGTAAGTCTGCGCTAGAGAACGAGACTTCCAACTCTCCCTCAGATTCAATTAATTACGTTTGTGGGCGTCGATCATTACCTTGACCTTATTTCTATTAAAATCCATCGAACGAATGAAAACGATTTTACAGTTGAAAATGTATTTGTGATTGACATTGGATATAATACCATAACGTACCACTGCAGGGTCTAATGGAGTCCCGTCATTTCCAGCTAGCCGGTCCATATAAGAGTCGGCGTATTTAGGGGGATCTGGGTCTGTCTCGTAGCCTGGTGGAAGATCGTCCGACCAGCCAATCCTTGCCGTGGTTAGCGTCAAGTTCATCTGTGTTTGACTTATATTCCGTCCATCTAAAGCTGATATGAAATTTAAAAAAAAGGATAATTATATTCATTTGAAGGGTTTTAACATAATACATAGTAGAAAAATGGGACACTTCAATAAAATCATATATGAACGAGATTTTAAATCAAACAATACGAGTTTTCATTATGGGACACACAACTTCGAAAACCAGCTTCTGAAATTGCAGAATCTTTTCATAAAACTACTACCTCACCTGTCGTGAACCTAGCTATAGGGTACTCACGTAATGGCATAAACAAGCCGGGAATGGCTAAAGTAGAGTCGGATAGATCCTGTCCATATCTGTGTTGGCAGTCACCTGATCGTCTCCGACGCCGTTGTCTTTGGTCAGTTCTGTCGTCCATTGGGCGTCCTGGCATTTCCTGTGAGGTATTGTTTCTTCTCTCTCTACGTTTCTTTACGACATATACAACGATTGGCATGAGGAGGAGAAGCCAGATGCACAGGAGCGTAGGTAGGAGGATAGCCAACATGTTCGGGCCTGATGGAATTGTGTGAGTTGGAAGAACTAGAAAAGTTACATTGAAAATGGGTTTCATAAAAGAGTGTTTTATTAACAAGGCAGAAATTCATTTTTACAGCTTGCAATAGGCGCTATGGTAGGAACACTACAACAAGTGTGATATGTACTTGTTTCAATAATCGTTCAATGAAGGATGTACCATGGCACAAAGCAGATGAACAGTGAACAAGGAAAATATGATGAAACGTAGGTCATATTCCATGACATACCAGTTTGGAATTGTAATTTAATTTAAACCGTTTACATATTGGCATACATGTCAATTTCATACGGGTAACTGGCATCTGTAAAGTGCTTACTACAATCCATTTCATCAATTCCACTCTCACAGTCCTTTCTGCCATCATATTTCCTAAAAGTACTTACTACAATTCATTTCATCAATTCCACTCTCACAGTCCTTTCTGCCATCACATTTCCTCCAATTCTGGATGCATGTCCCATCATCACACCGGAAGTAGTTCTCACCGCATGGTGGACGGTATGTTGCTGGAATAAATGAAAATGTATTTGAAATAATATTTCAGGAACTGTTTCATGACTTACAACTGCGATATTTCCAACGATATTTTTTATTAATTTCAAGCATGATTTAAAAAGTTATGTTAGGGATAAACTATGAGTATTGGGTTTAAGGAGGAATAATAGCCGAGGCCGCTAAGGCGAGTCTATTAATTCTCTTAAGACACAATACGAATGGCTTATCTAACTTAAACCCCCTACAGACTCTTATGAGAGTTAAATGGCCCATGATCCAATTTTAGGAAAACTTGATTTCTTTTGCATTGACTTTGACGTAAGTGTGTTGTGTAAGTGGGTGCAATTAGTTCAGCTTCAGTGCCCTGCATGTAACAGTTTAAAAGTTGATTTCTTTTGTGTTTACTATTCAACTATTGAATGAGTGAACTGGGGGTAATTAGTTCAGCATAAGTGACTGCATGTGACAGTCTATCGTCTTTTGTGCCACATTGGTTTTGAATAGCTTGCCAAGTGTCAGCTCTTAAAAAACAATACAAAAAGAATATACTTTCCCTTTGTTACAATCGGACATTCTTCAAAATAAACCATGTCTCATTCTATTGCGTTGCTACCAAAGTTGGATTTTAAGCAATATGGACGTTTTTGTAAAAAATATGATATCATTTTTGGTGCAGTAAAAAACTGTTCCCTGCAAAACAGATATTAGTTTGTGTGTTCAGCATAATATATAATAAATTGGAGTCATTTTCAGCATATGTAAAAGAAACAGTGTCACACATGTCCTTACACGCATGTCCAATCAAATATTTTACTTTTCACTTGATATCGCCAACAATCAACGCTAAACATTAAACACATTTAAGGACCAACGACACTCTACTCGAGGAGTATAACAACTTTGGTATTTGACATATACAATGCCTATATATAGCATTTGATTCATTCCTTCAAATTGATAACCAAATATAACATACGATGATATCAGATCTTTGATGACACTGATGAACAGACTATTTCACTGTTAATATTCATTTGCGTAGCAACATGTACGCCAAGTAGACAAAGGCGTGCATTCAAATTTCACACTGGCAAAATGGGCTAGCTATTTGGCTTCCTTCTAAAAATTCCTTTCATGTAGTTCTGGCGATAAGAAAATTCCAAGGGAGGGGAGATTAACAATCGGCGTTCCTTGAATTGTTGATACACATGCAATTGTTAATGCATTAAATACATGGCTTCTTGCTGAATGTATATCTGATATCTGATACTGTACCTATTACGAAAAACCGAACATTGATAATCGGGTTGGATAAATTAATTTGTATACCTTATAACAGCCAATGCCCTATACCCTACCATTTTACATCTTGTTTTGGGGCACCATTGATATATACTCTTGATTAACTCCCTTATACCCCTACTATTTTACTCCTTGGTTTAGGGGCACCCTTGACATATTCAGGTAATCCCTTAGTCTATACCCCTACCCATGGCACAACCTGGATACGTACCACAATTTCTCTCATCCCATCCACCTTCGCAGTCTTCAACTCCGTTGCAGATCTTGCTAATGAAGATACACTGCCCCCAGCTATTGTCACAGCGTACCGTATCGGGAGGGCATGTCACTGGGAACGCAGACATTTTGAAAATACAACCTGTATATTTTGCAACTTTTAGTTCTGCAGCATGGTGCCTTACGCCTGACAGGCTATTCTATGGGTTAGATTGTCAAGTCGTCATGAATTACGTTGTACTGCTCTAGGGGTGCGGCATCCTTATAGTGGCAGGATATTTGTTTGCTGTAATCCATGACCAGTGTGCATGTTTGCAAGGATTAATGTAGATATGTGAATCAGTCACTTAATCTGTATGTATACGTTCGTATGATTGGGGTTATGTGATTTACAGCCCTTTGATGATTATACAAACATATTGCCTACTTGATCGAAGTCCAAAGACTGATCATTGATTATTAACCAAACCGTACTTCTGAAAAATAAACAAAACACCAATTTTGCTCTTACTGAATGTCAACACATTTGACTTTAATAGCACTCGCAAATTCAACTGCCGGCTGTCGTCTACCGGTTTGATTGTTGTTTTATTGTCAAATCATTTGACTATGAATTGAATTTCTGCGGTAAGATACTTTAGCAGTCACATTTGCCACGGCAGCCGTGCGTCGTGTCCATTTTGAGGAGACAAGAGAACTACGACTGGTGTATGGCTTTTAAATGATTACGCGTGGTCAGCGTCCATTAGGCGGGTGTCGTTTTTTCCCAATGTTACTCGAATTAGAAACATTTATGCCATCTTACCGTATGAAGGACATGCTTTACGATTGTGAACAATCAACAATTCCAAAAGTTCATTTTATCATGATATCGGGGATATAAAGTCAACACGTGTCTGTTTTCGTCACGTGACATGACGTGTGTGGTGTGGTTGAAACGATTTGCCGCGAAATACGATTTTGTAGATAAAATTAAACCATGGCTTTCAAAAACGAGTTATTCGCTCTTATGTTGAGCCAATTATTGAAATGTAACTTGCAATTGAGTGCAAAGTCAATCGAGCTGAGACGCTATTGAAAGCATGTAAGTTATGTAACAGCAAACATTGCCAGTGTTTGGGGGTTAAAACTTTTTGACCTCAATGTAATGCTGTAAGGTCAAAATATAATTATTGGGTTAACATTTTCAGTTATCAATATTCGGTTTCATGTTTCACTTCTTGTATATGTATTGAATAGTATTGCACTGCTCTTTCCTCAAGAATTTCTTTTTGTGAAGTTCAATCAATTAAGAATATTTATATAGCTGCTGGAATGCGTTTGAATGTGGAACTAATGTATAATTCTACTTTGGTCCAGTCTTCGTAATACATGTAGTTTGCAACAACAACTTTTCGATTTAGCGCCTGAATAACTTGGCACACGGTACGTCATGGTCAGGTGACCTGAAAAAGTGTGCAAAAATAACAACATTTCAGAGGTTGACAGTCTTATCTTAAGTACTCGTGGTTGTGTGGGGAAATATATTTAACTTTAACAAAGACCAAGGTAAAAGCAAGGCGTCAGCATGGGGGACGGAACCGATGAAAACCCAGGGCAATTGCAAGACGATCGTACGCCCGACGTACGGCATCAATGGATCCTTTCTACATTTTGGCAGCGGTTTCTTAATTTCTACGGTGACCGCGGGAATCAGAAAAGCCCTAGTTATAATTTCTACAAGGAATCTACGGCCTTTGGAAATTAGATACGCCATTCGGAGACCGCATAGTTATATTGGAATATGTCATATACCGCAGGTGAATATGGCATATTCGCCCGTATCACAAATACAGCACAACCATGAATATATTCCATATTCCGCGTAACACAGTTAGTGTATTGGTAAGAATGTATCATGGGTAGTTCCAAAATAGTAAATGATATTATATAAAACTCAATCGTAAATCACAGATGAACCGCGCTTATTTAACAACACCAGACTTTGAATACTTATATACAAGGTATTCACATATTCGAATGTTTGAAGACGAATAACGTTCGTTATCTATCCGACAACGTCCGGTTATATAGTAGTACAAGTTCGGTTGTTAAAAAAATAAATGGTTATGCCAATTTATCAAAAAAATGAATTACTTCATCATTTTTTCGACGTGTATGTAGTTTTGATGACAGATCCAAATAAAGGTTCCATAGGAAATTTCAAACTTTATAAATGATAGTAGATGATAGACTTGATAAATAACTCCATCAAGGTTGATCTCATTATTTTCGTTGTTGATTGATGACCATTCTCTGACGTATATTAGATGACAATACCAGAGGCGTGATAATAGTGTAATAACGTAATTTTTACTTCCACTCCTGTACATTTTACGCCTGCATTTTACGTTTTTACGTGTTATTTACGTTTGCATAGGTGAAAAGGTTCGGAAAAGTAAATGCCGGGATAATGTTATCCAATGGGAAGTTTCTTGTCATTAGGAAAATTAAAATTAAGAAAATGATAAAATTTGACCATTCGGTAAATTAACCACTTTAAATAGCATTTATAGCATAAATAGATTAAATAGCATTTATACAGCATTTATTGGGTAGATTTACCTATCATATTGTGTCCTATATTGTGTCCGCTCTCTATATAATATCTAAAGAAACTTACAAATGGTCATAAATCACAATCCAATCGACTTTAGTATGGTGCCGTAGCTGTATCAGAAAAATGTAAATATCTAAATGTTTCAAATAAATTATATTCTTGTTAAGGTTACGGCCTTGACTACTATTCTACAACAAATGAATAGGGAGGGATAAATAATGAAAAATGTTAAAGGTGATATTTTCAAATATCATGCCAATGTTTCCATTATTAGGGGCGGTGACACGATAGTCATCGGACGAGGCAAAAAGAAATATTGGCGAGCCAAGTTTAGTACTTCATTTCCAAAACTCAAATGTATAAGTGTCAGTTATACGCGAAAATAATTGCAGTGTTAACAAACTAGAATATTATTGTTTTCAAAATGCGATTTCATGTAAAATAGAAATCATTTTGTATTCAGACATTCTTTAATAATCCAGAATTCATTATTTTGTATAATAAAGATTAGATTCAAATATTAAACAGAGTATAAAAGCCAATTATTTAACTTTTTGGGAGATGCGATTTAATTTTTTGGGGATTTAAACCGCTTTACATGAAAGTGAAGATTATTATTGATGCGCCATAAAAATTAGTCTGATGGTGTATAACATTACAAGTTTAGGGCATTATAACATACTGATTATAATTTACCCATATCAGACATGGTTTGGTCTTCGGAAATTGCCGAAGACACCTCTTGAATCGATATCTAATTTAAGAAGTGTTCTGACTTAGCCCTATGCATATTATTTATTAGTTTCGTTTTTCAGGTATGGTCACTTTATTTGGCCAAACCAGGCTCACCTTGTATAAGCCTCGGTAAAAATCAAGGCATTTCAAAAATTGAAATCCTTTGCTCCACCCTGTATATTGAAATGGTTGAGTTGTGTCATAAATCGGAATATTATCCCATATAATTTCATTTGACCAGGTTATGACAAAGCAATGAAAACGACCATTTGTTCTCAGATCTCTCACAGAGATAAGAACGACATCAAACAATTTATATAACATTGATTTTTCTGTTGATTCATTAGTTATTTTACCGATATTCAAAATCAACTGGACATTATTGCACAGATAATTATGGTTATGTCAATCAATTTCTCATAATAATTACCTGTATATCTTCTCTGGATGGTGGATTAGATAAAATGCTTTGCATTGCTTCGTCGTTTTCTAAGGTATGACAAATCATTGTTATTTTGTTATGACGTTAATTAAATAATCCAAGTAAACAGCAAAAATCAATTTGTTCTACAAACTGTCGCCTGTGTGCAAGTATTGGCTTAATTTATCTAGTTTCACCAACAGGTTTGTTTCTTTAATCGGCGGGTTACCAAGAATCTAAATGTTTAGAAGGCAAATGTTTGAAAACATGAGAAAGATATAACAAAGAAGCAATCAACAATACAAGTAAGTATAATTACACTTTATTAATCTTTTTAATATAAACATACTGTATATCTGCTTGCCATTTAGTAAATATTCGATTAAGAAACATAACTTTAAATGTTAACATAATTTTACGTTACATTGATCAAGACCACTTTAAAAGTGATTGCTAAGTGTATGTAGTCCCATTAAACAATGTGGACACTTTGGATCAAATGCCAGAGGGGTTTATCAAAAAGTGAAATAAAATCTAATATTCCCCACATTTAATACTCGACAATTTTGAGGTTCGCATGAGTTAGCAATCTCTCATACCCAGCGAAATAAACAAATGCATTATATTAAACAAAATGATCACGTTTGATTAAAATGGCATGGGATCAGCTATATACAGAGTGATGCAGATATAATACCCCCTTAAAATCATAGTTATACATGTGTCGTGTTATGCACCATTGATCACGAATTTAAAGTGCATAATAATTGTATTATATATTTTTGACAAATGACAGATGTGGTATTTAAAATACTTTGCTTTGACCTTATCAAGAATTTGATTAATTGTTTCAGTTTGCCATTGAAATTCTGATTGTTATGAACAATAAGGTAACATTCATCAACACAAAAACGATGTCGACGGCGTTTTGAAGAATAAGAATAGATTGAAAAGTGTGCTTTTAAGAAAAATAGGAAATATGCAATGCAAGATCTCCTTCTCAAAATCCACAATATCTGATTCTTATATAACTTTAGATGATATTTACAATTATGATATTAACTATGTCTGAGACATCTGTGTATATAACTTTGTGGTTCCACATTTTTGCACCACCCTGTATATTGTATCCAGATCATAGTGACATTGATTGACATAATGACCCATTAGGAGTGACAAATAGAATATTGACCACTAGACCTGTATTTCAATCAATACAAATCCATCAATATTGTCAATTGTTTTCTATTTGTTCCAATCACATCAAGTATTTTCCAGTTTGATTTAATTTTCCCTTGACAAAATTGATTGTCCTATGAAAAATTGAATAAATAAATAGCATACGTATATACTACGTGCAATGATCATTTACAATACTTGGTGTTTCAGGAGAGTGATAAACATCACGATCAACTGAACAGAAAGACGGAAGCACAATATATCACTCAGGTATCATCGAGTCAGCCTGATCAACCGTTTCAAAATACAAGGATCTTGGTGAGAGACATAGCCACTACGTACTGCTGACTTCAACTTCACACACATGCTGTCATGTCATATATGACTGACTTAATAGGCTCAACTAATAGATGTACGGGGAACACAATCCACCAGTAAGTCAATGCATTTTTAACTAATTTTAGGTTTATTAGAAAACATTAATAGCAAATTTGAAAAAATACACCCGCAAATATTATCATGGAGTATATGATTAAAATAACAGTATTATATAATCGAACTTTATAATTCGCTTCCTGGGAGAGTTTATTTGAAGATCGTATGGTAATAATTAAGGTCTCATTTATTGTATAACACTGAAATAGATTAAGTAGTTAACTCAAATTCTACAGGTTGCCGGTTGTAGAATAGGTTTTCCCTTTGTTTTATTTAATACTTACTACTATTCCACATTACTAAGAAAGCAAGTCAATGATAAAATGATGCTATGTTAAATGATTGATGCTTAAGATGATGGTATAGGTTATTCATTATTTGTAGTATTTCAAGCAATATACCAGTGTTCCAGTATTTTGATATTATATTGAGCCACATTGTATTTAATCCATATCATAACATATTGTCCGAAATAAAGATTACATTAAATGAGTAATTCTTAATTTTCAAGAGATAAAAATCATAAAATGTCATTAAAATCATAATAATCACCAATATTTTTAGAAAATACGTCATTAATTTTGAAATTTGTCTCAGTCCGCAAAATATCGTTGTACTATACGCAATTATATCCTTGGTATTTTCCTGTCTTTCGATTTCGTTTATACTCTCTTAAATGAAGTTAGTTTACCCAGTGTAACTTCATAATACAGAGTGTCCAAAAAACAGGACCGTAAGAAATTTGAATAATTCTGTCAATTGTGCATATTTTTCCTTGAAATTTTAGAATTATATATTTGTTCATTCATTGTAAAATTTTCTGTGAATGTTTCATGATAATGTGTCAATTGTGTCAAAAACGACAGTACCTAACAAAACATGCTCAAAATAGGCACTTCTCTCTATGCACAAATGAATCCTGCGAACAAAGTTGTTAATGACCCTGACCTATACACATCAATGTGAACGAATGAGGGTAGTTATTGCCCTCTTAAGATTGTAAGGGGCCTGATGGTATACACATTGGCTTTGAGATATCCCCAAAGATAAAAACCGGAGAGATTTAGATCCGGTGAATCAGCTGCCTATATGTTTCGAGTTCTGCGACTGATGAGCTGACGACCAAAGCATTGCCTAAACCATTTCAGCATACCATTTGCAGTGTTAGGGTGGTATTGGCTTGTTGAAACCACTGCCTATCTCCTTAGATGCCCCTACTGGTGCTAAGTGAACTCCAAAACTTAGTGAGAGCTTGAATTTCTGGCCCATATTCATGTAATAGCACCTCCCCAGTCATCTTCGAACCAAAAAGGACTGATGATTCCATGTTTGCTTATTGCCACCCAGGCAGTGCATCGTTCAGAATGCAATGGATACTGTAACACTAGTACTTCATCAGGAAGATGTAAGCCCCAGTGGCAATTGTTCTTGGAACAAACTTGTCCATTCAGAAAGACATGTGTGAAGGAGGATCATCAACAACTTTGTTTGCCGGATTGAATTGTGCAAAGAGGGGAGAGGTGCACATTTGGGGCATGTATTGTTAGGAACTGGAGTTTTTGACTTGATAGACAGATTGTTATCATACTTTCACTACATAATTCACATTGAATGAACTAAATGATTCTGAAATTCCAAGACAAAATATGCGAAGATCGAGTTATTTAACTTTCTTACGGTCCTGTTTTTGGACACCCTGTACAAGATATCATATTTTCATTATTAAAAGTATAACTTTGAAGACCAAGCTGAATTCTTAAAGGCTAGTTTCTTGTTTGTTCTGATACAAACTCATATCAATTGCTTGTACAAGTGATTTGTCAAAAACAGATGTAATAAAGCAATAAGGAAGTAATTATTAATAGACAGCAAAAACGTTTTACACGATTCCAACCTTTCAAATTATTTTCATGCAGAAAATTGCACGAATCTTGCACGCGTACAGGATGCTGGCAAAATCGCAAATCAGTTCTTGTTTGATCTTTATATTTTGCCATGTTTAGTGATCTAATATTTGGACTATTAAAATACCAATAAACTACCATCACAATCCGACTGATTTAGTGAAATTGTAATTGAAAACCAATATAACTAGTTTCATACTTATTGTTACTATCGGAATTCTGTTTATGTTTAATTGAATCGATATTCCTTCACACAGGTGTAATGGATTCCGCAGCACGAGCACTATCTGGTGCATTTATTTGAATTTTTAATTAATACCCGGCCTTGTGATATAATTTATCGCGAATTACTATGTAGAGCACAGCTAATTAACCTCCGTATGACTTCCGATACATTGGAAAACTTTCCTGTGTGGAAAAACTCGTGTGGAAATTGATATTTAATTATGATCACTGGCTGATAGACGGAGTTGGGGCAAACCAATACCCAATTAATTCATACTTGTTTTTATCGGTATTAGGGGAATAGGTCATTTATTTCTGAATTTGCGTCAGATCCCAGATTTGGGATATTAAGGTTTGATTTAGGTTTGATTCTGAATGACTCTCTGTATCAAATGTTTCATTTTTACATGTGACCCTCGGCTGTAAAAGACGTACATTGTCTAATGAAGTGCCCTAAACCAATTCATTGAATCATAATTTGCGATTGGTGTTACATCGGAATTAGGCTACACATGTGACCATTGGCTGTAAAAGTACATTGTCTAATGAAGTACCCTAAACCAATTCATTGAATCATGATTTGCGATTGGTGTAACATCGGAATTAGGCTACGCATGTGCCCATCGGCAGTAAAAGTACATTGTCTAATGAAGTATCCTAAACCAATTCATTGAATCGTGATTTGCGATTGGTGTAACATCGGAATAAGGCTACGCATGTGCCCATCGGCTGTAAAAGTACATTGTCTAATGAAGTACCCTAAACCAATTCATTGAATCATAATTTGCGATTGGTGTTACATCGGAATTCGGCTACGCATGTGCCCATCGGCTGTAAAAGTACATTGTCTAATGAAGTGCCCTAAACCAATTCATTGAATCATAATTTGCGATTGGTGTTACATCGGAATTAGGCTACACATGTGACCATTGGCTGTAAAAGTACATTGTCTAATGAAGTACCCTAAACCAATTCATTGAATCATGATTTGCGATTGGTGTAACATCGGAATTAGGCTACGCATGTGCCCATCGGCAGTAAAAGTACATTGTCTAATGAAGTATCCTAAACCAATTCATTGAATCGTGATTTGCGATTGGTGTAACATCGGAATAAGGCTACGCATGTGCCCATCGGCTGTAAAAGTACATTGTCTAATGAAGTACCCTAAACCAATTCATTGAATCATAATTTGCGATTGGTGTTACATCGGAATTCGGCTACGCATGTGCCCATCGGCTGTAAAAGTACATTGTCTAATGAAGTACCCTAAACCAATTCATTGAATCATAATTTGCGATTGGTGTTACATCGGAATTAGGCTACGCATGTGCCCATCGGCTGTAAAAGTACATTGTCTAATGAAGTACCCTAAACCAATTCATTGAATCATAATTTGCGAGTGGTGTTACATCGGAATTAGGCTACACATGTGACCCTTGGCTGTAAAAGTAGATTGTCTAATGAAGTACCCTAAACCGATTCATTGAATCATAATTTGCGATTGATGTTACATCGGGATTAGGCTACGCATGTGCCCATCGGCAGTAAAAGTCCATTGTCTAATGAAGTATCCTAAACCAATTCATTGAATCATGATTTGCGATTGGTGTAACATCGGAATTAGGCTACGCATGTGACCCTCGGCTGTAAAAGTACATTGTCTAATGAAGTATCCTAAACCAATTCATTGAATCATGATTTGCGATTGGTGTTACATCGGAATTAGGCTACGCATGTGACCCTCGGCTGTAAAAGTACATTGTCTAATGAAGTATCCTAAACCAATTCATTGAATCATGATTTGCGATTGGTGTTACATCGGAATTAGGCTACGCATGTAACCCTCGGCTGTAAAAGTACATTGTCTAATGAAGTATATATCCTAAACCAATTCATTGAATCATGATTTGCGATTGGTGTTACATCGGAATTAGGCTACACATGTGACCCTCGGCTGTAAAAGTACATTGTCTAATGAAGTATCCTAAAAATAACCCTTACTGTCACACTTCGTAAAATACGCTAAATAAGAAATGATTGTCATACGTATAATTTTTGAATGAATCAACTGTTCTCATTGCTTTTAACAGGCGATAATATCGCCTTTATCAAATATTTTTAAAGGGTTTTGAACTAACCAGCTTTCCTGTTTATATATACTGTGGTAATGTATAATGATATGGTATAGTATCATCATTAAGTTATAATTTAGCATTGTCTCGAGTTAAGACTAATTAGTATGTACATAGACAATATATGTCAGGCTATGACACTCTTTTCTATAAAATAAATTTATTATCAAACGACGTTGCTCAATTGACATTTACAGGACTAAAGGAAATCATAGTTTCCATAGTTCAAGACAATGATTCATATACAGGGTGTCCAAAAAAACAGGACCGAAGAAAAGTTAGATAACTCGGTAAATTTTACATATTCTGCCTTGAAAATTCAGAATTATTTAGTTAATTCAATGTGAATTTTGCTGTGAAAGTTCATAGTAATCTGCTTATAGAGTAAAGATCTACAAGGGCAGCTGCTACTGGGACATACATCACCCTGAGGAAGTGTTACTGCATCCATTGCACTTGAGAAATGCACTTTGTGGGTGGCAATACGCAAACATGGAATCATTGGTCCCTATCGATTCGGAGATGAATGGGGACGTGCTGTTACAGGCATATGGACCTTTATATCCAAATGAGATTTGGAGATCACTGGGCACCAGAAGGGTTTTCAAAGAGATAGGCAATAGCTTCAACAAGACGGTGCCATCTCCACATTGCAAACGATATGCTGGAATGGCTTAGGCAATGCTCAGATCTAAAGTCGCAGAACGCAAAATATGGACAGCTTGTTCACCGGATCTCAGTCTCTCAATTGCTGATCTCAGGAGGGCAATAACTACCCAAAGGTGTGCCCAATTGGAGCACGTATTGTAAAGAACTGTAGTTTCTTACTCAATAAGTTGATTATCGTCATATCGTCGTTGAATTATCGAAATAATTCTGAAATTTCAAGGCAGAATATGCAAGATCGAGTTATTCAGCTTTTCTTCGGTCCTGTTTTTGGACACTCTGGATTAGTTGAAATCACCGATATGCACTGGTATGCACATTTTGTGACGCAAAAAATACATTTTGTAAAAGTCCTTGACAACGTTCTGTGAAATAACCCAATATTTTTATAACATTCCAGTGCTTTAACGGTAACTCTGGTCTCTTGGTAATGGTACTGGGCTACGGTAGACTGAACATCTAAACAAAAATACCGTTATTACAGACTCCATGGGCAATTATGTTCTAACCTTCGGTCGTTCATAAGTTGATGCATTCTATCTGTTACAGAAAGTATTGCAAAGTATTGTTTCAGCGTTATTGGTTTTCTAAACATTAGAGATTCACTAAAACAAAATCTAGTACTGTGTTTGTGCCTAAAATCAATTAGTATTCTTAAAGTATTTTATGACATTAATGACTTCCTGAACATTACAGATTCACTTACGCAATAAGTATTGCATTCGTGTTTTATAGATTTCAAATCCAATTTTATCTTTGTATTACATAATTACTCAAGCATTTTTTAAATATTCCACAATTCCTGTAATGCCACGGAGTATGCCCCGCAAACCACTATTTGAACAAATTGCTATGGACAATGTTTTGGTATTAAACTCATGTTCGTATATAAATAAATAAAGGTTACTATCTGTACATTATTTTTTCCAATCAACGATTGAAAGATATATTGAAAATTAATAATAAAAAGGAATTGTACGCATATTCTGTGCACGTATCATTTATCATATAATGAGTTCGATTGAAAGAGAAACACGTTGTGAGTCTATATTATAAACAATCCTCGGAAAGCTGGCCAGGATACAGTTTTTACTTGAGCTATGATCTACAAAGAGGAATAGATGTAAATGGTTAAACAGTGAAAACAGAACCTTTTAAGCCTAACGTCATTGGTACAAGGCGACAAAAAAATCAATAAACTGATATCATCCTCATTTATGTGGAAAAACAAATAAGTTGTTGATAGTTATTTGTAGAATATTGAATAACCAATGACAAATCGAAATATTATACTGCTATCGATAATATCATTAGTGGTTATTATTCGTTCATGTTTGCATAACATATTTATGCCATTACTAAGTATAATTTAAGTCAAAAGTGACTATTATACTCTTTTTTGCAGATCTGTGATGGCTTTGGTAAAGAAGGCGTGCATACTTCTAACAATATTTATCTTCCTATGCAAATATGCAGGCAAGGCTTTACTTTACTTTGACATATCTTTTAATATTTATCAATATTCTATTGTATTAAATCGATTTTTATATGCAAACTGACTGCTTTATAGTATCTTTGACTATTATTGTTGACTTTAAATCTATATAGATGTGATCTTTCTTAAAAGTATTGTAAAGCAAGCTGTATATTATTTTCAGTGTTGGCAAACTTGTATACTGACAAAGTAAAACGGGGTTATTTGAAACGCAGCAACATGTAACTCGTATCATACTATGTCCAGATCTTGTGTACATATTTATGTATATATTTTTATGTACATTTGCATAAAAATAGCAGTTTTAAATATAGAAAAATACGGATGAGCAAACTTAAAAAAACTTCTAGTAATTCTTTCAAAACGGTTGTGTAAGCCTAGACATGCATATTTATCACATTAACGTGTATCTGCCATATTCGAACCGCGAAAATCTTGGAAAATATGTTCGAACATTAGTTAGATGGAAATGTCTAAATAAGAAAAACACTCATTCCAGCCATGGGGAAAACAATACCCAAATATTTGAAAGTACTCTTTAAAAGAAAACACAGGGTATCAAATAAATCGTTGATTTCAAACAACTTCTTAAAATGCTGTTGTTCAGTTGTTAGCTATAACATCGTGAATCTAACCGATACACCCTAGCCTCTTTGGTGTTGCTAAAAAGAGTTGGGAACTTAGGTTCACTAAAAAGGTCTATTGCACATTTATTGAGCTGTTGAAAGCCTGGACACACATATGAAATTCATATTTTGAACCATAAACGATAACAAGAAAACAATAAGCGACACGTTTATTGCATGTCTGATTAACATCATGTATACGTTGATATTGACTCGTATATCATGATGATATGATCAAACATATGAAATTGTGTTCTACTGACTGTTGGAATCATCTGATCCATACTTCAAAAGTATTTATCAACTCTACGAAATACTAGCAGTGTGAGCAATTCTTGCATCGCTATCGAGAATATGTTAGAATTTCATGCATTTTCAATAACAAGTATCCTACTTTAAAGTGTAGAAGTTAACGTCATTTTGTTTGGAAGTGGGCATTTTCGTTATTGACAAAACAAATTTCCCTTGATGTCAAGTGTATGGATTCATCTTTCATGTTTCCCTATGTCCATTGTATGAGCTGATCTTTCATGTTTTCCTATGTCCAGTGTATGAATTGATCTTTCAAGTTTCCCTATGTCCAGTGTATGAACTGATCTTTCATGTTTCCCTTGTCCAGTGTATGTGTTGATTTTTCACGCTTCCTATGTCCATTGTATGAACTAATCTTTCATGTTTCCCTATGTCCATTGTATGAACTAATCTTTCATGTTTCCCTATGTCCATTGTATGAAGTGATCTTTCATGTTTCCCTATATGTCCATTGTATGAATTGATCTTTCATGTTTCCCTATGTCCATTGTATGAATTGATCTTTCATGTTTCCCTATGTCCAGTGTATGAAGTGATCTTTCATGTTTCCCTATGTCCATTGTATGAATTGATCTTTCATGTTTCCCTATGTCCATTGTATGAATTGATCTTTCAAGTTTCCCTATGTCCATTGTATGAATTGATCTTTCATGTTTCCCTATGTCCATTGTATGAACTGATCTTTCATGTTTCCCTATATGTCCATTGTATGAATTGATCTTTCATGTTTCCCTATGTCCATTGTATGAATTGATCTTTCATGTTTCCCTATGTCCAGTGTATGAATTAATCTTTCATGTTTCCCTATGTCCATTGTATGAACTGATCTTTCATGTTTCCTTATGTCCAGTGTATGAAGTGATATTTCATGTTTCCCTATGTCCATTGTATGAACTGATCTTTCATGTTTCCCTATGTCCATTGTATGAATTGATCTTTCATGTTTCCATTGGATGAAGTGATCTTTCATGTTTCCCTATGTCCAGTGTATGAACTGATCTTTCATGTTTCCCTATGTCCATTGTATGAATTGATCTTTCATGTTTCCAGTGTATGAAGTGATCTTTCATGTTTCCCTATGGCTAGTGTTTGAATTGATCATTCATGTTTCCCTATGGCTAGTGTATAAATCTTTCATTTTTCTCTTTATATGTCCATTGTATGAACGGATCTTTCATTTTCCCCTATGTCCATTGTATGAGCTGATCTTTCATGTTTTCCTATGTCCAGTGTATGAATTGATCTTTCAAGTTTCCCTATGTCCAGTGTATGGACTGATCTTTAATGTTTCCCTTGTCCAGTGTATGTGTTGATTTTTCACGCTTCCTATGTCCATTGTATGAACTAATCTTTCATGTTTCCCTATGTCCATTGTATGAACTAATCTTTCAAGTTTCCCTATGTCCATTGTATGAAGTGATCTTTCATGTTTCCCTATATGTCCATTGTATGAATTGATCTTTCATGTTTCACTATGTCCATTGTATGAATTGATCTTTCATGTTTCCCTATGTCCATTGTATGAATTGATCTTTCATGTTTCCCTATGTCCAGTGTATGAAGTGATCTTTCATGTTTCTCTATATGTCCATTGCATGAATTGATCTTTCATGTTTCCCTATGTCCAGTGTATGAACTGATCTTTCATGTTTCCCCATGTCCATTGTATGAATTGATCTTTCATGTTTCCCTATGTCCGTTGTATGAACTGATCTTTCATGTTTCCCTATATGTCCATTGTATGAATTGATCTTTCATGTTTCCCTATGGCTAGTGTATAAATCTTTCATGTTTTCCTATGTCCATTGTATGAACTGATCTTTCATGTTTCCCTATGTCCAGTGTATGAAGTGATCTTTCATGTTTCCCTATGTCCAGTGTATGAAATGATCTTTCATGTTTCCCTATATGTCCAGTGTATGAAGTGATCTTTCATGTTTCCCTATGTCCATTGTATGAACTGATCTTTCATGTTTCCCTATGTCCATTGTATGAAGTGATCTTTCATGTTTCCCTATGTCCAGTGTATGAACTGATCTTTCATGTTTCCCTATGTCCAGTGTATGAAGTGATCTTTCATGTTTCCATTGGATGAAGTGATCTTTCATGTTTCCCTGTGGCTAGTGTATAAATCTTTCATTTTTCTCTTTATATGTCCATTGTATGAACGGATCTTTCATTTTCCCCTATGTCCAGTGTATGAAGTGATCTTCCATGTTTCCCTATGTCCAGTGTATGAAGTGATCTTTCATGTTTCCCTTGTCCAGTGTATGTGTTGATTTTTCACGCTTCCTATGTCCATTGTATGAACTAATCTTTCATGTTTCCCTATGTCCATTGTATGAAGTGATCTTTCATGTTTCCCTATATGTCCAGTGTATGAATTGATCTTTCATGTTTCCATATGTCCATTGTATGAATTGATCATTCATGTTTCCATTGGATGAAGTGATCTTTCATGTTTCCCTATGTCCATTGTATGAATTGATCTTTCAAGTTTCCTTATGTCCATTGTATGAATTGATCTTTCAAGTTTCCCTATGTCCATTGTATGAAGTGATCTTTCATGTTTCCCTATGTCCATTGTATGAATTGATCTTTCATGTTTCCTTATGTCCATTGTATGAATTGATCTTTCAAGTTTCCCTTTGTCCATTGTATGAATTGATCTTTCATGTTTCCCTATGTCCATTGTATGAATTGATCTTTCATGTTTCCTTATGTCCATTGTATGAATTGATCTTTCAAGTTTCCCTTTGTCCATTGTATGAATTGATCTTTCATGTTTCCCTATGTCCAGTGTATGAAGTGATCTTTCATGTTTCTCTATATGTCCATTGCATGAATTGATCTTTCATGTTTCCATTGGATGAAGTGATCTTTCATGTTTCCCTATGTCCATTGTATGAATTGATCTTTCATTTTCCCCTATGTCCAGTGTATGAATTGATCTTTCATGTTTCCCTATGTCCATTGTATGAAGTGATCTTTCATGTTTCCCTATGTCCAGTGTATCAATTGATCTTTCATGTTTCCCTATGTCCATTGTATGAATTGATCTTTCATGTTTCCCTATGTCCATTGTATGAATTGATCTTTCATGTTTCCCTATGTCCATTGTATGAATTGATCTTTCAAGTTTCCCTATGTCCATTGTATGAATTGATCTTTCATGTTTCCCTATGTCCAGTGTATGAAGTGATCTTTCATGTTTCCCTATATGTCCATTGTATGAATTGATCTTTCATGTTTCCCTATGTCCATTGTATGAATTGATCTTTCATGTTTCCCTATGTCCAGTGTATGAATTGCTCTTTCATGTTTCCCTATGTCCAGTGTATGAAGTGATCTTTCATGTTTCCCTATGTCCAGTGTATGAATTGATCTTTCATGTTTCCCTATGTCCATTGTATGAAGTGATCTTTCATGTTTCCCTATGTCCAGTGTATGAACGGATCTTTCATGTTTCCCTATGTCCAGTGTATGAATTGATCTTTCATGTTTCCCTATGTCCATTGTATGAATTGATCTTTCATGTTTCCCTATGTCCAGTGTATGAAATGATCTTTCGTGTTTCCCTATGTCCATTGTATGAATTGATCATTCATGTTTCCCTATGTCCATTGTATGAATTGATCTTTCATTTTCCCCTATGTCCATTGTATGAATTGATCTTTCATGTTTCCCTATGTCCAGTGTATGAATTGATCTTTCGTGTTTCCCTATGTCCAGTGTATGAATTGATCTTTCATTTTCCCCTATGTCCATTGTATGAATTGATCTTTCATGTTTCCCTATGTCCATTGTATGATCTGATCTTTCATGTTTCCCTATATCCATTGTAAGAACTGATCTTTCATTTTTCTCTATATATGTCCTTTGTATGTACAGTAAGCTCAAACAGATTTCAGTTTTGAATAACAATAATAACGGCATACCTTAATATTGTACAGGTGCAGCATTGTGTAAAGAACCCAAAGAACCAAAGAATGGAAAAATTAGGAAACTTAGTGGGTTAGAATTTATGGATTCTGTTTCGTACATGTGTAATAAAGACTATAGAATGGTAAAAGGCAGCAGGAAAGCGACTTGCCAAGAGGACGGAAAGTGGAAACCTTCCATTACCCCGGTTTGTGATCGTAAGTAGATTTTACCTGCTTTCAACATCACCCATTCACCATTGATAATAATTGGTATGAACATTAATTCCATCAAAGTGCGATAAAAAAAGAATGGTAAAAATATGGTGCAAAGTACACGTTGGTAAAAATCAAAAACAGTTTGACGCAATTTTCGTTCAGAATTTTGGCATTTTGGCAGATGATAAGATACAATGTTGTTGAAAGTGTTTGCAGATTGCAACTGATATTAATGCAAGATCTTTCAAATATTATCCTGTACATGTACCTACATCACCTTAGGCTTTCAGGAATATGCCAAGAATATGCATGGCGTCTTGGTCCACCTTGTACTTGTATATTTGTGCAAAATATATAGCTATTAATCATTGGTTGACTTTGAATGTTTGAATTGTTTACTTAAGAAAAAAGAACGTTGGTAATTGGTAAGACGGTATATCTAATGACTATTGGTGTTGGCAATTTCGCTTTTTAATAGCTTATTTCTTATTCGGGATATTGTCCCGCGTGCGCACAAATAAATACTTGTAGAACCATAGCTTGGAAAGCCGGTGTAGATGAACCTTCCAGTTAGAGTCCCCTTTTCATTAGTTCATTTTTCGAAATTCTACAGGCAACAATGTATTCAGGTATTAGGTTATACACTCATATGTTTTATTCACGTATTAGGTTATACACTTTGGGGTTTTATTCACGTACTAGGTTATAGGTTTTATTCACGTATTAGGTTATACACTCTTGGGTTTTATTCACGTACTAGGTTATAGGTTTTATTCACGTATTAGGTTATACACTCATGGGTTTTATTCAGGTATTAGGTTATACACTCTTGGGTTTTATTCACGTATTAGGTTATACACTCTTGGGTTTTATTCACGTATTAGGTTATAGGTTTTATTCACGTATTAGGTTATACACTCATGGGTTTTATTCACGTATTAGGTTATAGGTTTTATTCACGTATTAGGTTATACGCTCATGGGTTTTATTCACGTATTAGGTTATACACTCTTTGGTTTTATTCACGTATTAGGTTATAGGTTTTATTCACGTATTAGGTTATACACTCATGGGTTTTATTCACGTATTAGGTGATAGGTTTTATTCACGTATTAGGTTATACACTCATGGGTTTTATTCACGTATTAGGTTATATGTTTTATTCACGTATTAGGTTATACACTCATGGGTTTTATTCACGTATTAGGTTATAGGTTTTATTCACGTATTAGGTTATAGGTTTTATTCACGTATTAGGTTATACACTCATGGATTTTATTCACGTATTAGGTTATAGGTTTTATTCACGTATTAGGTTATACACTCATGGGTTTTATTCACGTATTAGGTTATACACTCATGGGTTTTATTCACGTATTAGGTTATACACTCATGGTGATGTTTGACTGAGTTCTAACAATTTATTACAATAGATGGATTTTTGAAAAATGAATAAGCAAGCTTTGGTAAATGATCTAAATGAGGACTTCAGGTTGTTTAAAGAGAGAATCAGATGAAGCGAGCGGGCTAAACAAAAAAATTGTTTCAATTTTAGAATATTTTTGACTCATGTCATGTCTATTTTCTAAAAATCACTCAAGTGCATACTTTATTCCAGGAAAACTAAAGAGTTTTACAATAATGCATTATTTTTCTATAAGAATGGTTACCATTCTTATTATTTGGGAGAATTTAAAGATTTTTCACTCATTATGCACTTTGAATCATTAATAACTTCACCATTCTAACATATTGTGAATCTTTTTGGAGATATTCTATTTGATCTTGTAAGGAATAGATTGGTAGGTCAGTTATACATGTTGCTTGTAATTTTGTCACCCCTATAGATCAGATTCTGCCTTAAACTTATGATGAGACTTAGGACCAGCAAGGTCCACACATAAAGGGAACCCTGATAACTGGGAACCATTATTTCTGTTACACCGGACATATACGTGTGTGCTTTAATCTTTGTAATACTTCTTAACTCAAAAATGGTTCATTATTTGAAAACCTTTTTTGAAAAAAGCCCGTATGCCAATACCGTCTGGGCTTCTTTTTTTGCTTTTATTAAAATTTTCTGGAAAGAGGAATCTTTAACTCTTTGAACCCTTAAGATTGAAACTCCTAAACAACGCATCCCCATTACTACTAGAGATAATACCGTTCATATAGCCATGGTGTACGTTTTCGTATAACATTTGTTGCTATTTAATACTTTTTCCCAGTCTGGAGTAATCTAGATATAGATATTGGTAAGTAGAATTTGAACGCTATCACTTTTCAAGCCATTCTGGATCCTTTAGCGGATAGGTTAAGTTATACTACTTATATTAAAATGGTTTGAAAACTTGTAGCAGTGTAGTATTGGTATGTGTCCAATTAATTTGTTGCAATAACAAATATTAAAACATAAATATTGTGGATTTATTTTGTTTGCTTAAAAGTCCACGTATAATAAGGTGAACAAATCTATATATACACTCCCCTGCATAAGTTTGGCAACCTTTTTTCCCCATTGGACTATGTGTTAAAGCCTCTTTACGTTTGAATTTTTATTTACTTAACCGGCGATGAAATAACGTATAATATTGATGGAAACGTAACTTGACTTTATTTCTAATACCTCCAAATTTTCTCAATTTTTTTCCTCAACTACAATAGGTCGACAATTGATGATAAATTTGATGAATTTTTGAAAATCGTCATTCCCATGTAATCCAATGGGAAATGGAGGGTTCGGGGCAAATCAGAAATCAGGATATCTTTTCAGTAAAAGATTCAGCAAAAAATATTTTTATATAGAAAATTGAATTGTCTAACTTTTTTGAACACTAAGTGTTTAGTTTATTTGATGAATAGTAAAGTTACAGCGCTTCAAAGTCATTTTTGAAAATAATTTTTCGCCTCCTGTGTTATTTCAATGGGAGAGGTTTTCTGAAAAACAATTTTGACTTTAAAGCCCTATAACTTTGTTGAACCTGAAAAAACATATCAATTTTTTGTTAAATAAAGTTAGCAAATTCAATTGCCTGCCTAACTCGTATTTTTTGCAATGACTCGGATGAATGGATATTCTGTCATATGACTTGCGGCAAACCTACCACTTCCCATTGGTTAACATGGGAATGTCGATTTTCAAAAATTCATCAAATTTATCATCACTTTTCGACCTATTGTAATTGAGGAAAAAAATTGAGAAAGTTTGGAGGTATTGGAATTAAAGTCAAATTACGTTTCCATCAATAGTATAAGTATTTTCATCGCAGGTTAAGTAAATAAAAATTCAAAGGTAAAGAGGCTTTAACACGTAGTTCAATGGGGGAAAAAAGGTTGCCAAACTTATGGAGGGGAGTGTACCTCATATATATCTCATTCAATTGAATATCAATTTCAAGTTGAACCATAAGATCATAGGTTGTGATGGGTCGAATATAGCGTTGGTGTGTATGAACCCGTGCGTACCCATCAATAATGCCAATCGTAAACGTTACCCTTATTATCGGTGGTCTTTTGCACAAAATAATCGAGTATTTATACATGTATTGATAAGCATTTTATAGTCTGAAAAATATTGAATAGACCATGAAATGTAATCAAACAGTATATACATGTACATATTTATTCTGTACCTTTTTAATCTATTTTTGTTTTAAATTTACTATTCATTTGACTTTATCAAAGGTAATATTCGTGCATGCACATGTTTTATTTTAGTTATTTTTACTCATAAACTGTAGGTAACCTGTATATTAAATTAAATCAAACCCACGTACTTACGTGTATATGAATAAGTAAACAGTCAGTTTCAGCGGCTGTTTGCAAAAGTAAAGTAGATTCAACATTTCATTAAACACAAAGGGAGACATGAAATGAAAAAGTAGATTACGTGCCTGGTTACAAATGTCCTATACTCGCTTCCATAGGCCGAGTAACATGAATAATTAGTCCAAAATTACCGTCACTTTGGGCAAACTTCGATTTTGCATTAATTATACATGTTCAGCTTTAGATTTAGACAGCTCATTAGGATCATAGTAGAGGACTCGTGTACATGTATATAGAGCCAACAAAAATTCAAAAAAGCAAGCCCAGTGTATTTTGATTCTAGCTATACTATCCCATGTGAATCTACTTGTTGATACTCAATGAACATGAGTCCTTCTGAGATAATGAGGATTTCAGCATGGTGTTGACTTGTCCCGGTGATGTACATAATTGACTTTAAAGCTGCAGATTATTATGTCATCATGCGTGGTGATAGTTAAAAAATCCTTTTATCTCAGAACTCACGTTGATTGAGTCTCAACAAGTATATTTACGTAGGAGAGTTTTGGTGGAATCCATATTCAACGGTAAAAATAGGGACGTTAAAGCCTGAGGCCTTTTTGAAAATTTTGGTTAGCTTTAATATGGAGCATTGGGTTAGATAGCAATTAGTGTCAACTACAAACGAAAGCTTGGTGACACATATGTTTATGAGAGGCAGTTATGATGAAAGAATGAATCAATAACTATTGGCATTTCAGTGATTTGAAAATGTTAATTATCACAGACGTGTCAACACGATTGGGTGGGGATTATAGTCATGATAATTATACCATGAATACCACAAAGCTTATACATGGGTAAATAAGTAAACAGTGGAGCGACCACTATGGCAATTGAAGTATTAAATAGGGAGGTTAGGCTACACGTTTATAGAGAGCGTGTACGTGAACATGTAGTATTATGACCCCGAGCAGGGAATTCAACCCCCTTCCAAAAGCTTGTCCAGGACCTTATTACAACTTTCTTCAAGAAACCTTTAAATTCCATCGGACAAGCAAATACTATGAAGGGTAAAACTAGTCCCTAAAGGACCATAATTCTGAACGTTCGCGTACAAGTTATCTAAAAAAATCTAGCTTACCTTTCCTATCACCTACAAGCCTCTTTGTATTCCTATAATGCCGAGACATGTGACTATGTACGTCATAAAGTATTCATCCAATTAACCATCTTATATGGACCACGTGATCTTCAATGTGATGAGATCTTATAAAATGCCAATGCGCATGTTCATCGATATCAAATAGGATTTTGCTTGGGAAATCATCGAAGTTGTCTACTTAAATTGAATCCATTATATGTAAAAGCCATTTTGATAATATATTCATAAAATTTTCTTTAGGTGACATTGAACCAGTAAGTACAACTAATATACCCAACATACAAGCCAACTACATATTTTTGTCGGACGAGTTCCTGTTGTCCGTCAATGATGCAGGAAGTTGGTTGGGTGAGGGAAGTTACATAAGACACAATTTGAACAAAACAACCAAGGTGGGGTTCCTACAACGCCGAAGAGACCCCATCACAAATGACTTCCACGTGCCAAGGGCTATTCGCCGCTATATTATTGACGATAAAGTGAGATACAACGGGAAAAGACTTAATCCTGCAAAAATGTCCATATCTGACTTATACGGTTTCATGTCTTCATTGGAGATATTTCAAGACAGCGAAAAAATTGACCCCTTTAGAGACCACCGACGATATGATCCATCGGGAAATTTTTGTCACTGTGAAATCGAAGCAGACTGTGACTGCGTCATATCCCAAGATGATATGTTCAAAGACCTGTCTGGAACATCCACTGACTATTGTAACGAGTACTATAATACACCCCTGAGACCTATTTCAGGGGATGAAGATTGGATAGGGGCATATAAAAGGAAGGCTGATGATTTGTTATATGAATTCCAGCATGGACGAACTGATATATTTCATGAGGAAGTTCTTGTGAATAAGCAGACAGACCGGATATCCGGTCAACCCAAGTATCGCTTTTCAAATGAGGAGGTTGAAGAGGTATTCTATCTCGAAGCAAGAATTCAAAGAAACTTTGAGGTTCATAATGGGGTATCAATGGAGATATGGGGCTGGAGAGGGGGTAAAGTAGAAGATTTTAAGTTCGATGAGTACGGTAATTTGATTAATGGATTCATAGTAGTTGGGCCTCACCCTCGAACTGACTACAACGATGTTGTATACTATAACCAGAGTAGATGTGATCCGGAAAACAACATCAACCCCGGAGAATGTGCCTGGCCATATTCTCAATGGGGATACAGCTATATGGGTTGTAAAGAAGTAAATGGAACAATACCGGAGAAGTGTGATATGTCCGAATCTATAGATGGTAACAACTACACTTACGGCTATGACAAATCTCCATGGAGAGATCTTGAAGTACGGACCCCTGGACCACAAATGAAATTCACAGATGGGAAACGGACGAGAATATATGTCTACAACAATATGGAACATGATTGGAAGCACAAAATAAGGTATTCAAATATTATACTTTTAATAGCTGTGTACGTACATTAGAAGTTTCAAAACGTTTTCAGGAAAGCACAAAATATACCATACAAGTAGGAAGTAGTGAATGGGAGTGTCGTCTAGGTTTCTCCCCCAGACAATCAGTGATGTCGGCCATTATGATTGTTCATATAATATCTATCATGTACCTTAGATATATCTTGAGAACATATCGAGGGCACAGTAGTATCGCCGATACATTGAAAAAATCCACAGAACAACCAACTGTTGGATAAAACATAATTAGTCAAAAGCAACATTCAACCATTTTATATAATAAAACCCTTGAAAGTAATGAATATAACTGTCTAATATAAGTGTTATGGGGAAAGATAATCAAATATTCCTCCATACATTTCAAAAAGATGATATTTTAACACCAATGCAAAGATAGAACAAAGGATACACTTTTTCAATAATAAAATGCCATATTTAATGGGCCACTTCAATGTTGTAACATCTGAAATATATTTTGCAAGTGATGTCATTATGACCCACTCAGGTGGCAAAAACTTATTTTTCTATGTCAATCTTTTCTTAATATGCTTAACTTCAAAAATACACCAATGTTGATTGTCTAACCAGGCTAAAAGGAAGAATATATTATGCTTTAGATATTATTGTACCATTGGTTTCGATGAGAACTAAAATTTTGAAATGCATTTTTCTCTGAACCATTTTCATGAATTGATGAGTTCATTTTTAGCTTATTTATGAACCGATTTTCTCAATTTTTTCGGCAAAAACATGTTCGGATGAATGCTATGCATTGGTATGAATTATCTCTTACTAAAAGCTATGTGTGACCACTAAATGTTAGTTTTAAATAAATTCACGATTTTTCAATATAAGCCAAAGTGGTTTTAACTTTATATTGAGGGTCGAATTAGTTGAAGCACTAAAGTTGGTAAGTTGATAGACCAACTTCTTATATACATCTACATCTCTTAGAGCCAAAACATCAGACAGTTACTCTGATTGTGCTTTTATCACACATGACACCTTTTAACGACTTGGATTAGAATTCAATCTAAATTATGGTATATCAAAAGGGCACGTCAACCATACCATAGTCAGTTTGGAAGAGGATTTTAATGTTATTATTTGATACATTAGAGTCTAAGTTAGAATACACATTGATTGTTTAGTTGTTGAGACACGGAACGCACATTGCTTTCGGTTATTGTTTGCCAATCCTTAAACATAACAAAATAGCAATTACCACAAAAAGATTCATTTTTTGATGACAGGATATCATTTATTTAATGGATTCAATTATAAAGCTCATCAATAACAAAAAAGCAACCAAGTTTAGCTGGCCTACAATTAGAGTGTTCTGTTTGCAATGAGAGGCAATTGTAAAACACTAAAGAAAGGCTTCGTAGATAATCTTAGATTGCAGTTGCAATTCAGTTTGTCTATATTAGTAATTAATTAATAGCAGGGGTATTCACATGGATAAAGTAGTCCAGTTAATCCAATGATGTGGGGTGATGTATGTCGGGGGTATGTTAGGGGTGGCAAGGATGATGGGGCGGATTCAGGCCAAATGAGGCATTATTATCCATTCTGGGTGTCATTTCCATAGATTGATTTAAAAACATCTGAAAAAAATAAATTGCCGTAAACAATGTGGTGGGGCATGCCTTGCTACATCTATGCAAATGGAGCCAGACAATATATTTCATTTGCATCAATATATGCGATTGACCAGGAAGTGGAATTGCTACAAATATCTGATTAATAAATCATCAATATCAACTTCCGTGTTTTGTATAAAATGATTCAGTGTCGATATAAGTAAATGAAATGTATTCAAGATCTGATTATATTGACATGATTTGATCAAGTTATGTTGTTGCTACTACATTAATTATTGTACAACTGTATATACTTCCAGTTTCATTATGACGTACAATTTCCGTAATCCGCCGCTTGGTTCATTTACACCGCATTGAAACACATCAACCCATCATTTTATTTCTAATTGACTTACATCTATAAATTATACATATGATATGATATCGGATGGTGCTGCTATTAGACTCTCAATCTTCACTTTGGAGTACTCTTGTATGTGCAAAATAAACGAAGAAAACAGAATAGACAGACTGATAGTCTCCCAAGAAAAATGCTGCGTGAACTTTACACAATGACAAAACCCAAGTTACAATTACAATAATTTGCTATGAAATATCCACCCATGTTAATTGGTTTGGTATATATGGGATGGGCAAAATTCCCTTAATCACTAACCATAGTTAGGACTAAATCAAGCTTTCGATGGCATATTGCTTTCTCAAGATGTTTGAATTTGGCGGGAAACTGGAAGATTTGACCTCGACTTGATCTTTGACTAAGTAGTGACAAGTAGTTCCGGGAAACCGTATATCCCGCGTCTCTGTTGAGTTCTGGTATGTTTTATGATTGGGGACCACTTCATTAACCTTTCCATCAAAACATTTCGCTTTTTTGACAATGATTCAATTAATCTGTACTCCAAGTCTTTTTATGCGTTTCGTCAAATGAATGTCAAGCGATTGCAGATTTGTCTGATTTTTATTTATTTCCCTTTTTAACACTTATAAAAAGGAATGACACAACATCAAATTGGAAACCTCCTTACTCTCATTAATTCCTAATTAAGAGACTCCCATCTCCGGTCTTTTACATTCACAATCAACAAAATGTTGTTCTATACTATGTTTTCACTGGGCGATTGGCAAACCATTTCATGTAATTAATACAATTTATGGATAAATAATTTACCAAATAAAAAGACGCTTTTAGACGAATATGCATTGGTTCTCATAGAGCAACGATAATGCTAAGATGTTCTCAACTAAAGCAATTTGAATACTTATAATGATTCCAGTGTACATTGGCATGGTATGGATCTTCCCCATGATCAAGATGGCGTGGCATTCGAGACACATACCCCGATTGAGGTGGATGCAACTTGGGTCTATGAGTACCAGATACCAAACATAGGTTCAAGGTAATTACATGCTTGTGATATATAACATTTTCAAAATATTCAAAATTATTAGTGATTTGCAGGGGCGTCGGACAATATTTGAAAAGGGGTGCGTCTTTCCAGAAAATATAGGTGGCGCGTAAACTAAGTGCGTTGCTTGAGGCCGCGCATTAGGGTATCCGGGGTGTGCTCCCAGGGAAATCTATTTTGAGATGTTGTTTGGTGTAATCTAAGCGTTTTTAAAAATAATAAGCAGTTCTTTTCTGATAAAAAAACAGAATTTTGGAGTTTCACAGGAATCTCATCAAAATAATGATGGGCAGTTTCAGAGGGGGATGCGTTCGCACGAAACGCCCCCTTCCCAACTTCTGACGCCCACGTGATGTGTTTTTTTGCTTTATTTGTTTGACTTTGCTACTCAAGGAATTTGATGTTTATCAAGTTAAGTTTTAAAGAGTTGTTTGACATCATAATTCAATATAATGTTGGTTATAGTATCTGGTGTGTTATAATTATAACACACCAGGTATCACTACATTATAACACACCAGGTATCACCAACATTATAACACACCGGGTATCACCAACATTATAACACACCGGGTATCACCAACATTATAACACACCGGGTATCACCAACATTATAACACACCGGGTATCACCAACATTATAACACACCGGGTATCACCAACATTATAACACACCGGGTATCACCAACATTATAACACACCGGGTATCACCAACATTATAACACACCGGGTATCACCAACATTATAACACACCGGGTATCACTACATTATAACACACCAGGTATCACTACATTATAACACACCAGGTATCACTACATTATAACACACCAGGTATCACTACATTATAACACACCGGGTATCACTACATTATAACACACTGGGTATCACTACATTATAACACACCAGGTATCACTACATTATAACACACCAGGTATCACTACATTATAACACACCGGGTATCACTACATTATAACACACCAGGTATCACTACATTATAACACACCAGGTATCACTACATTATAACACACCGGGTATCACTACATTATAACACACCAGGTATCACTACATTATAACACACCGGGTATCACTACATTATAACACACCAGGTATCACTACATTATAACACACCGGGTATCACTACATTATAACACACCAGGTATCACTACATTATAACACACCGGGTATCACTACATTATAACACACCAGGTATCACTACATTAAAACACACCGGGTATCACTACATTATAACACACCAGGTATCACTACATTATAACAAACCGGGTATCACTACATAATAACACACCAGGTATCACTACATTATAACACACCAGGTATCACTACATTATAACACACCGGGTATCACCAACATTATAACACACCGGGTATCACTACATTATAACACACCAGGTATCACTACATTATAACACACCGGGTATCACTACATTATAACACACCAGGTATCACTACATTATAACACACCAGGTATCACTACATTATAACACACCGGGTATCACCAACATTATAACACACCAGATACTGTTGGAATGGGCATGTTCGTAATTAAATATAATGTTTTGTCTCTTTGGGTGGTATCACCAACATTATAACACACCAGATACTGTTAGAATGGGCATGTTCGTAATTCAATATGATGTTTGATCTCTTTAGGTGGTATCACCAACATTATAACACACCGGATACAGTTGGAATGGGCATGTTCGGACCTGTGTCTACTTCATTTCCCGATGATATCACAACGTGGGACAGAGAGTACACACTTATGGTGCATGATGGCCAAGGTCGTTTTACTATGAATGGCAACTCATTTCCCGGTACTGTAAGGCGATTATCCGGTTGGTTTAAAGACCAAATACGGATCAAGAAAACCGAAACGGATGAAAACGGTGATACGATTGTTACAATAGTTGATGAACCCAGGGCCGACTTTAGTGTGCCTTTGGGAGGCAAAATGTGTCCAACAAGGCAAAAATATAACAGTCCAGCCTCAGGGGCCCCCATTAGGCCTGGAACAGGGTATACTGGGTCGGGATTATTTGGGGACACCGACAAAACTCACAATCACAGAGGTCATAATATCCTCTGCAAAAAACATGGTATAAGAGTTCAAATAGCTGGTGTAAATGAGCCTACGTGGTCATATCCATATACAACTGTAAATGGTCGCCATTATGTTACAAGAGTTGATGACACCAAACTTAGAATCAAAAAGATAGGAGTAGCAGGGACTGTACCGGGCAGTGGGGGTATTTTGTACATTTGGAGAAAGCACAAATCAAGCCTTGAAGAGCCGTATACACAGAACAGTGGTAACTCTGCATCATATGTTAAGGGGAACGATGGTGAAGAGGTAGCTATGCGATGGCATAATGCTGCACTGACGCCACATCCTCTACACATACATGGTCACCAGTGGCGTGTCATTGGAGTTGATGGTGAGTTACCAGCAACGAAATTTCGAACTCTGCTGCTTGACTGCATTTGGCATTAACTGTTCAATCAAAATATGATAAGTACTTGAGAAGTGTGATGTTGTTACATTAGTTAGATGAACTCAATGAACAACATCTAGAATGATCTGAAACAACAGAAAAACAACAATGCTGCAGTACTATTACATTTACTACAATGTTACATTTTGTAGGTAACCTGGACGATGCCCCACAAATTCACAATGTATATCTAATCCCTCAGGCTGGTACGTTTGATACAACCGTCGCAATGAACAACCCTAACTGTTTCGGCGCATGGGTAATGCACTGTCACAATCTGCAGCATATACAAAACTCCGATAATCCTTGGAGAGGCGGCGTATCATACCCTGGTGGTATGTTCACCCTTATTGACTACACAGGTAGGTGGTTACTACATTATATTATTGGAGATGGTTATTGTTTTGTAAATTGACTTAAAAGTTACTGAGAATAATGCAATGATATGCTAATATCATTAATTCTATATAACAAAATATTGTAATTATTCATATTTACGATAAAATGCGCCACCTAAAATAGTGGAAATAAGAGATGAAGTGATGTGTTTATTATATCCAATAAGCTTAAGCCTGGCAATAAATCAACATACCACATCAACCTGTCAATTTTATGATAAACAACACGTCAATTATGCTTGTCAAAATAAGATAACTTATGATGTTTTTGATATTTTACAATAAGAGCTTATTTAATTGACGAGGAAGTTAAATTTGCATCATGGCCTCTAGATTATTCATTATTTTTCCTGATTTTTGAATTTCTATCATTCCCATAATTCTATCTTCAGTATAATTTAACCTATTATTTTGACATTTTTCCTCATATTTAGGGTTTGGACAAGGAAAGAATGCAATCTCTCATCTTTTTGTAAACGAACCCTTCAATACGCTCCCCCCAGACTGCAAGGCACGGGATGATGTCAAAGCCGGAAAAGATATACTTGGTGAAGCCGCCGTAAAGGGCAAGGAATATGTGAGGCTGGGCGTTGACGCGACATATGGTACAGATTTATACAAAAAGAAGCCATTTGGTGACATAGTAGGATATAAATGGACCATTGATAGATATATTAACAAAGAGGGTAAGAGTGGACATGAGATCGCACTTCCAAAGGGATCACAAATCGACAAACACCAGGTCCTTAACGGCTCTAATCCACAGGTAACCGGATTTGATGTAAGTGGAGACTACCACTTCAAAGTTGATGTGATTGGGAAGCACAGTGAAAGAGACAACGAAGATGATGAAACCCATTGTTATGACTACCAAGAAGTCAATTATGACAGTGAACTCCTCATTGATGATAGAAATCACCCTGCAATCACCGAACATGGAAAATTTACAAACCTTAAACTTCAGCCGGGTGTTGAGAGAGGTCATGTCACCTATCCTATGTATAAAGCTACACTCAGAACAGGCGTTGATGAACTAATTGTTGAAACATCAAACAATGTTCAGTCAAACGATATTTCTGGAACATATAGAGCACAGGTGTCCTCGCCCTCTAACAAAGTATACATCAACATGGAAAAGTCTTGCAGTATTGGTAGAGTTGAACTTGATGCCCGTATAACTACCCATGGGACTCCATTAGGGGTAAACTTGATTCCGGGAGAGGATATAGGTACAATTACTCAAGCTTTACATGTTGGGAAGTTTGGAAGCAGAAAGATTTATTTCACTGTAACTGATGTAAGCCACAAAGAATGGGCAGAAAAGTATTCAACAGTGTTTTCACCAGTATTAGCAGATGCCCCTGACGAGGCGTGCGAGTTAGATGCAACCTATAATTCAAGAACAGAGACATTTACATTCACTCGAGATGCTGGATTTGTAGCAAGGATTGTCAATGGTAAGAGTGTAGGGCCTGTGGGCAACCCTGACTATAGCCCTTTAAAGCGAGTTGTAATCAATGGCGAGACGATTACCTTAAACATGCCATTTGTTAAATGGGGGGATGAAGATGGACAGATGCTAATCGTTGATAATGGTGGGTGTGATCCTCTTATTAGATCAATCCTTCCAAGCCCGAAATGGAAGGGAGATGGACCAAGAGGTTGCACTCCTGATGAAGGTGCATTAGAGCGATATAATGGAGGACAGGCTCTCGAAATTGATATTGACAATGCCAGAGTAGTTATGAAATTACACAAAGCCACCCTCAGAGATGATGGTATTATTCCATACTATACTGTATTCGAAGCTTCAAAGTTTCCAGCCGCTGGTAATATGGGTAATGTCCTTGCGCCTAAATTGGAACTTCTTGGACGAGGTGATGATGAACGAACAAATGATGCTGTAAGAGCCCTGATTCAACTGGGTAATGGTGTGCCTATTAGGGCCGGTGGTCCAGCGTCATTCCAGGCAGGAATCGTTCCATTCAGCGCACACTCTGCAGGCTACACGCCCATGTGGCACATTGTATGGCTATTTTACAACTGTGGCTTCATGAACGGCATGAAATGGGACAACGTAGTTGGCGAAGACGCATCTGAATTCCTAGAAGGATTTAACAATGGTGTAGATGGTAGTAAACTTGACTCTTCAGACGAAGACTTTGATCCATTCCAACTTTCTGGTGGAATTAAAAATAATGCCTGTCCTGGTTACGCGAAGAAGGTCACGGGTAATAAAGATGGGTTGTTGTACCTTGGGGAAGAACAAGCACTATTAGAAAAACGTCAGGCATTTTTGACAGATTCGCCAGGTGGAAATCCATTGAGCAAGAAATTCGGAAAAGGACCAGGATTCATGATCGTAAACTGTCCAATGCCAGTCACAGTGGACATGAACTGTGGAACAAGTCCATTTAGTCATGTTGACAGCAAAGAACGAGTCGGAGAATGGCAGCTATATTGTAAAGATGAAAATGGAATTACTACAACTGTCGCGAAGGGTGATAATGTTGCTGATATAAGACAGGTAACATGGTCGGAAAATGCTGGTATAAGTAGTGTCACCCTGAATCAAAACCTTGCTGATAAACCAGTATATTTTATAATGACTGATTCAGAAAACAAAGAACTGGGAGACATGTTTGGTGGAGCTCCTTCTCCAGTCCTCTCTGAAGCTCCATTGGAATCCGTAGAATACATTGCCCTTTTAGAACCACTTAAATTTAATGAAACAACTGGTGAGACAAATCTGGTATTTTATGAAGATCCAGGATATGTTGCACGAGAGGAAGGCGGTAAAGTGCTACCACCTGTCGGTAACCCCAATTACAGTCCATTAAAGCGTTTCCTTTTCAAGTGTAAAACTGTTACTATTAATATTCCATTCATGCAATGGGGAGACGAACCTGGACAGAAATTGATAGAGGATCATGGGGGTTGTGATCCACTTATAAGGTCAGTACCACCATCCCCTAAATGGAAGGGAAACGGACCACCTGGCTGTGACTCAGATCAGACCTGGCAGAAAAGGTACAAGGGCGGTCAAGCATTGAAAATCGATGTCTCAACTATGCAGGCCACAATTAAAACTCACAAGGCAACACTTAGAGATGATGGGATCATACCTTATTACATAGCACTCGAGGCTTCGAAAGCACCTGCAGCTGGTTTTATGGGTACAATTCTCGCACCAAAAATGGAAAAATTGGGACGAGGTGATGAATTCAGAACGAATGATGCTGTTCGGTCATTGATACAATTTGCGAATGGTATTGCACCTGAGGATGGTGGAGGTCCAAATGCTTTCCAGCCCGGAGTTGTTCCATTTGGCGCTTCCTCCGCAGGATATACTCCCATGTGGCACATCCTTTGGTTCTTTTACAATTGTGCTAACGATGCCTCTTCTATTAATGACACTGCTGTTTCTGATATGAATGAAGGTGGTAATGCATTTATGAAAGGTAGAAACGCTGGGTTTGATGGTAGTGAACTTAACCCTAGTGACGATCCGTTCGATCCTTTCCAAATGAACGGTGGAATAAAAAATGCTAAATGTAAAAAATTCGCCCAAGAGGCCAATGGTAACGAAGAGGGTATAATGTATTTAGACGGAGAAAAGTCATTAATGGAAAGAAATCTAGGTATTGTAACAGATTCTCCACCAGGTAACCCATTCAACAAAAAGTTTGGAAGGGGTCCAGGATTCATGATTGTTAACTGTCCAATACCTATTACAGTCAATATGAATGATAATGTTCCTGAAAAGTCCTCTGATCCTGCAACGGCTGACGGCAGAATCGTTCGACTTATCGGTACTGATAATGTTGATTTTTGGTTCCTTAAGATAGGTGATTCCCCCGCAATAGCACTAGATCGGTCCACCATAGAAGATATTCAAGAGGGAAAAGCCAGTACTGTTCAACTTCGTGAGGGCGATACGCTTATTGTAGAGGTAACAAGTGGAGGGACTGGCCATGGGTTTGTGTTGCATAGCATGCATTTAACAGAGGAAACAGCTGAACAAGCATGTTTAGAAATGTTTGATGTTGAGGAATCACCTATTCAACCTTCTAAATTCTCATCTTCATCGTTTGTTCACATATTTAAGCAAGATCTGTTTGGTGTTACAGGATCACATGTTGCTCGGAAAATATTCATGGGTACGGTTAGACGAGGGGTGGTTGGTAAACGGTTAGGCTTTGTATGTCCGATTCATGGGCCAAAGAAAATGAATGGAATCTTAGAAATAATCAGCGCTTGATAGGTTCTGGACTGGCACTGGTCTTCTAAATCACATCAGTGATCATAACATAATCAGGTACTTCTTCCAAAAATCAACAACGTATACTGACGACATCAATTTGAAAATCGTGAAAACGATATCTTATTTTTCTAACATATAGGGGTTATGATGTTAATGGAAGATTTTATTAGGGTTGTTGGTTTTTGATTTTAAACTTAAATATAATTCGTAAATCGTCTCAGAGCAGTTGTAGTAAAGTATCATGTAACAATTAACAGTATAGTTATTTAGGCTTTGGTTTGTTAAAGTTACTGTCTGAATATGCATTAATAATGAATATGCATAGATTAACTTTTGCACTTATCAGTGGTCCACGTCTGTGTGTAACTGTAACTGTAACTGTAATTCTGATCTTTTGAAAGTTTAGATATCATTTGAAAATACAATTTGGATATTCAGTCTGTGTCCAAGTTTTACAACTACCTTCTTATCCTGATACTTGACCAGTTTGTCATATTCATCTTGAGATTTTTCTGGCATACTATTTTTCCGAAAAAATGAGTATAGGCTGGCAAGCATAATTAATCGATTTCTTCCGAGAAGTCCTGGCCTTTTTACACTTTGCGAAATAAAAAACGGTAAATAGCATGAGGTACCAGTCCAGTGGAATATATATTTCAAGAGAAATTTCGCCTTCATCAGTAATGACCTAGACAATGCACCCATTAGTAGTTATGTTAATCCATGCCTATTCTACGTTTTGATTGGTCAGGATGTGTCAACGCATGCTTAATATATGTGTGAAACTAGGATGTAGTGTAAATGTTACTGTAGTCCATAGCTAGTAACTGTAATTAGTGCACCTTGGCTTCTTTATGTGTTTTTGCAAATTTGTGTTGTGATACCTACGCACCGAGCGCCATTATGTTTACATTATAAACGTATCGTCCTAATCGATGACCAGCACTGCTTTGTTCCTTGGGTTATCTACTAAGATGGATTGAAGATGGTTCTACAAACTACTAACCCTGACTTTTACTGGACAAGAAATTTTAGTTCTACGAGTGTACGATTCAGGCCTTCATTCGGTGTATTTCACGTAAAGGACAGTAAGTGTTAGACAGTGTAAGTGTGAAAGTGTTCAGGTTTTTCAAAAATGTCATTATTTTTTATATCAATTTCCGTTAATTCAATGTTATTTCGCAATAATCCTGAATGACAGAACACCCTCATTCTGTCTGTTAGAAGGATCTATTCCAACACTTCACAGTCATTATCCTTTGGATTTAATTAAATCTAAAGCAAATTATATTTATATGTAACAAGTATGAGGCTCTTAGATTTTACTCATTTAAACGTGCATCTAGTTAATATATAAATTAAAATAAATGACAAAAATCATAATAAGGGTGAATTCAGGAAAACATGTCCCTTCTTGAATAAATGGGTAAATGACATGATTTGATTTGTTTCCCTCAATTGATATTGCTTTACTTACTTTGTCCATAGCATTCTGAATAATTAAAAATAATGTTTTTATGTGTGTGTTTGAAAAGCAAGTTCACTGTTATTAAGAATCTTTCAGTTTTGGACGGATTTTCTTCTGTCACCAGTGTAGGCCTTAAGGGCCGGCTCACTGGTCATTACCAGGTTACTTTTGAGACGGACCAGTTGGTGTTTCCCTAGGTATAGGAAAATAACATTGCAACTGGTCCTTAATGCCATTTTAACCAGCAGTTTCAGATCCTTGGGGCCTACACTGTCTGTCACCCTGTATTGAATATTCGAATATGATAATATATGTTTGCATAAAATCAAAATGAATGTATTTATTTTTATCTATGTACTTTTGAGTATTTTTATCTTTATCTTTATAATTATTTCATCTTTATTGTTTTGAGAGTATATGTTGTACGGATTGAGAGGAAAACAGTTTGCAGTCTTAACCCAACAAATGGAGTTTGGTAGAATATTGTGCAATGCACGTCTAGCTGTCTGAATTAACGCAATCGACTCTGAAAACCTCATCATCCAATATGCTGCAAAATCAAAAAACGCTTTCTTTTTTTCCCCTGCGATAAAAAGTAATGGAATTCCCATAGAACTCACAATCTGATTGGCTGTCGCAAATGCGATAGCGATTTTAAATGCTGCTCAAACATACTGTAGGTTATAATATACATGTACATTCCAGCGTATATTGTGAATACTAAATATATTTTGAAATAGAGTTTCTGATTGGTTTTCGATGAGCAATTACTAGTATTTAAAGAAAAATATGATTGGTCAGAAAACGGTGCTTTAAAATAGGTCATTACAATCGCCTTTCATGCTTCTCTTCGTTCAAGCATGAAAATATGCAAAATAAGAAAAATTTGGAGAAAATTGTTATCAATGAAATTAGAACACAGATTTTGTTCGTTTGGATTCGCTACTCCGTGGAGTTGCAGTTTTTCTAGTTAAGCTGTAAAATGATAACTGCATGTAACGTGTTGAGTTCGTTAGTTTGCACTGCATATATACGTTCAGTGAGGTGTAGAAAGGTAGAATCAGACATGGAAGGTTTGACAGGAAATGCGTCTTCTGTATTTTTGTCTCATATAATGCCTATTTCCCGATGATATCTCTTCATAAATTATTCAAATGATATGTAATGAACATTCTTCTCCTAAAAATAGTTTTGGGATATCCACATTAATTGGAATTTCACTTGATACGCAGAAGCAACTGAGAAAGTCATTCTTAGAATTTAAACAATATATTTTGGAAATTGAAGGACACTTTGATTAGTTGTGAGATCGTTAATGTTTATTTGCAACTTTCCCATCATTCTCTTTTATCTCTGATTATTACCTTTAGGGAAAGTGCAGTGTAACAAAATATGCATTATGTCTTTGTACCATTTTGCCTGGAACGGTGTAAAATAAAAAGTATATTAAATTATATTTGAGTTTTGAATTTTACTTCTTCATTGGTCGGCCTATGTTCCTGTTTTAAAGATACAATAACGAAAGTCTATCCACCAAAGAAAATAGACTAACTGAAGTGTTCCTATATAAGGGGTAACACGATAAAATGACCACTTGTAAAATTGAGGGCCAGAGAGTACTAATTAATATTTGGTGTTACGCGGAATATGGCGAATATTCATGATACGGGGGAATATACCATACGCATCTGCGCCCTGTGGTATATGGCATATTTCGCAGGTGAGCATGGCATATTCCGCAGTGATACATTGATTTCAGTAAATACCCAAAACTCACCTGCGCGGAGTATGCCATACTCACCTGCGGAATGTGCCATATACTGCAGGTGAAAACACGATGCAGAAAGCTTCGATTCGATTGGTCAAAATAATCAATTTTAAATGTAAAACTACGCTGGATCACCAATATTGTTAGCGCTTCGAGTTCTAATATATGAATCCTGGATTGATTAAGTACATTTACACCCTATGCAGACAGAGCCTGTGGGAAATATTGGGTGCGGCGCAAATGAGCGGAGGGTGCGGAGCTAACGGTCATTTTTGAATTTAAAATTGGGATATTTCTGAAACTAAGCCGTTTTGGGACTTCAAATATACCAAGATATGTGTATTTGACACCAAATATCAATAAAATTGTGAAAATAGTAGTGCAATTCATTTTATAGCGACGCAGTATGCCTTAAACATTTCCCAGACCTATATATTTTGAGACTATCCTTTTAATACTGCGTCCCCAGCATTCATAAAAAATGGTGTTCAAGATACACTACCCATGCAAATTATTTTTGCATCTTGGAAGCCAGGCAGTATCTGTGTGATTTTATAAAAATTCGGAAATGTTCTTCAGATATGAGCCCCTCTAAATATTGGGTGCGGAGCTACGTTTATGGAGCTGCTCCGCACCCAATATTTAGAGGGGGCTCATATCTGAAAAAATTTCCGAATTTTCTAAAAATCACACAGATACTGCCTGGCTTCCAAGATGCAAAAATAATTTGTATAGATAGTGCACCTTGAACACCATTTTTTATGAATGCTGGGGACTCAGTATTAAAAGGATAATTTCAAAATATGTAGGTCTGGGAAAGGTTTAAGGCACACTGCGTCGCTATAGAATGAATTGCGCTACTATTTTCACAATTGTATTGATATTTGGTGTCAAATACACATATCTTGGTATATTTGAAGTCCCAAAACGGCTTAGTTTCAGAAATATCCCAAATTTAAATTAAAAAATAACCGTTAGCTCCGCACCCTCCGCTCATTTGCTCCGCACCCAATATTTCCCACAGGCTCTGTCTGCATAGGGTGATTTATTGCGTGACATTGCTGAATGACACTTCTGAGAGAAATGTGTAAATCGTGATTGCCAAAAAAAACAATACATTAATGCTCGTGATTTGTAGGTTTTTATTTGGTCTTTGTGACTCGTTTTTAATGAGATTTTAGGAGATTTGCATTTTTAACCATTAAAGACTAACATTTTCTTCGACAATGTATTGATGGCATATTTAACTATGTGTGTATTTCTCTATCAAAACAACTTCGATTTTACAGATATTTACCTTTATTATTTAAAGATTTTCAAGTTTTCTAAAGAGAATATCGGGCTAAATCCCCATTGACACAATGTTGAAAAATCATTCACTTACCCTTAATGGGGTCATAATTTTAATGTGAATTCACAATCCACGTGTCAATAAGATCATATAGTTAGATTCCAATGGTGTTTTAAGTTTATTTTTTTCATTTGAGTTACATATCTCACGATCAAAATGGAATTACTTGTTAAATCAAGAAATTAAATGACTCTTGCTATAGGCTGCCATGTATTCTAGCCCTACCAACACCCATGGTGCCATCTATTTTTCCATTTGTATTGAAAGGGTCAGAAAAGTATACTTCTGTATCGCGTTTTCATTGGTTAGTGAGCTAGTATGCCATATACCGCAAGTGAATCTGTCATACGCTGCAAGTGAATATGCCATATTCGTTGCTGAATGTGACATACATTAATTGTATCGTGTTTACCACGTAACATTTGGTAGAGGTGTTGGACTGACAGTAACTTTGGGGTAATATAGATTAGATTGCTTTAGGTTAAGGATTTAAACCCTGAACTCAGTGTCTTGGGCTTAAATTCTTTTCAAACATTGCAATTCCTACAAAATCAGCCAAAAGGAACGAAATCACTAAAAGAACACATTTTCAATGACTTTTTTGCAATGGTCAATTTGGCAATTCATCAAATCTAATGTGAAAAGTCCATTCATCACCATGACAACTGTTTAACTAGTGACCTTGCATGTGTTATTGATATTTCACACACTGTTCTATATGTGAAATACTGTGTACTGTGGAAGCAGACACACCTTGCCTAGCTATGTGTGAATTAAAGACTTTCACAGTCTCCTGTCTCTTGTTTATTGGATAATGGCTGATAATTCCCGATAGCCTTAATCTGCCCCCTCCCCCTCCTCTCCCCGTTCCAAGTTCATTTAAACTCAATATTGTACATTTTGACTAAGGTGAAAACTCAAAAATATGGTCCTTGTCAATTTTTGCATCTCTTCGTACTACTGTCTGTTCGTTGCGTTTATTTAAATTACTTTATGTCAGTCAAAGGAGTTAACTTAAAATTGTATGGCAACTCCTTCCTATGATGAAATATTATTTCCTGTTGTGACTACAGAGTGATGCGCAAGTAAACAGCGCTGTCTCGACTTTTGACTTGCCTAAAAAATCTCACCATAAATATAAATGGACTGGATCGAACTAGATCTAATCGGGGTTGTTTGGAAAGAAATCGGAGTTCATTTTCTGAAAAATCGAGAAATAATCGAGAAATCTGGATTTCTAAAAAATCATGGTCACAATAACTAAATCTACAATTCGGAAAAATCGGAGGGAGAAAGGTTGGCTCTTTTTTAATCTTGATTGTTTGGAAAAATCGAGGTTCATTTAGAAAATAAAGCTTGAGAAAGACCAGTTTTTAAAAAAAATCAGAAAACTTGGGGGTTACAAAAACTGACAATTCGAAAAAATCGGGAGAAAATCTGGATTGTTAAAAATGAATCGGGGGAAAAATAAGGGTTTGCACTGAAAAGTCTATCCGATAAATCGGGAGCATCAGCTTCGGGAACATGAAAAAAAATTGAGGCGAGTTCTCTAAAAAAGAGATACATGACAGCCCCGTAGCCAGGATTTACCTCGATGTTCACTTTTAAAAAATTGCAGGAGGGGTTCAGTTTTGAGCTAAAAATGGCCAAAATTACTTGAAAAGTACTCAGAATTGTGAAAAACTGCATGATTTCCAAAGAAGCTTTAGTCAGGGGGTTCCGAGCCCCCTCTGGCTACGGGTCTGCATGATACAGGGTGAGCCAAAAAAGTAACCCAAACAAATGTGAATAACTCATCCATCCAATCTCAGTAAAATCATATTTAGCACAACCATGAACCTTGTTCAAGTTCAATGTTCTTTCATTCTATCACGTTCCATTGGTCTATCTCAAATGACCACGATTTTATGGGTTATTTTACAATTAAAATATCCTCAAAATGACGATGTGAAAGAAATTATTGTCCCCTTTAAAGGCCCTTACATGCCCTGATTGTGTATAAGATAATAAGGGAAAGAGCATATTGAATATACATGAGTTCAACGCCGGAATGATGTTTAGCTAGCAATAATATCTACTAAACCTTGAATGATACTTGTCTGTAAAATTGTGACTGTTTTAATCTTGGCTGACAGAAATTCTGACACTGTCTATGTCAATAATCTACAAGGGTTCAAAGCCCATATTAATTTAACAGTGATAGAATTTGAATAGCATAATTCAAAACATTAACATTTAAAAATAGATCTATGGTTTGCAACTCATTTAAACTTATAAAGAAACTTTCTGGCTGGCCCATGTACCCCTACTAGGAAGGATATAGTCCTGAGTAAGGACATTAGCGGTTACCGTAAGTGATTTGGTTTTCTGAATAAAAAGTCATTTTCTCCTTCCCTACCCCATTGGAGCGCCATCTAGCGTTTGGGAAGTGAATCGGGACTAAATATTTATAGGGTAGGTCCTAATTTATCTGAAAACATGTCAGAGTTCAGTGGGAAATCTCATTTTAAGCTGGCGGCGGAGTGATTTTGACCTTGGTGATTTTACCAGAATTCTCTGAGAAATCTGACGATAGAGGGGGTTAGTGTCTTCAAGTTTATTTATTTCAAAAATTCGGTGGACAACCCATGGTAAGATTGTTATAGCAGGCTAGGCGAGTCTCTCCCGAACACTGTGGTATGTTGCACTAGGCTTGGATACTAATCGTTAATAAGATACAGGGTAAAATGTTATAATGGCCACCTATGGGAAACTCTACTGTGATCTTCAACCTAATAGAAGGCGCTTTTTTGGGGCATTTTGAAGGTTTTATCCCTTTTTGAGGTTTTTTAGTTCATTGAGAAGCCTAATAGCGCATATCATATTAAAGGGCTGTATCTTAGCTGAACAATGCTACCAAAATCGTGACATTTTGAAGCAATTTTGGTGTTTTGGGGGCGAGGCCACTGTGCCAAGTACCCCGAATTCCATTCTCCCGTGCCATTCAATTGTTTTCGGGGCAGTTTTGAATGAACCTTTGTTTCTTCCTACCAATATGACGTCATAAGATGCATTTGAACGCCTTGGCATGGATATCACTTGAAAGATAGTAGAAATCGCTTTCCAATGATACCCCATATGGCCATGTTCACCTCAGTTGGGTGTACTCAATCTGTGATGCAATCTGTAAGGTGTACCCCCACCCCAAAGAAATTTCAAGAAATCTCAAAATCAAATTTCCTGAATTTCGCTAAAAGGACCTGTGTCTATAAGGATTGACTTTTCCTCCGTGCTTTTTCTCAAATATAGGATTGTTATATACCATTGTGATCGGGATAATGCCTACAATGCAAATATAACCATGTTGGGAGAAAACAAACTAATTCAGTTTACTATTAGAAGGCGCTTTTTTGGGGCATTTTGAAGGTTTTATCCCTTTTTGAGGTTTTTTAGTTCATTGAGAAGCCTAATAGCGCATATCATATTAAAGGGCTGTATCTTAGCTGAACAATGCTACCAAAATCGTGACATTTTGAAGCAATTTTGGTGTTTTGGGGGCGAGGCCACTGTGCCAAGTACCCCGAATTCCATTCTCCCGTGCCATTCAATTGTTTTCGGGGCAGTTTTGAATGAACCTTTGTTTCTTCCTACCAATATGACGTCATAAGATGCATTTGAACGCCTTGGCATGGATATCACTTGAAAGATAGTAGAAATCGCTTTCCAATGATACCCCATATGGCCATGTTCACCTCAGTTGGGTGTACTCAATCTGTGATGCAATCTGTAAGGTGTACCCCCACCCCAAAGAAATTTCAAGAAATCTCAAAATCAAATTTCCTGAATTTCGCTAAAAGGACCTGTGTCTATAAGGATTGACTTTTCCTCCGTGCTTTTTCTCAAATATAGGATTGTTATATACCATTGTGAACGGGATAATGCCTACAATGCTAATATAACCATGTTGGGAGAAAACAAACTAATTCAGTTTACTTAATAGAAGGCGCTTTTTTGGGGCATTTTGAAGGTTTTATCCCTTTTTGAGGTTTTTTAGTTCATTGAGAAGCCTAATAGCGCATATCATATTAAAGGGCTGTATCTTAGCTGAACAATGCTACCAAAATCGTGACATTTTGAAGCAATTTTGGTGTTTTGGGGGCGAGGCCACTGTGCCAAGTACCCCGAATTCCATTCTCCCGTGCCATTCAATTGTTTTCGGGGCAGTTTTGAATGAACCTTTGTTTCTTCCTACCAATATGACGTCATAAGATGCATTTGAACGCCTTGGCATGGATATCACTTGAAAGATAGTAGAAATCGCTTTCCAATGATACCCCATATGGCCATGTTCACCTCAGTTGGGTGTACTCAATCTGTGATGCAATCTGTAAGGTGTACCCCCACCCCAAAGAAATTTCAAGAAATCTCAAAATCAAATTTCCTGAATTTCGCTAAAAGGACCTGTGTCTATAAGGATTGACTTTTCCTCCGTGCTTTTTCTCAAATATAGGATTGTTATATACCATTGTGATCGGGATAATGCCTACAATGCTAATATAACCATGTTGGGAGAAAACAAACTAATTCAGTTTACTATTAGAAGGCGCTTTTTTGGGGCATTTTGAAGGTTTTATCCCTTTTTGAGGTTTTTTAGTTCATTGAGAAGCCTAATAGCGCATATCATATTAAAGGGCTGTATCTTAGCTGAACAATGCTACCAAAATCGTGACATTTTGAAGCAATTTTGGTGTTTTGGGGGCGAGGCCACTGTGCCAAGTACCCCGAATTCCATTCTCCCGTGCCATTCAATTGTTTTCGGGGCAGTTTTGAATGAACCTTTGTTTCTTCCTACCAATATGACGTCATAAGATGCATTTGAACGCCTTGGCATGGATATCACTTGAAAGATAGTAGAAATCGCTTTCCAATGATACCCCATATGGCCATGTTCACCTCAGTTGGGTGTACTCAATCTGTGATGCAATCTGTAAGGTGTACCCCCACCCCAAAGAAATTTCAAGAAATCTCAAAATCAAATTTCCTGAATTTCGCTAAAAGGACCTGTGTCTATAAGGATTGACTTTTCCTCCGTGCTTTTTCTCAAATATAGGATTGTTATATACCATTGTGAACGGGATAATGCCTACAATGCTAATATAACCATGTTGGGAGAAAACAAACTAATTCAGTTTACTATTAGGATATAGTCCTGAGTAAGGACATTAGCGGTTACCGTTAGTGATTTGGTTTTCTGAATAAAAAGTTATTTTCTCCTTCCCTACCCCATTGGAGCGCCATCTAGCGTTTGGGAAGTGAATCGGGACTAAATATTTATAGGGTAGGTCCTAATTTATCTGAAAACATGTCAGAGTTCAGTGGGAAATCTCATTTTAAGCTGGCGGCGGAGTGATTTTGACCTTGGTGATTTTACCAGAATTCTCTGAGAAATCTGACGATAGAGGGGGTTAGTGTCTTCAAGTTTATTTATTTCAAAAATTCGGTGGACAACCCATGGTAAGATTGTTATAGCAGGCTAGGCGAGTCTCTCCCGAACACTGTGGTATGTTGCACTAGGCTTGGATACTAATCGTCAATAAGATACAGGGTAAAATGTTATAATGGCCACCTATGGGAAACTCTACTGTGATCTTCAACCGAATTCCCTTTATGACACCTTCTATCTTTGTTATAAATCAAGCGTTCGTCTATTTACTGTATCTGAAAACGTAATCCGGCAGCAACCTGGCAACTGATAAACTTTCGTAGTGATATTCCGACTTATTCTTTGGATTATGCTCTTGTATATATTGAATTTCTTGCTGGACATCAAGGTATGTATCAGTATGTTGATTTTCTTTTAAAATTCCGGCTCTCGTGCCGCTAATATATATGCAATTGTCATTAAATTCTAAAAATAAAATCATAAACTTCAACTTTCAAGTTGAGAAATTTTATAATTAATTTTAAGTACTGTAACTTTATTGATTATTTATTTAATCCTACAATGCGTTAGTTAATATGTAAATTAAATAGTCTACGTTTTAGGTCAGTTCAAGGTCTTCGGCTCAGGTCGTTGACTTAGTACAGTGATGCAAATGTTGTTTAAATGTATACACAGTGGCATGATTGATAGACTATATCTACAAAATACATGTAAAATGTATCATATATTCTTAACGTTTAGGTGAATTTCAAATAAGTAGATAATGCTGCCATCCACCAAGAGAAGACCTGACCAATCTCGGAAGGCAGTTGAATTCTTCAATGCCGTTAGATCAGAAAATGTTAAAAAGGTGAAAATGATGATAGGAAAGCGTGAATTCGATGTTAACGAAAAAGATGTGGCTGACAAAAAATCTCCCACACCATTGCTCATTGCTGCTGAAAAGGGAAATTTTGAGATCGTAAAATTACTTCTAAAAGCTAAACCAAGACCTGCAGATGTGAATGCTCAAGATAAAACAGGGAAGAGAGCAATTTGGTAAATACAAATTTATTTTGGTAAGAGTGGAAATGTCTTAACTCCAGGCTTTGTATAAAAAACCTCCTTCCTCATACCCACCTACCCACCTACGTGGGCCATGATACAGTGATTGAAGGGTTCAATTTTAATGATTTTTAAATCTCAAAATAGTTCTAATCATCAAGATTTCTACAATTCCAGCTTTATTTAACGGATGACGGATCCATAAATGCATATGGATGCATTTTAATGTGTAATGACCCGAGGGCGCCACAGGGGAATAACTAACTAACATCCGCGAGCATAGGTCCAACAAGCCAGATAAAGAAATTGAAAGAAAGTGCTAAATTCGATGCCCCTGAGTGGAAATCGAAAGTAGCAAGACTGTATTAGCAACTTGCTATCAAGGGTCGTTACAAATGCATCTATAATTCATCATAAACTAAGATTTAATAAACTAAGATCTTTACAATTGAACCCTTCAAAGACTGTATCATGTCCAACGTACGTGGGTAGGTGGGTATGAGGTAGGAGGTTTTTTATACAAAGCCTTAACTCCATGTTCACTCCATGTACACCACTGTGCACATGCACATGTATATAGAATTAGAGTTGCCTTGACTGATATACATAAATGTACATGTAGGCAGCATACAGGAGTTGATATGTAAATTTACTTTTTTTAACCACTTCCCAAAAGTCCTATTTCTAGTTCTCTCTTACAGATCTGTCAGTTGCATACATTGATTTTGTAATTCATTGTCAAAATCATTTCGCCAAGTATATTTGGAACAGTATTCGATTTCAGTAAATGCATTATTGAATATGTTCCGTAATGTAGGTATGCAGCTCGGTATGGTCACAAAGAGATGGCTGAATGGTTGTTAGGTGCAAAAGGCCAGGAATGTGAGGTGGACTACCTTGATCCTGCATCAGGTTTGTATATAAAATATTGTTCTCCAGTATTTACTTACTTTACTATCCTTATATATACAGTGTACATGTAAGTAGTTTATAAGTGGTCAGCCTAAGCCCTTGCTAGGTACACAGATACATTATTTAGAAGCTGCTGTTCCTCCAATACACAGACTCATTTAATAAGACATTTATGTGTACATGGTACATGAATTATCAATGACCAAATTAGATTATCAAGTTGAAAAGACCATAGGCCTATTATGTTTAAAAGTAAGCCAATCAGATTGAAAAAAATCATTTATTTTAGGTTGTACGCCTCTTTTCACTGGGATTTTAGCAAATCATGCAGATGTTTGTCGTATGATCATTCATGCAGGTGCAGATGTCAATCTTAGACGTCTTGGCTTTAATGAGAATTCAGAGTCGCCATTGATAAAGTAAGTTTTTTAAAATACTCCTAACTCAGCTAATGGCCTTAATCAAGTTATTGTATGTAAAAATACATTATGAAGTTTACTTAAATTTCACTAAAACCTTGAAAGGTGTACACCTTTCTTTTACCTTGTCCAAGAGGAATTTGTATAAAACAGGTCTCCAAACTCAAGTCTAAAATTGCTATGTACAATTATCCTCTGTTGATTGTGCAACAGATTTATAAAGTGTAATAGTGCACATTATATGAATGTTAAATTATAGACTGAGAATCAATGGTTAAATATTTCGAGACAAAACTAACTTACTTGTTCTTGAAAATAATTTAATCTCCTTCTAATGATTAAATAAAGTACTTGAATATCATTCCTTTATCGAATTGTTAGTACTTTTTATGTACATGATCTGGATGTTCATGTACTTTCAGAGCAATCCAGATGGACAATTTAGAGATAGTAGACATGCTGTGTAACTCATTGTGCAATATGGAAGCTAAGACTGAAGATGGACTTACTGCACTACATTATGCTGTAGCATATCGTCGTTATGACATCACAGAGTATTTACTCGAGAACAGTGTTAAGATACAAGCAGAGACGCATCAGGGTGTCACAGCCATGGCAATATCAGTTGAACACTTCCTCCCTGCAATGTGTAGGATCCTCATAGAGTTTGGATATAAGATGAACAAAGCATACAAATGGAAAGAGACGCCCTTAGAGCATGCAATTAAACTCCACAGTGAGGACTGTGCTATGATTATGGTTCAGTGGGGATGCAAGCTAAAACATCCAAATAGGAAAATATCCTATTTTGAACTTGCCATAAAGGAAGGTCTGATTAGATTGGCGAAATTGATGATCCAAATAAGACCTGAATTTCTCCAAGAACCATGGGTTAAACAGAAACACATACACCTATCTATTTATAAAAAGCCTGAATTCTATAAACTCATATTTGAGTTATCAAAATCACCTTTACCATTGTTTGAGCTCTGTCGCTCACAAATTTTCAAACATTTAGGCAAATATGCTGTTTCGAAAGTGAAAAAACTCCCCATACCAGAGAAGATGAAGGACTTTCTACGTTGTGAAGAACATTTTAGTAAAGATGCATATGAAAAGGTGCCATTGGACAAAAAGGAATGTCCTTTCGATTGTCCTTCCTATTGTGACTCATGGGATTGTCCTCCTATAGACATAGAACCAGATGATACCGAACTTGATTTGTAATTGAATAGTTGCGATTATGTGTAGTACCAAAATCATTAATAAACACTAAACAATTCTTCAAAATACATGTTTACTATCAGGTTACAAGTAGCAAATATATAAATATACAGCACTATCTGCATTTATCTGGATATGAAATATCATGCCTGGGATATTATGACACATGTTTCATATTAAACTGATATGTTTTGTATACCCATTATATATTTCAATAGACAGAGCAAGCCACATGTTTCAAATTAAACTGATATTTTTTGTATGCCCATTATACATTTCAATCAACAGAGCAAGCCACATGTTCCAAATTAAACTGATATGCTTTGTATGCCCATTATACATTTCAATATGCAGAGCAAGCCACATGTTCCAAATTAAACTGATATATTTTGTATGCCCATTATACATTTCAATCAACAGAGCAAGCCACATGTTTCATATTAAACTGATATTTTTTGTATGCCCATTATACATTTCAATAGACAGAGCAAGCCACATGTTTCAAATTAAACTGATATGTTTTGTATGCCCATTATACATTTCAATAGACAGAGCAAGCCACATGTTTCAAATTAAACTGATATGTTTTGTATGCCCATTATACATTTCAATCGTCAGAGCAAGCCACATGTTTCATATTAAACTGATATTTTTTGTATGCCCATTATACATTTCAATCGACAGAGCAAGCCAAATGTTTCAAATGAAACTGATATGTTTTGTATGCCCATTTTACATTTCAATAGACAGAGCAAGCCACATGTTTCATATTAAACTGATGTGTTGGTATGCCCATTATACATTTCAATAGACAGAGCAAGCCACATGTTTCATATTAAACTGATGTGTTGGTATGCCCATTATACATTTCAATCGACAGAGCAAGCCACATGTTTCAAATGAAACTGATATGTTTTGTATGCCCATTATACATTTCAATCGACAGAGCAAGCCACATGTTTCATATTGAACTGATATGTTTTGTATGCCCATTATACATTTCAATAGACAGAGCAAGCCACATGTTTCAAATGAAACTGATATGTTTTGTATGCCCATTATACATTTCAATAGACAGAGCAAGCCACATGTTTCATATTAAACTGATGTGTTGGTATGCCCATTATACATTTCATTCGATAGAGCAAGCCACATGTTTCAAATTAAACTGATATGTTTTGTATGCCCATTATACATTTCATTCGATAGAGCAAGCCACATGTTTCAAATTAAACTGATATGTTTTGTATGCCCATTATACATTTCAATAGACAGAGCAAGCCACATGTTTCAAATTAAACCAATATGTTTTTGTATGCCCATTAAACATTTCATTCGATAGAGCAAGCCACGTGTTTCAAATTAAATCAATATGTTTTGGTATGTCCTATCAATGTATACATTTCAATCGATAGAGCAAGCCATTAATGTTCTAAGAAACCTATCAATGTCATCATACATGTATATTTCATAGCCCTTATTATGTTTTATTATACGATCAAACCATACTGTAACAATATGCCCCCCCCCCCTTGGCATTAACCTGGTGGTCGTAATAAGATCTAGCTATATTTGGTTTACTTAATTTTTTTATTAAAAATAACATTTGAATTTTTTGTCCGCTATAAGGGAAATTTTATTTTGTCGATCTGTGATATTTTGAGACTTCCTCACCTTCCTATAGGCTTATCACATTCCCAAAACATTGAGGAAAAATTCAACTGTCACAATAACTCAATAATGTGGGTTAATCATGGAATTTGTGTTCAAAATCAAAATATTTCTTTCGTTCATTAACCCCACATTTTAGAAAAAGATAGGTGGGTGGCTGTCAATAACAATGGCGTGTTTCCCAAAGATTCAGTCATAAATATGCATCACAAGTATAATATGAGAGACAGTAGATTCAAGAAGACATACCACTACTGACATCTATATGTCAACCTAATATGGCAAATAATCCAACATCTAAAATATACCTAAAATGATACCACCGTGTCATCGTGCATCTAGCATTCACTAGGCTCCAGTCGGTAGATGAACGCAGTGGAGACAGAGGTGGGCGAAGATGGTCTCCAGGTCTATTGATGACAATTCATGTACAGTAAAACCTGTAAAATCTTATTTAACACATTCTAGTGAACACCTGTCTCTAGTGGACACCCTTCCCCCGTACATTCTCTACTGATTTCTGTATAAATTACCCTCTCTGTAGTGGACAACTTCCAGCAGAGAACGATTTTCTCGGCAAAAAAAATTCAATGTACACAGGGTTTACTGTATGGTTATATGATAAAACTGTATATACAAAGTGGTACATCAATGACAATTAATCAACCCTTGTACACAATACTATATCGAATAGAACTCGTGTATTCATCAGTCCATTGACATAGTCTTATTTCAGCAAGACTTTGACCCATTTGATAAAATGTGTGTTCATGAACTATCAAGTACAATAGGTGTATGTAAAATTATACTTGTTCATACTGTATATTAGTGGGAGCATACCAGATTGCATTTGAATCGTTTCTATTACATGCCCTGGATGGTTAGAATACTCCTAATTTAAATACATTTAGTGTTTGTTTTAAAAAGCCAAAATGAGGTAAGAGTTTTGTTTATTTAAAATTGCGACTTGTGTTATCTTTCTTGTTTGTGAATGTGCTGTTAGCAATGTTAAATGTTCCTAAATCCAAATGCATACAAATGTGTATTTTGGTAAAGGGAATCATTCATTTTCGCATAGTTTCGGTAACAAAATGTCGGAACATCGAAGGTACGATTTTTCTTTTTTCCTTATTTCCTTATTTTTACACAAACGTGTATCAGTATCATATGTTTAAGAAAATGAATATATTTGCGAACAAATTGTTCAGAAGACAACAGAATCGTCGATTTAATTCCTCACTTAAGTTACAGAAACGGTTTTTCGAAAAACAGTTAAGATCTGCACTTTTAACCCAAACCGTTTATGTAACTGAAGTGAGGAATTAAATCGACGATTCTGTTGTCTTCTGAGCTATTTTTTCACGAACATGTACATTTTCTAAAACATATGATACTGATATACGTTTGTGAGAAAAAACGTCGTGGAGATTCTGCCTACAACACGTGAAATAAGGAAAAAAGAAAAACCGTACCTTCGACGTTCCGACATTTTGTTACCGAAACGAACCGTTTCGGTAACCAGCGTAATCGAGCGTATCACCAGTGCTAAAAGTAAAGCAATCAAATAGAAAAAAATTGGTACAGAGAAGCCGTCTGTCTTGTGTTTGGGCGATTACTCAAATAGTCGACGTATCGACGTTTTCGATTTGGTTTTATATTCTGATATCTTCTGGGCATAGACATGATAAGGCCTTTGTTTTGTCCATCCGCCCATGTGATCGGGAGATTAATCAAATGCGGTTCACCTATTTGGTTTTTATTTTGTAGTATGATGCCTTCTTGGCATAGGACTACTCGAGAAAGAATTTCTGATACGGCTGCTAAATTCAAAATGGCCGCCGCTCTTCAATAAAAAATATTTTTGTGCAACTCACGCAAATACCAGAATTTTGCAGAACTCGGTTAGAACTTGGTCTAAATCTTGTGCATTGATACCTAATAGTCATGGGACACTGCTGCTTTTTAAGATGGGTGCTGAATTTAAAATGGCCGCCATTTTATTGGATTTGGTGCAAAATTTAGAGGCTAGTGTGTTGTGGTTATGTGATTTCTGTTCGAATGGGAATTAGAAAAATGGCATCACGTTTCATCACGGGTGCAGATATCGCCAGAAGGGAAACAATACTACTGTTGCGACTGTTAGTGATTTACATCGTGGAATGTTCAAATGACAAGTGGTCATTTAGTTGAAAAATGTTATGTCCTGCGAGTTTTACTACTGTTTTACTTCAGCTGGTTTCAAGAGATGATATTTTGAAAACCACAATAGATCAATAGGCAACACAAAAAAGGCCATCCGAAATCCACTCGAAAATCTCCTGAAAAATCAAAAGAACATATTAATATTTTCAGTAAAAATTGGAAACCACTGTCTAGTGAATTTGAAGCGGGAGTACGAGGCTTAAACCTAGGTGAACTTCACGAAGATTCAAAACTGACATCAACGCGGGCTCACTATAACCATGAAATCGAGCGCCCTCTGGTGGAGCCCATTTATACTGCGTCGACGTACAGAAGCGAATCAGTGGACCATTACTTGGATATACTAGGAGAGCAGGTAAGAAATATGTTGTATTCTCCAATGGTGAGATTGTAATTGTAGTCAGCGTTTGACGTTCGACGCCTGTCCCAAACTATTCCAACCTGGTCGAGGCATTTTGTCATGTAAATAACTATCTTGTTCATTTATGTATTCTTCAAATATGCATCGAATAGATGTACTCATGGTATGTGCTTGTATAACAGTTTATCTCTTTATAATGAACAAGCTATTCATGAGACATCTATTTTATATCTTTGTGCATTATCTTATAACCAATAAACCTTAACCCAGCAGGAACCTCATGTGTTAACGGTTCGTCTATTTCGCTATGTATTTTATCAAATTTTGCATTTATTTATGGAGAGACTTTGTGTCTTAAGAACAAAAATTATTATCTCGTGTTTTTAGGGAGGATACATCTATTCCCGATTGGGTAATCCAACCACAGATGCCGTGGAGTGTGCTTTAAATGCAGTTGAGGGCGGGGCCGGGTGTATAGCCTTTAATAGTGGGATGGCAGCCATATCTACAGCTTTAACGCTCTTCTTGAAATCAGGGGATCACATGGTGAGAAAAAGAACTCAAACGGAGACCAACTTAGTGAAAACACTTCAACTGCCACACTTGTGAAAAATACCCTTAGCAAAACCGCATGCATGCAAAGTTCATGCAAAGTCCATGCGATTTTTCCATGCAATACCCATGCAAAACACATGCAGCAGAATTTTAACTCATTTAAAAAAACCATGCAACATCCATTCAAATCCATGCAAAGTCCATGCAACATCCATTCAAATCCATGCAAAGTCCATGCGACATCCATTCAAATCCATGCAAAGCACGTTAATCCACATGCAAAGTCCATGCAGGCTGCGAGAAATATTGTTAATAAGTTCCATGCAATGTCCATGCAAAATTGCATGCATCTGCATGGATTTATATGAAAACCATGCAATCCACATGCAATATTGCATGGACTCGCATGATTCATGCAACATCCATTCAAATCCATGCAAAGTCCATGCAAAATCCATTCAAATCCATGCAAAGTCCATGCGGCATCCATTCAAATCCATGCAAAGCACGTTAATCCACATGCAAAATTGAATGCATCTGCATGGGTTTTAACGAAAACCATGCAATCCACATGCAATTTTGCATGGACTTGTATGGTTCATGCTACATCCATGCATCTGCTGTTCTGCCCGTAATATACAATTCGTATACTATAGTATCAACCTTACTGACAATGTCAATCAATCAAGGAGCACCTGTTTTAGATTGTGAGAGTTAATAATAGTACTACTTCCTCTGCTGCACATTAGGTCAAGGATGCCATGTGATCAGAAGTCTTCTAAATGCAACAAGGCATTTAAGCTGACAAATGTCACCACCAATTTCATATGCAAATGAGCTAATTTACACTTTAATTTACACTCAGTTTACACCTTAGTATACACCCACTTTACACTTAAGTTTACATCCAGTTCGCACTTAGTTTTCACTTAAGTTTACACTCAGTTTACACTTACTTTACACCCAGTAAATAGGTGACCAATTTCACATGCAAATGAGCTAATTTACACCTAAGTTTACACTCAGTTTACACTTTAGTATACATCCAATTTACATCAAGAGCACATTCTGATTGGTCAGATTTTAAACTTAATTTACAGTTAGTTCACATAGTTCACCTAATCCTTAATTGGCAAAATGCTAACTGCTTATCGCAGGGGGAGAGAATGCAAAGATATTCTGAATTTTGAAGCACTGTGATCAGAGAATAATATTAATGAAGATACAGGGGGTCCAAAGCATAACGAATTGCAAAAAAATTACAAAAACAAAAATTCCATGTTAAATCGCCATGGGGATTTTCCTGGAATTTTCTGTCTAAGCGCTTTAAAAAGTATTTGTAGGAGTTATGCTATAGTACAAATATCACAGAATGATCAGCATTAAAGATCTATACAAGCAGTTCTGCTCAGATTTTTAAATTGAAGTTTTAAACAAAAAATGCTAAAATAATTCTGTCTTGTAAAAAGTTCAAATCCGCCATCTTGAATTATGATGTCACAATGACACTCTTTTGCATATTCAATTTTTTCAAGAAAAAAACCCCATAAAATATGGGTCTATATAATTTATTGGGCCTTGCTTCCTTCTCTTGCTTCTAGATTCTTTTACAAATAACTTTTTTATTTTCTTCATTTTTCCAAAAAGTTTCCAGTCTCCAAGGAGTTAATGAATGTATATGTCCTATGTAAAACCTATATAAATAAACTGACCCATATTGAATTACAGCCCAGGATATAATGCCATCATGATTCAGATTAGAATGAATTCTAGGTGAAAAGATCAAAACAAACAGGCAAAGCACAAAAGGTAGAAAGATTCAATGGATATATTGAAAAGAAATTTGAAGCTTAAGAAAATGGATAACTAAATGAACAATGATGATGAAACTGGAACAAATGCACAACTAATACCTAATGGTAAAGTTGACATCAAAATCAAATAAAGTAAAACTGCATCAGGGCCGATGTTATAGGATTTTGTGAAGACTTACCAAAACCAAAATGGCTAAGCCAGCTTTGATTGAAAGAGAGGCTGCATGAGCCTCGTTTTGGAATTAGGATTCAGTCTGATTCAAATTGCATGGTTCTTGCATGGATTTCTGTAGTCCATGCGCATACATGCAAAATTGCATGGTACTTGCATGGATTTTAGTTTTCTATAATAAAACAGTTGCATGGACTTTGCATGGTAGTTGCATGCTGCATGTGAATTACATGGTGATTGCATGGAAATATATTTTGGGGAATTTTTAAAGTTTCATTCGCATGGACTTTGCATGGGCATTGCATGGATAAGTGCATGGGTTTTCTGTTCAGCCTTTTCTTTCCAAGCGAATTACATGGACTCGCATGGATTTTTTCTGATTGCATGGACTTTGCATGTGCTTTGCATGGAAAAAATCCATGCGCTTTTGCTAAGGGTACATATGACGAAACCTGCAAAAGGCCTCGCTTTTAAAAGTAATCAAAGACTCACTGATAAGCTACATACGATCGTAATCCACATATACAGATAACCCACAGTGCCGATTGATAGGCACGTCATATTTCTAATCTTATATTTTTTACGTGGTACCCACAGGTTCCTAACCCCCAAATATGTTTTGTAAGCAAGCCTAGTGATACGATACAAGTGTTCATAATCCCCTTTTCTTGCTACACAGATCATCCATAGCCCAGTCTACAGTGGCACCCACAAGTTCCTGTCTAAGTACTTATCTCCTAATTACAATGTTGAAGTCACTTGGATACCAGCAGGTAGTTCAGTAGATGTCTACAGGAATAATGTCAAAGATAATACTAAGGTAGGTCATTCCAAGATCAAATTATGTTGAACGTACTACCACATCATGAAACTGCTTTACATGTTAGTCAATCTGATATTGACATTCGCCTCTGAAACTACAATGTACTCAGTCATTCCAGATAGTAATGCCCCAATCACAATTTTTCTGTCGCCGTGTATTTTCTCTTAAATAACACTGTGTCTGTAGTGTTAATCACTATGGTTGTATAGAATGGTTCACTTAAAGTTTGACTCCATTTGTCCACATATGTGTTGTCACAATCAGTTTAAGTCAGAAATTCTTAAATTACGTTATTGTCGCCAAGAAGCATTTTTAGGTATATGGAAGAAAACAGACTAAGTTTATTTATCACAATCCGTATTATATATTTTCATGCGTAACAATGATGTGTAAGAAATATTCATGCAAAGTTTCACATCCAAATACTAACAAGAACCTCTTCTTTTTCACGTTATAATAATGTCGCCAGATTTGTGAAAGTTACTGCTTGTTGCATGTATGCCTGATATGGAGCTTATACCAATGTGACGTTTACCTTCAAACAAACATCAAATACTAGTAAACATATAAAATATTCATGAAATATACAGAATTTCAATGTATTGACCAAGATATTTCATTTGTGACTTGTCAAAAAATATTTTTTGAAACGTATGGATAAGGACTTTAAACTACGTTACCAGATATCCAACATAATCAAGGAATGAAGGCACCGTTTTCCACATATATTGTACTACAGCCTTGGATGACTTGATATGAGACCCTACTGTGTCAGTTAGTAGTGAATTAATAATTGATTCGCATTAAAATGTCACAAATATTAAATAACGTTACCTTAAACTACGTGAGTCTTTTTTCTGTACAAGCACAATGACAATGGGTCACATGGTTAGTTTTGGTGCGCTATGGCGCCATGTTGACTCAAAGTTGTGTATTATCTCTGACAATAGACTAAATTGCATCAAAATAGTTGAAAATATGTAAGTAAATACCCAACTCCATTTACAATCTCAGTAAAGAACATTTAAATGATTTTTGGATAATAATTTTGAAGCACATCATTCATTAGAAACATGGTATCTGTTGTGCAAGAACAAAATTTTCAATTTGAAATATATTTGGTGAAATTCGATATTAAATGTTGGATAAATTACGTTATGTTCGGTAACGTTACTTAAAACGATTGTCAATCCTTTTCTGACTTGATTTAGAGTTTCAAATAGGGGAACATTCTTTCAGAAAATGGGTAAATCAAAAGCAGTGATTCAAAAAGCCTATATTGAATGGAAAGGAGAAAAGATGGGGAAAAGTACAGAAAGAAAGGGCGCGTGTTAAGGAAATGGTGGAACAGAAACATTTTTGAAAAAATTGCAATACCTGCTCATTTTATTTTCTTGTACAAAATAAAGTATGAAGGCATGTAAAAATTTCAGGAAAGTATCGTCACAGTGTCTTCTTTTACTGAGTCGGGTAAGAGGTAAATCTTAATTCCAGGGAATGCTGAAATTTCATGAAAAACATTCAAAATGGACGTCTTTTCAATTTTCCAATGTTTTCTCAAAGTTTCTGTAGTAACTTGAGTTACCATGGACCTTTTACAAAGTTTATCAAAAGAAGATAATATGATAATGTTTTGTTTGTGATATTTGAATCAAGAGACAATGACGTCTGATGTGTGATTTTGGACAGATATGATTTGAAAATATGTTTTATTGTAAACATTTACTAGTTCACGTTGACAGTACTGTTTTAGCGACGTTTCTAGGGATGTTGAAGTGAGTGATAAAGTTGTTATAAGAAGTTTACATTTTGCATAGACTTTGAACAATATATTTGCTCTCGTTATCTAATGACGACTTTACCGTTTCTTAACAAGCGTTACCAAAATTTGCTGATTCAGTACTAGGATGAGGGGTCTATATACCAAGTACATTTAGCACCATTGTTATTCACAATATGTAATGATTGGTTTGGTTTTTTCATTGAAATGTCTTCTTGATCAGATTTAATGACACATGGAGCTGATGTTCTAAGATGTTAGTCTACGTTACCATTCGTTTAAATATAGTACACAAATGCTATGTTTTACATGAACATAGTGTGTTTTCATAAAATGAGTTTCTCTTATATTTAAAACGGATCAAGCTAATTCTTTGGAAATCACTATATTGTGTAACTGATTGAATTGAAAATGTCAGTTCCCAGCAATTAATCTACGTTACAATATAGGCATGTTCAATGCTTGAGTTTTTTTTACAAATAGATAACCATGACAGTATCCAATATTGGTGTTTAACAATGCAGAGATATACTCCTTTGCTCTGCTAAAAAGTGTGACATGCACTTTTATAAATACTTTTAAATATTGTTGGTACAACTGATTATTCCTACCCAATGTATACTACTTCTCAACACAGCACATACTGAGACTGTACTGATATGCCACCTTTAAAAAGGTTTAGTAACTACTGTATCACATGATCTAGGTCACATGATCATATACTTTAGTGTTGGGCCTGCTTTTGAATCTTCTGGATGTGGTAAATATTTTTCCATACTTTGTCCAATTTCTAAACAAGTTATATTGTCTCAGTATATTATTCATATAGTTAGTTTTAAAGATTAATATATAATCTCTATGTTGAAATAGGTATTTTTTATATACCGTTTGTAATTTTGAAGTTATTAGGAGTTTAAGGAAAGACTCAAGATATTTTGCAAATTTCAACATCAGCCATATTGGATTTCATTCCTTTGTTTACATTTTCACTTAGGTTCAAATGTACATTTTTAGGTTAGTTCCCTAGCTGACTTACTTTACCATATGCCCACACTCACAGCCCAAGTAGCTTTATTGTCAGGTAAAATTTCACTCTTGTTATTTGATTTATATTTGTAGTATGTGTAAGGTCAATACGACATTTTGTAAGGTCAACTTGACCCTATTGACCATATTGAACAAGTCATGCTTCATGTGTTTTGATGTTTATATAATGCTTCAGGCATTGTGTGGGGAAATAAAGATTCATTCATATATTACTTAATCCCCATCACAAATATGGTTTTATCAATTAAAACATTAAACATTAATCTGCATTTTAATGACATTTTATTTTATTGCTACATATCAACTTATGGTGTGAATTTTATATTTTTAGGCATTCCACCAACAGTTCTGCACTGGCAGACTGGTCACTCTTTTGTAATGTTTTACATTTTATGAATTAAGGTAGTTCCACACTTTCATGGATTAAGGTAGTTCTACACTTTCATGGATTAAGGTAGTTGTCACTCTTTTGTGATTTATCTTTTAAGGTAGTTGTACAACAACAGCAGTTGTGTTAAGGTAGCTGTGCAACATATACATGATCGATACATGATCAATAAGGAAGTTGACTGATATAATACATGATATAATATAAAATATTTTATAAATTTCTCTTGTTTATTTATTTTGGACAAAACGTCCCTCACAAATGGTACTGCGGGTGGGGTAATATAGAACTCTACACTTTGGTTTAATTTCCTCAACAAGACTCTTAGGTCTGTAGTCAGGCATTATGTTCATGTGATGAACAATGTTACTAAGGAACGATTTCATATTATACTCTGAGTTAAAGCAGATCACATCTGCTACCAAACATGACAAAATCTGGTTGTAACCATATTGTATAGGAAGGTGAAGTCAAATGATAAAGATGTCAATCAAGTTGCTATTCCAACTGTTCTAAAAGAAGAAGTTCTAAAAGCGGGACATGACTTTGCAGGACACCAAGGTGTTGAAAGAACTGATAAACTGATTAGTGATAGATACTTTTGGCCAGGAATGAAACAAGACATATGTGAATATATCAAGACATGTAACCGATGTGTATTTGGCAAGATGCCCTTTCACAAAATCATTACTCCCATGGGACGATTAACCGCAAAATCACCACTAGACCTAGTCTGTATTGATTTTACACTTTTGGAAAAAGCTACCAACGGAATGGAAAACGTTTTGATCATAACTGATGTCTTTACAAAGTTCACAATTGCCAGAGAAACTAAGGACCAAACAGCTGAAACAGTGTCAAAAGTTCTTGTGAAAGATCTGTTTTTAGTTTATGGTATTCCCAAACGACTACACAGCGACCAGGGAAGGAACTTTGAAAGCAAGATAGTAGACTGTCTGTGTAAAACATACAATGTTCAGAAGTCACGAACCACACCGTACCATCCCCAAGGAAATGGTCAGTGCGAACGGTTCAACAGAACCCTCCACAATCTACTGCTGTCACTAGAATCAAAGAAGAAGAACAAATGGCCAGAATACCTGAAGGAGTTGGTGTATTCTTACAACATAACCCCACATAGCTCCACGGGTTATTCACCGTTTTACATGATGTTTGGCTGAGAAGCATTACTACCACTATCTTTAGTGCTTGATTCAGAGAATGACGATGAAGATTCTGAAGGAAATAAAGCAGATAACTGGGTAACCAAACAAAAGCAGACGTTCAAAGAAGCTTATGCTCATGCAGAAGAAAATATGAATCAAAATGCTGATAGAAGGAAAGAAAGACATGACAAGAAACCAACAATCATTGAAGATAAAATAGATGTTGGAAGAAAAGTCTTAACAAGAAGGAGAACACTTGGAAGAAACAAGATACAAGACTATTATGAAGATTCTGTATACAAAGTGATTGAAAGGAAAGGAGACACATATACAATTGAGAATGAAGACTCACTGAGGAAAACTGTAAATAGAGAAGATTTGAAAGAGTTGCCAGAAGGGATCAGAAACAAAAAGCTCCTTAATGAGGATACAGCTGAAGAAGTGCCTCAACTGAGAAGGTCTAAGAGACTTTTAGATCAACAGAAGTAAATTGAGATTTCACTCTGATTTCTGCGCGTTACTGTAGTTAAGATAGTGGCTACAATTTGAACCATTTTTCAAAATCATGACTGTAGTGGGATCTATAATTTTATAAACTATCTATTTTTTTGGTCGTGGTTGTTAATTAGGGGAGGAAATACCAATCTAATAGCGTTTAGAGAATTATTCATCTTATAGACAGATATTTTTGAATCATTTGATTATTTTAACTTATGTTTTTGATGTTTGTATTAAATTTTCTTATTCATTTAAGATATTGTACATTTATTATATCAGTTTACTGTGGCCGTGTTTAAGGTTCATTTTATTGAAATGAAGACGAGTCCGCGTGGATGTGACATGCACTTTTATAAATACTTTTAAATATTGTTGGTACAACTGATTATTCCTACCCAATGTATACTACTTCTCAACACAGCACATACTGAGACTGTACTGATATGCCACCTTTAAAAAGGTTTAGTAACTACTGTATCACATGATCTAGGTCACATGATCATATACTTTAGTGTTGGGCCTGCTTTTGAATCTTCTGGATGTGGTAAATATTTTTCCATACTTTGTCCAATTTCTAAACAAGTTATATTGTCTCAGTATATTATTCATATAGTTAGTTTTAAAGATTAATATATAATCTCTATGTTGAAATAGGTATTTTTTATATACCGTTTGTAATTTTGAAGTTATTAGGAGTTTAAGGAAAGACTCAAGATATTTTGCAAATTTCAACATCAGCCATATTGGATTTCATTCCTTTGTTTACATTTTCACTTAGGTTCAAATGTACATTTTTAGGTTAGTTCCCTAGCTGACTTACTTTACCATATGCCCACACTCGCAGCCCAAGTAGCTTTATTGTCAGGTAAAATTTCACTCTTGTTATTTGATTTATATTTGTAGTATGTGTAAGGTCAATACGACATTTTGTAAGGTCAACTTGACCCTATTGACCATATTGAACAAGTCATGCTTCATGTGTTTTGATGTTTATATAATGCTTCAGGCATTGTGTGGGGAAATAAAGATTCATTCATATATTACTTAATCCCCATCACAAATATGGTTTTATCAATTAAAACATTAAACATTAATCTGCATTTTAATGACATTTTATTTTATTGCTACATATCAACTTATGGTGTGAATTTTATATTTTTAGGCATTCCACCAACAGTTCTGCACTGGCAGACTGGTCACTCTTTTGTAATGTTTTACATTTTATGAATTAAGGTAGTTCCACACTTTCATGGATTAAGGTAGTTCTACACTTTCATGGATTAAGGTAGTTGTCACTCTTTTGTGATTTATCTTTTAAGGTAGTTGTACAACAACAGCAGTTGTGTTAAGGTAGCTGTGCAACATATACATGATCGATACATGATCAATAAGGAAGTTGACTGATATAATACATGATATAATATAAAATATTTTATAAATTTCTCTTGTTTATTTATTTTGGACAAATCGTCCCTCACAAAAGTATTAAACCGAGGCAATGGTCACAAAAGATTTACACTTAATGATTGAATGACTGACAAACATTATGGAAATTACAATTTTAAGGACAAACATATAAAATATTTGTAATTGAGCAAAAAAAGTTCAAAAGCCAACAATCATTAATCCTCCTGATAAGTATCAGTGCCCTAATGTCTGTACTTTAAGGTAGAAAAACATTTTATTTGGTAGCACTGTCATAAATTAAGAAGTATTCAAATCAATTAAGATGGTACCTATAACGTAATTTAAAATGGCACAAAAACTTTAGATTTGGACCATATATTTCAAATCAAAATTACTACGAAACCAAAAGAGTCTAAAAGCCAATTTTTTAGTATTATGCTGTCGACATATAACCTCATAAAATAACAAGGTATGACGTGAAACGGAGAAACTCTATTTTTATCATTTTCTGAAAACCGATTGGGGCATTACTGGAATGACTGACTATGTTATTTTGTCCTGGATGCCTTGTTCTAGATTTTATATGCTGAGACACCATGTAATCCGAACATGGACATCATCGACCTCACAGAGTTAGCAGCACTAGGGAAAGAGAAGGGAATTATGACGTTCGTTGATAATACATTTGCTAGTCCTGTTTGCCAAAAGCCCATCAGTCTAGGAATCGATATTGTAATGGAGAGCTGGTTAGTTGCATATGGTTTATGGGGGTTATGTGTGTTTGCTTCATATACTTATACATATAATTATTTGCATGGTATTTTAGTTCTTAAAGCATCAATGTCTCGTAAGATGTTGTTACATTTTGGAAAAAAAAAGGTCGAAGTGATTCCACTGATTTTTATCGTTGCCAGAAAGAAAACTGATCGATCGTATATCTTAGTTTAGCTTATAAGCCCCATCATCTCTCAAATGTTATTGAATAACGACTGCCTGCTTTATTTGGAATCCATCTTCTTAGCACAAAATACTTGGGCGGACACAGTGATTTGATGGCTGGATTGGTGTGCACGAAGACACTGGAGAATTGGCAAAAACTTAAAGTTTACGCTACTACGCTTGGAGTTACATTGGTAAGTGACATTTTATAAGGAATAAATTCTTTTTCTAAATAAGGAATAAACTTTCTCTTGAAAAAATAAATCACCTAGATTTGTTGAAGTTTCTTGCAGAAATCGCCGACGCCCCCGCCCCCTCCGTTCATTCTGTCCGATCACCGGGCGTGAGAATACTTTATTCATTTCTTTTGAAATAAAGGAATCACTAAATGAGAATGCACTTAATAACGATAAGCCTTGGCCATTTCAACTTGCTATCCGACGAATTTCAATATTTCATTTTTTGCAATATTGACTCAGAATGCCTTGGAATAGTTTTGGAGAAATAGTCGGACAGACAGACAGTTGCACCTGAGAGTGGTAGTCAGCCTAGCAAAGCTACTTGACTAATGATATGTACCCAAACTGAACTCAAACTCGGCGGGTATTTTATTTTCTTCAGTTTTGGTCTTGTTTTATAGAATCCCTTCGATTCGCATTTATTGAACCGTGGCCTGAAGACACTACACGTGAGGGTGGAGAGACATAACTTCAACGCACAGAAACTGGCTGAGTTTTTAGAGGCACATCCTAAGGTACATCAGGGGAGGAATGGTCAATTATGTGGGATATGGGAATTGTTTAATATACATCACTGTATACTTCAAAATTTGATTGACATTAATCAATTATTGGTGAAGCGCAATTTGTTTTTTTGTGATAGATATGGCTTGGTGTGTTGACGTGATGGTATGTGATAAATGTGCAAATAATATACTCGTGTGATGTGCTGCCTTGTGCCGCTGTGTTGAGATGTACAAGAGTTGTATTTAAATATTTGTTGTAGAAGTTACACCGTTGTTCATCTTATAAAGTACATGATTTATTTTCAAGGTATCACGAGTATACTACCCTGGTCTTAAGTCGCATGGCCAGCACGCCATTGCATGCAAACAAATGTCAGGATTCGGAGGCATGATCACATTTGAACTGAAAGGAGGACTTGAAGCCGGGAAAACGTTTGTAACAGTGAGTTTGCACAAGGGACCCCTAATATTATTCTAGAATAACCCATGATCTATTATACGCAGCAAAAATTATTATCATAATTAAAAAATTATTATCATTGTTATTATTATTATCAATTATTATCATTGTACTGCAGATATATGATATGGTGATATGGTCTCTCCGACACTTGATGAATTTTAATGTAAAGTTTTCATGACTTGACAGTATGGGGGCATTGTTTGTAGTTGTTTCCAGTCATGGTCTTGTATTTTAATAAACGACCAGAGGGAACTTCTTACGGGGATTTTCTGTCGACTTTATTGATATAACTTTAAGATAAGATGATAATGTTATAATTACCAATTCATTACTTTCTTTGTAGAGTGTACAACTTATGGAGCTCGCGGTGTCGCTTGGCGGGACGCAGTCTCTCCTCAACCATGCTGCTAGCATGACTCACGGCCCAATGGTGATGAGCGATAAGGAGCGGGAAGAGGCTAGAATAACCCCAGGGCTCATCAGATTCAGGTATGACCAGGGTTTCTATAACGGAACGAATGTCAAAACTGACCTCAGAGGCCGAAAAACATGCGGGTAGTTTGATTAATCATACTTGGCTCCCAGGATCGGAACTCGATATTTTTCAACAATGAAAACGTCGAAATGTCGTTATTTTGTGAAATTAAAACCCACTGTAGATTAAAAAAAACTGTTCAGAAGATTGGAACCAATATCTCAATAATTTCTTATCAGTTTTTGAATTTTTCGTTCGAAAATAAGACCAAAATTTACGATTCAAATGTTGAAGTGAACAAAGTGACGGCTATTTGAATTCGAATTTTGTATCACGACATACCCATATATGGGACAGAATATCGATGTTGCACTCTGAGAGCCAATCACTCTTTGACAGCATGTGAAAGTGTTTCAAAATAAACCATATTTATCTCTTTAATTAACTCAATAATCATATCATATAAATGACATATCAGTCACTACAATGTACAAAAAACTTTAACTACAAACTACAGCTACAACGACAAACTATATCAGTTTTACATATAACAAGTATAACCAATAACAAAATATCAGTGTGGTGTATTCATAATGCATGGTCAACATGTGAACAGAATAATTATTAATCATTTTCTAAATTTTTTAAAGAGTGATATGCAAATTTGGCTATGTGAATTAACATGGGAGCTTTTACAAGACATGATAGTTTCAAACAGAAAAAATTACGCAAAATTACGCATTCATAATTGCGTAACTGATATGAAACAAGTAAAACATTTCGATTTGATTATACTTTAAACAGAACAATCATTAACTTATTTTATGTTTATTGTATTTTAGTGTTGGACTGGAGAACGTCGAGGATCTTAAGAAAGACTTGTCTCAGGCATTAGAGAAATGTTGACATTAAAGCACTCCGCTTGGTTGAAATTGAACATGGAGTACTATTCGTCAAAAGCCGATTTGCAAAACATTGGAATGTACGTCACACATAACACTGTCTCGATCAGCGTTAGAACTTTGAATTGTGTATCATGTCATATGATGGATAAAATAAACTTTCTAAGGAAACAAAGCCATGTTAAATCTTAAAGCCACTGAGTGAACAATATCGCATAGTATCTTTTATAATCTAGGCAATGTTGTGCACAGCAAGTTTACGCTTTTAAATAGGATACTGTCGAAAAGGTGCATCATCATATTTTGGATTGTTTTAATCATTGAAATTGGAATGTTCCCTTGTGTCATCTATTTCCATTCATGACTCCACACATTGTCTGATTTCTCATAGTTGGTACTTTTTGATAATTTTCATATAATAAATTCTCTATAGAAAAAATGTTTCATGACATTCTGGATAATTTGAAAATGCGCACGTGCGTACTTTGCGTACATGTAGCTACGCCACTTAGAGAATATGACAATAAGCCGTTCTTGAAGTTTGGAAAATATATCGAATATTAAGTTGTTTTTGAAAGAAGAGGATCTACAATGATTTGCAAATAACATTTTAGGACAAGAAATCCAAAACTTTTCACGCCCGAGAATTTTTTTGATTACTGTGAAACAATATTCATACATAGCTGGGCAAGGTGTGTCCAATTCAAGCCAATCGGAACAGGTTTATTTCACGTAACTGCATTCAATTAAAAAACCAATAACGAACTCAAGGTCACCGGTTTAACGGTTGTCATGGTGATGATTGGACTCTACATATTGAAATTGATACTTTGCCAGCTTGACCCTTGCAAAAAGTGTCATTGAAAATATGTTCTTTGAGTCATTTCATATCGTTGAGATGCACCCTATGTATAGTCTGTCACGTGACTTTATGGATGATGGGTGGGCGAACCGTTCGCGAGTCTTTCCACTTCAGGTTTATAATGATACTTTAAATATGGTTTTAGACTTTGTATCACTGTGAAACTTGTCCCGTACCACCAATGTCTCAAGACGATTTAATTCCCCAAATATCCCATTCATGCGATTTCCGGTTGAAGAGGATTTCGCACTTTGTGTCTCGGAAAATGATGTGTGCGAATGAATCGAATTTCACGAAGGATGTGTGGGCGTTTCCTACAATATTTTTCCATTGAGACACTTCTGCAAGCTACGTATTGTACTATATTTCCTTCCATGATCGTGAAATTCTCTGCAATCTAATCTTGTATTTACACTCACTTTCCACTTGACGTCAGCGTTGGGATACGGTCTAGTGTCTGTATTTCCCTCTGCTAGGGCACTGTTCGCCCACCCATCATCCATAAAGTTACGTGACAGACTATAGGATGAGATGATTTTCTGAAACTTATTCATTTTCAATTTTGATTGTATTCACCCAATGATGGTGACATTAAGACATACAATGAAACAATTACATTTACCATACAACATTTTCAACTTTTATTCACAAGTTCTAAAATAGAACAAAGAAATCAAGTTTTTCTGGAAATAGTTCTGATACGGGATCTGATGCGGGATCCAATATGGGATCTCATATCGGGTTATGGCTGATACAGGATCTGATACGGGATTTTTTGAATATCAGTTATATTGCCTGTTTATTTCCCAGGGAAAACAAGTTATGAAATAATTAAAATGATTTATTTTAATTCAGTTGTCACACCAATAACTCTGGTCCCGCCTGGTCATAAATCCGTTATGTCTTTGTAACAAAATGGATGAACTTTCATTGAAGAAAATTTGTAAGATTTGTCCAACAAAGAGGATGATTTGTATCCAAACATTTTACCCGTATGTTAATAGTAACATCGATATCCGGTTATTGAACAGTCAGAAAGTCGCGAGCAAATGTATCAAGCAGCAGCTCCAATATTAGAGTGAGAATTCACTCACTTAAGCAACCAGGACATTATCTGGGAACTTTCATGTTCATCGATGTTGTAACGTCTTTATAACAAGTTGGGGATAACTCATCCCCATGAATTAATCGATTATGCAAAGTTGGCATCTCAGAGAAGTATTTCAATTTTAATCAGACAACTCCACCCCGGAATAGCCTGAAAACGGTAAAGTCAGATACCGTTGTCACAAATGGCCGACATAACCGTCGCTTCAGTTACATTTTCATGAACTGTATGTTTAATAGAGCACCTAGACTAGATTCCTTTGGAACAACAATCAATCAGTGTCTTAATACTCATTGTACAGTTAATAATTAATGTTCTACCTACGAAGTAAAGTCTTTAATTTATAACCGATCAAAATGAGATACGGGACAACGGACACTGTAATAACCATATGCCGTCGTCTTTCTAAATTACTCAAATTCAGATTCCGTTGTCATTGACGATATCGAAGACGCTATATTGTATAGATTCACGACCAAATTTGATCGAAATTTGGATTTCATATGAAACATAATCACAAGACCTTAATACATGCGCAGAATTAGCGACGATAAAATCCCATAAAATGAGGACCAAGTGATTAAACATTTGAAGCGACGGTTATGTCCGCCATTTGTGACAACGGCATCTAACTTTACCGTTGCCAGGCTATTCCGGCGTGAACTTAACGACATACGTATATTATGTGGTCCCTGGATAACTGGGAAAGGTTGTATTATGTCAGACATCTAAATAAGACGCGAATAGGACATTGTCAGACTACTGACACTTTATAATTTATAATATTTTGGTACACTTGAACGATCTTATTGCTGTGGGAAACTTCAACAAAACCTTCTCACATTTTGTTTATTTTCTCTTGCAGTTTTTATGTACAATTATTGTTGTCAAGTGTGTGAAATGCGCATAACGAATTCAATAATATATTATTTTATGGCAAATGAACAATGAAATTTAAGGTGATTCAAATGAAAGTGCACAGTCCTCGTAATGTTTAATTGTACTTCAGATATTTTACTGATTTACTGCTTCAAATTAATCAACTATATAATGTAATTTATGTCAAACACTTAAAGATCATCAATATTACAGTATGTCACCGTATGTCGTGTTTAGAGAATCCTTTTAATATAACAAATACAGAGGCACCAATCATCAATTTTATTTGTGTAGCCTACCGATTTTTTATCTTATTTTGAGATAAAATAGAAGCAATGTCTAAACAACCAGACGAGCGGAGTAGTCAAGCAGAGCAAGCAAAGGGGATGATCGCGAGCAATGCGAACGAAGAAAGCGGACAAGAAGATCAAACGGAATTCAAAGAGCTCATATCGAAAATAAAAAAGAGAGATAGTCTAAAGCTCCCCGAACACATCGAAAAAATGGAGCACTTAGAATGTGAAATGAAGGAATGCTCTAAATATGATATGACCAAAGAAAGAGATGGAGAAGATAAGCGTGTCCAAATGATAAAGAAAGGCATAGAAGTTTTAGAGGAAGGGGAAACTAATGAAGTCAAACAAGGAATCTGTTGTGTATGTACATTCAGTAATCTCCATTCAACTTACTATAGGTCCAAATTAACCAAATTTGCAAGGTTTGACCAAATAATGAATTGCGACTTTTTTATATTGATCTTTTTTATCTTAGTTTTGAGAACCTCGTGTCGTTTTGCAAACTACGCAAAAGTTTCACTTAATTTCACAATAGTATCAAGTCTATAGTAACACTGCCTTTACTCATTTACGTATGGGCTATATGAATTATATAGGTTATTTGCTGGGATAGATTGAATATGGGGTTTATAACTAATATATGAAATATCATATTGTCACGAGGAATAAATCTATATTCAATTCCGACTGGTTAATAAGCTTTTTATTCCATGACATTCAAAACTATCTTCATGAAATCATCAAAAATTTCAAAATCGATAGCTTATCTCACAGGCTAATATCGAAAAATGTGTCTGCTGTGACGGAGCGTGCTATTTTGTATAGAAACACTAGAAAATCCACACATTTTATTTTTACTCATATGTTTCGCTATATCAAAGAAAATTACCTACTCCATGCAATGCATATATCATTTGCGGGTAACTTTCACTTCTGTTTGAAGTCCAACAACCCTAAGAGTAAAATCTATTGAAAACGGCGCCGGAGTATCATACTCCAAAATGTACAATTTCTTTTATTTCTTTTTAATGGTACAATATAGTGACACGATAATATTTACATATGTTTTCAGCATAACTCTGAAGGTACTAATGAGATCTTAATGTATTGGGTATTTTTAATTCTTTTTATAAAAAATAATGTTTACATTTTTTGTCCGCTGTGACGGAGCAGTTTCTAATCTGAAATTTATAATATATTGTTTACAACTACACTTTAGAGAAGCGAACATGTCAAATCTCTTTCGTAAAGTATTCTGATAAATGAAACGCAATAAAAGTACACAATTCAAATTCTGGGATGTGTATACGACCACTCTTTAAGCTTTTTTCTCAGTTTGTACTGCAATCCAACTTATGCATGGTAACTCATTAAAATGATAGTCAACTTCATTTCAGTATGGGGTATTTGCCTTTCGCAGTGCCTACTGTGGATCCATCACCTGACATGGTCATTTTTTACGGTAACTTGATTATTTGAAGTAAAATTATTTGTGGTAAGAAGTGTAGATTGCCCTACCCTCTATAGTCGTTCCAAAAGGTAAGTGGAGTGTATCTTGAAATACGAAAAGGCAAACTTAGATTTTAAGATTGTTCTTCATTTGACTAAGAGTTATGGCTATCTGATGCAACTACAGTGAAACGTGTGTACAGTGAACACATATGGAGCCCAAAAAATGTGTTCCTAGTTGGTAGATGTTCACTCCATAGAGGAAATTTCATACAGAAGTCAAAGGAATATGTGATAAGAAGAGGTGTTCACTAGAGAAGGATGTTCATTGATACAGGTATTACCGTGCAGCGCGTTTACCATGACTTTTTTTATATTTTTAGACTATGCAAAACGATGAGGCATGCATTTCAAATAATTACAAATTAAATCTTTATTGATATCATCTTACATACAGTAATATTATGTGGTAAAAGGTTATACATCTGTCGGAAAGCAGGATGTCTGCACGCTATTTCGAATAAATTCAAATTAGCCCTATTTACTCTCACGTGACATTCCAAGACGTCTCGGCGAAAACGTATTAGAAATGGTATGTTGAGTTTACACCATGTTGATTTATGTTGATTTCAGTTTTACATTACCCCAGATCTCCCAGACTACTTGTCATAATTTAGGAAAGTGATTTGAGACGTTCTCTCCTCTAAGGGTACTTTTAAAAGATATAATTTGAATCTTAAATTCTTAACGTAGTTCACAGTTAAAACTGCTCCGTCACAGCGGACAATAAATTTAAACATTATTTTTTATAAAAAATATTAAAAATACCCAAAACATCAAAATCTCATTAATACCTTCAGAGTTATGCTGAAAACATATGTAAATATTATCGTGTCATTATATTCACCCTTGGTATACGCAGCTAACGAAAATTGACCGGTACGGGTCAAAAGCTGGACCGGTACGGGTTAACGGTTTTATTTGAATTTAAAACAGCCATAACTTGCTCAATATTGACTTTTTTGTGTCTCGGGGCAATAGAACCGGTCCGTCTTCTCGCTGCAAGCAGGGTGAAATTCTTTGTCACAAAGTTTGGCATTTTTTATAAAATCAAACGCGCATCATTGAAACTCACAAGATGTAAATAGCATGTCATTTACATCATACCTTGATGGGGAAAAATAGATCTTATATGTTAGAAGTACTAAATAAAAGTTATCGTGAAAATGAGACAGTCGTTCTCGAGAGAAAAGAGCATAAATGCGCATTTAGAGAGTTTTGGTCCGTTTAAAAATCTGTAAAAAATTGGGGTACTTAAAAGCATCGGGAGGCATCATATATTTCAAATTAGACACGAGGAAGTCAATATTGAGCAAGTTATGGCTGTTTTAAATTCAAATAAAACCGTTAACCCGTACCGGTCCAGCTTTTGACCCGTACCGGTCAATTTTCGTTAGCTGCGTATACCAAGGGTGATATTGTACCATTAAAAAGAGATAAAAGAAATGGTACATTTTGGAGAATGATACTCCGGCGCCGTTTTCAAAAGCTTTTACTCTTAGCGTTGTTGGACTTCAAACATAAGTTAAAGATACCCGCAAACAATATACCCATTGCATGGAGTGAGTAATTTTCTTTGGTATAGCGAAACATAAGTAAAAATAAATTGTGTGGGTTTCTGAGTGTTTCTATGCAAAATAGCACGCTCCGTCACAGCGTACAAATTTTTCTATACCGGCCTCTGTATCTATTTTGTATGAAACAAAACCAGAAGTCAGTTAAATTATTAGTCGAAAAAAACTTTATTGTATAACATAAACACATCAACATAAAAAATCAACAAAACAATATACTAGAGATAGTACATGTTCATTACAGGGGTAAAACACATTCGCTTATTGCTCAGATTTCGATGAATTTAATTGTCTCTGTCAGAGCATGATGATGAAGTTAAACCATTCGCCTGTTTTTAGGCTTAATAGGCTTAAACATGACTTCATATTCCTTACCGTTTCAAAATCTCTTAATTGTCAAATGGGAGGTGAATACGATTTTGCTGAGCGGAATTGGGCGGGACAATACGATTTTCTTTCTATATCAAAAATATTCTCGGGTGTTAATCCCCGGGAAGTAGTAGTATTATGAGATAATGCATTGAAGCATTATTGTCAATTGATAACAACGCAATAATACCAATTTGGTTTTGATATTTCTGATCTGTTTTGGTCTGTTTTGATCGGTCTTGGTTGTTCTTTTCCTAAATCTGGAGGGGTCCGACTATTAAAAAGGTCAGTAGGAATGGGTGGCATGTCCGTTCCTTCGCTAAACTAAGACTTCTGTTTCCCAATTAAGATCAATTATATTTACAGAGTGGATTGTTTGGTAGATGTTGCCCGAAAAGAAGCTCAACTGAAATAAAGGTATCCGTTTACATTATAGAACCAACTGCAAGTTTTTTTAAACGTTAGAATATATTTGCATATATTAAAAGCATGCGTTGTAGATATCAGGTTTGTAAGAATTGAAAATTATAATAGATGAGAGCTGTCATATTCTGATTCGATCCCCAATTTGAATTATAAGATAATCAAAATGATTTTCAGGATAGCAATAAATCTGGAAAAACAAATACTGCTGCAAACAATTCATCGTTGTGGGGTAAGTAGTAAGTAAGATGCAAGTATGTTGTTAAAAACTACAAACGCGCTTTTCCTGACTAGTCTGAAAAAGTTGAAAATCTCCATTCATTAAAATTTGAGAGTATACCATATTATTTACAGTTATATTATATGATTGATGTACATTTATGTATCTCTTTCTTTTTTCTTTCTTTAGGTGAATTTAGACGCTTAATAGAAAAGAACTTTTCTCTCGTGGACCTGATTCCTGGATCCCTCACTGACCTCTACGGACGCGCAGTGTTTAACAATTGTGATGAATTGGCCTCCCAAATACTGGAGAAAATGTCAAAAACGTCAAAAAAGGACGTAAGGGACTTACATTGTAGCGAAAACGAGTACAAACCCGCAAAGTACACGATTCATACTCTTCTTGAGAAAAACATGAAGAAAACAGTAGAAGCCGTACTTGACTCTTTGGTTGAAGACGATGATTCCAGTCAGTTAACGCCACAAAAGAGAATTTACGCAGAACTGGTTGATAACGATTCCCGTGGGTTGCCCCCAGATGTTACTATGTCTCTATATGGAAGGGAGACGTCCGGCTTGCATGCGCTCACATATTTTAAAGATAACAAGGATTTTCTAAATCACGAAGCTGTCAAGACACTCATTGATCAAAAGTGGGAAAATTATGGAAGACGTAATTTCATAATCGAAGCCACTTTCTTTTTACTGTCTATTTTCATGATCACGTTTTCTGTTGCAGTCGGATGTCAAACCCCCGACCCTCTAGTTTATGACACACCAATTCACGTCCTTCGGGCAGTCTGTGAAGTGGGGACCATTGCATTTGTTTCATATCAACTCTTGGACGAAATCACACAAATGATAGTGCTCGGATCATTATATTGGAGGGATATCTTCAACCTATTTGACTTGTTGAGCATAGTTTGTGTACTAGCAGTGATTCCATTGCGATTATTGGACGTCAATGAACAATGGCACGTGTACGTGTTCGCTTACGTTAGCTGGACATCAAGAATTTTGGAGTATTCTGCAGTATCTGAACAGACAGCCGTATTCGTCAAAATCTTTTACGTTATTGTAACTAGAGATATCATTCTATTTGTAGTTCTATTTTTCATAATTCTTCTGATGTTTAGTGGTAGCTACCAGTTGGCTCTGCGGGCTGAAGGTCATTTGGCGCAGAGCAATTACACCACATCGATGCTTAGCATTGTATTTATTGGAATACAGACCCTTGTCGAACAGCAACCTTCCATAGATTACACAGAAGATACTGATAAATGGTTTTCCATTGTTGTAATGGTGGTCTATCTTACCGTGTGTGTCATTATTATGCTGAATCTGCTTATAGCCCGACTGAGTGACAGATACCAAAGAATGCACGATAATCGTGAAAGAGATCTCTATGTCAGTCGAGCATGGGTCCTCACGAGACTGGAGCGCCACACGTGGTGTTTTCATGAATGGAAGAGGGTCAAGAAACACTCTACCAAGAATGCAGAACCTAAGCGTAATGCTAGAAGAGGTGAAAGAGAGGATGTTATGAATGGAAGGATCACCCACCTGGAAAATACCTTGAAGTTGAACGCAAGAATATCACGCTTGGAAGGTACTTTAAAGCAGACTTCATCAGATCTTCAAAACTTGATAAGAGAGATTGGGGAACTGAAAACAGTGGCGACTGTCGACGCCACTCCGTCAGATGGCGAGATTAATTGTTAGTGAGGATCAACCGACATATTAGATTCATTATGTATAATGATATGTTTGGAAATATTTATGACAGTCGAAATATCAAAGGTTCACAAACAAAACGATTCCCATAACACCAGCAGTTGTTAGACTGTGAAAATATATAAACTGATCATGATCATTAATCTACATGTACATAGTGATGTATATATATGTATATATGTAATATTGCTCTGACAGTATAGTTAAATTACTAGTGCGTACTGTATTTTTATCACAGAAATGTTCGGGTGTGAAAGAAATTATGGTCCCCAAGGGATTATGGTCCCCTTTCTTAACGGCCCTTACTGGCCCTGATTGTGTATAAGATAATGAGGGAAAGAGTTGTATTTAGGTCATCATATAAATCAATGGAGAGTAGGACCATAATTAGCTAGGACCTCCTACCCTTTTACACTGGTCCCATTAACAAAAGTGTTTTTGGTAGCGAGTGGGGGAGGGTAGTCGTCAAACCGACATGTAATGTATATACAATAAACCATGTGTCGTTGTCTCTGTTAATTAATTGAAATTCAGATCCCCGTTGTCATTGGCGATATGGAAGACGGTATTTGTGGCAATTCACGACCACATTTAATCGAAATTGGGAATTCATACACTACTTCATCACAACAGATTAATACATGCACATAAATAGCTACGATAAAGTCCCATGAAATGAGAACCAAGTGATTAAAGAGTTGAAGCGACGGTTAAGTCCTCCATTTGTGACAAAGGTATCTGACTTTACCGTTGTCAGGGCGTTCCGGTGTGATTATTTCAGAAGAATTTTCACTTAGTGTGATGTTTTTTCCTCAAGTACTGATGGGTTGAGATGAAAGCCTCGAATGTAGCAATACATTAACATGGTTTCTACGTTAACAGCTGATTGTTCGGTAGAGTAAGGTACATGTAAGTTCAATCACATCATCTCACCCACAGTCCACACACATAGATAATCGCAATAGATAGGCAATTCAAACCACATATTGTTGCAAAATGTGTTTCTTTGTATTACATACAAGTATAAATGATATATACACATATATATACAGAGTTTTTATAGTTACATATGTTTTGAATGAAATGCAACAACGAAGAAGGCAGTAACATGCAGAAAGTCACCACATGCCATTTGATACCGCCAAACGCCGAACTACGACCGCCAAACACAAATTGCTAAACACAGTTCACAAAAAAAGTTGAAGACTATAACAATGTGTCACCACTTCTGGTGGTGACATAAAAATACTTTTATGAGAGACACTATTTCAGACAGAAACAGTTTTGTAAATAATATAATAAAAACTTTCATTGAGTCTTAATTCATTGACATGTAATAATGTAAACTGGGCTAATTTGGCTGTATTTAATTTGGTGTTGTCATCAACATTTGGATATTGGTAAATGTTTAATTTAGGTAATTCCTGGAATTCTTTTACTACCACAGAATAACATCGTAAACTGGGTATTGATGATTGAGCTTTACAATTAATGATCTCGTTCAGGATTAGTGAATCCCAAGTAACAAATCAAACAATACAATAAAAAATTATAAAAGTACTGATGTACAAACAGTATGCATTAACAACATTTAGAATTAATTAATAATCCTATCAAATGATGATTACAAAAGAAACTGTGTTTGATGTCCTTGACACTATTCACTTGGCCCATTGTTAACATCATGAACATCGAGAACAGTTGTTTAAATTGCAAAAGTCACACTATATATGTGTAGTACTGCAAACATTCTGTTTTGATGAAACACTTTTGGGGTCAGGACCAAGATTTCATACATATGGTAAACTGGAAATCCATGAGATCTCTGATTTTTGAATTGGTACCAATAAATTATATCACACTATTCTAGTATTGTTTTTATCATAGCTCATCTTTTTCCATTTGAATTTTAGAACTAATATCATTCACTGCATGTAACATTGAGGTAAAATATTGGTCATCACTTGAATGAGTCAACTCTTCATGTGAGAGTTTTTCATATTCACTTCGGAGCTGTTGTAATGATGAGTCAGCCATTTTGAAATCACTATGGCAACTGTCTGATAATGTTAACATGGCATGGAGGACTTTTTCTCTTGTGTCATGTTCTGGTAAAGATAAAAGTGAGGGTATCATGCTACACCATCCTCTTTCAGTAAGAGTCTCTAAAAGTGGAATCCTGAAAGCAAAATACAAAAGATATTCTACTCTGTGCCATTCCAAAATGTATATCATCATTTTCATGAAGCCAAAAATATCTAGTTCTATGGGACTGGGGATTTGTAAACCTAGAATAACTAGAAATGTCATGAGATGGAAGGATATTGAAAGGATATAGCACACAATACTTTGGGAAATTGACTTCAATCTCTGCTTTTAACTATAACATTTAGGTCAAGGAAAAAGGTGAAGTCCCCTAGATATAATAGTTCATCATTAAATTACTTACATTTCATACTGCCCTCGCTTGGCAGAGCTTTCTGCTGACTCAATAGAATGCTTCTGAAATAAGACAATATCAGGTTTTATTCGCCAAAATGACTATTTTAAGTTTATGACAGCTTGAACAATGCACATAATGATCAAGCAATAAAGATTGATTATATGGCTCAATATATGCAATCATTTGAGCATGGTTCAATTAAAGATAAACAAGAAACATTGCACCTTGTAAATTACCCAGCATACCCAACACAAAAAGTCTAATTATTGGATACTAGCACTTGTCAGCTTATATATCTGTTAACATTTTAAATCAAACAGATGATTGGTTTTCTTCCTAGCTTGATTTCGAGTTCAACCCAACCACCAATCAACAAAAGACTTCATGTGCAATAAAAATACTGTCAAAATATGTAGAATATTTCTCTTGGTAAACATGGGCCTATTTAGAAGTTTAGAAAGATCAAATAAATGAACAGTCAAATGTCAAAACTACAATGTACTCTCACACTTTTTTATTAATTTAGTTTTAGCCTACCTGTTCAGTTAATAAATCATTCAGTAAAGTGACCACCTTCACTTGTGCCTTCGTGAACTTTACATTGCGGAATAACTCCATCAACGCATCAAGTCCACCTAGTTCTAAGAACTTGCCCTGCGCAAATGGGAAGTGACGTATCAATGAAGATATCGCAAAGATGATGCGGGTGTAAAGTGTTTCTGGCTTACTGGTGGAAAATACTCTGATAAGCTGTTGTAGAGCGCCCTCTTTTATTGCTTGTATTTGCACCTGTGGATTACTGGAATAGAATTCTAGATTTTACAAGAAGCAAATACCATCTTAATTAATACACACAGTAGATACAATTCACAAGACATTATAAAGCAATGTACAAAATTAATATTGAAGTAAAGCTACATAGAGATACACTTTTATTTTTCTAAACAAACAAACATTTTGTTCAATTTTAAAAATACGATTTCCAAGCAGCAAGCAAGAACTGGTTCCACCGAAAAATGTTTCTATTTGTTGAATGTATAGCTCATTATGTTGAATGCTGATGCTCAAAAAAGAATATAAAGTCAAAAATAATTTTTCAAACTTAAAATTACAAGAATAAAGGGTTCACAAAGGATGTTTTAGCGAACTAGGCAAGAGAAAACATGGATTTAATTTGTAATGGCCTAACCTCTGCACAGCTGCCCCAAGTGTCACAGCTGCATGTGTTTGGAGTTCTACATCTGTGTGGTTAACTGATGCAATCAGCAGCCTGAGTCCTCCCATGTCTGAGAACACTTGTGCATTGTCGATCTAAAATAAAAGTTTAAAACCATGTCACTGCATGTATTTGAAGTTTTACTATAAACATAACAGGCCTATATGAAATTGATTTAAAATGAGGGAGGTTATATTGCTTTTTGGCTCACATTGAATTCACTTATTCATCTATCTTCTACATTCCAGCATTTACAAGCTGACTTAAATAATTTATGGGAATGGTCACAGAAATGGAAGCTTAAATTTAAACCTTCTAAAAGTCAAGATATGATTTTTAAAGGCTCAAGGAGGTGCAATCTCTTATACCCTCCCCTCTACCTAGGAAATGAGGTCATTAATAGAACCAGAACTCATAAACACTTAGGAGTCATTCTAGATGAGCATTTGAATTTTGAAGCCCATTTACAGGATATCATAAAAGCATGTAATATAATGTTAAATCCATTGAAAGTTCTTAAGACCAAGATTCGAGCTAAACACCTAGAGAAGATGTATCTATCATTTATTCTCCCAAACTTAGAGTATGGAAGTATATTATTTGAAAAATCTACCAAGTATAATATTATGAAACTAGACCAAGTTCATTATAGGGCAGCATTATTAGTAAGTGGCTGTATTCATGGAACATCTACTGTAAAGGTTTTGAAATGTCTAAATTGGAATACCCTGTCTGAGCGGAGAAAGGAGAAACGTTTACGTTTAATGTATGATGTTAGACAGAAATTGGTCCCAACTTATGTTCAAAAAATTTTTGATAGTTATCAAAATAAGCAACATAATATTAACTTGAGAAAATCAAGAGAATACACTATTCCAAAGTTAACTGCACGTTCACAAAAGTCACCAATAATAAATGCCATAAGAGAATGGGAAGCCATTCCAAATTATCTAAAAAGTGCACCATCAAGAGTCACTTTCAAAACCAATTTACGTAAATATTCAGGAACAATGAAGCATTTAACAACCACAAACCTGGATCTTACAAGAAAAGAAGAAATTTTACTGAATAGAACAAAATGTGATTTCATTTTTACTGGTCATCTTTTTCAACATAATTTTCAAGGTATTGACAGTCCCAAATGCATCTGTGGTTTTAAACAACAAACTACAAAGCATCTAATCTTCAAATGCCCTCTGTTGAATGTTATAAGAGAGAAACTTTGGGGGGAACTCAGGAACATGCCAGAAATGAACATTTTCTTTACAGGGTGCTCTATAGAGCAAAAGCTGAATATCTTAATGTATGGCAGAGATGGAGTTAGCATAACATGCAATTCTTCAATATTGAAGCATTTTACATCCTTTTTGTGTGAATGCATTGATATAATTATATAGTTTTAACACATTCCTGCCATGCATACATATATGTTGGTAGTCATTTTGTTGCTATTTTGTAAATTTGAATAAACTTTGTATTAACAGGGCCAATAATGCTGATTTCAGCCTCGGCCCTGTCATTTGTAGATAATTTTGTAAAGTAAAATAAAGTAACCATAAAAACTAAAACTATTCTAGAGTATTTCTGGATGTGAGAACATACAGAAAATGTGATTTCTCTAAATCTAGAAGTTGTGGATGAAATAAAGTACAACATAGTTTCCCACGTTGAATTATCTACACAAGTATAATCAAGAATATTCCACCATCATTGGTAAAGTTATTCCAAAATTAACGGGTTGCATTTTTGGGCCACCCTTTACTTACTTGGTGTAGATGGTACTCTAAATCTGTGAGAATTTCTATTTTCTCTTTGGTAGATACTTCACTGTTGTTGTACCTTCTGACCAGCTCTTCTATTATCTCATTGTCTGTCTGCACATTTATATTCATTGCATCAAGATCCTTTCTCAGCTCCTCATAGCTTTTAAACTTGTTCTTTATTGCAGCCTCTTTGATCTGAATATATCAAGTTTTATGGATTATAAGGGTTATTTTGTATTTTCTTATGCTGCCTTTGTTTTATTGATTTAGTAGAAAGTTTGCATTATTAATTTTACATTATAATTGATGACTTAAAATTGTAAATTATGTAAAATACAAAAGAGGTTTTACAGATTCATCAACCAACGCCAGAATCCAAAGAATATTAATGAGCCTATATTTAATGATAGAAAAATGAATATTGCTCATTCACTATAATAGTGTGGCAATTCTCACCTTGTCATCTTTCACATCATCTCTGTTCGCTTTGAATTCCTTCAATGCTTTCTTTAATTCATCATGTGAAAACTTCTTGTCCTTGGTGTTAATCATACCTAGAAAAACAGATTATTGCCAATTTGCAATTCATGAATTATCTATTTTTCATTTCAGAAAATTAATTATTGGCAATGGTATTCATCTGCCAAAAAGTTTGAAAAATATAAAAATTTGATGAAATTGAATCCTGAAGAAAATAAAAGTTTGATAAAATTTATGATTCTATTTTTACTGGATATTATCATCATTACCCAGTTACCTCACTCTGTCCTGTTACTCATATTTAAAAATAATTCTGTTCAATAAATCACTTAGAATCTTATAAGATACAGTATAGTTCACAGTAAATAAAGCTAGGGAATTATAAAGTGTTATTTTTCTAGTTTTCTATTTTAGTCCTGTTTCCCCTTGTGGACTTTACTTGACCAGTGGATTATAAATGTCCAAGAAATATAGTTGAAATTATGTCTATGCATGAATAAATTAAAGGCCCGCTTTACTTAATTTAAAAGAAAAAAAGAAAAAATAATCATTGAAACATGTTACTCACACACTCACTCAAATACGAAACAAAGTTTGATTTACTTTAATACTGAACCAAGAAAAAAATAACTCACATAGAAAAAAGCATTTCAAGTTCACAGATCATTAGTAGTGCATGCACATGCCAAACAAAGTGCATGTTTTAAATTACTTTTGATTTAAAAGATGGCGACACTTCTATAAAAATGAATGTATCATAGTAATACAAACAACTTTGCCATCTTTCAATGACATTGATAAAAACTTGATATATAAAGCTTGACAGAACGAAAATATTTCTTGATTAATTATTGTAACCTTTGATGTGGTCTGTTTGAGCTGTTGTTGGTGTCAAATGAAAGATAAGGTTCTTATCAATACAATCGCCATTCTATTAAATTCAAATATAAGTTTTTATTTTGCCCAAAAACATTGAAAATACGCAAAGTGGGCCTTTAATAAAAAGGGGAAAATAATCCCTCAGGGTCATTATATATCACCCCTATATTGACAAGTTCTCCCAAATGTGTGTCACTTAACCTCTATAATATTGCACATAATATCATAATAAACATCAATGAATACAATACATGTATGCTCACCTTCATTGGTGGTAAACAAAATACAATAGAACAATATAATACATGTATCTACCCTGCTTTTCTCCTTTCTTCCAATACTTCAGGCCATCATCTCCTTCCATCAACTTGGCTTCCTTCTCTCCTGTCTGCATGTCAACACGCACATGAAGGCCTCTGGGTATGGCTTGACCTGTTTAGTAGAGAACCACCATTTTATTCACCTCAAAATGATGTGACATATTAGTCTGTATAGAAATAAATCTACACTACACTACACTACATTACACCACACAACATTACATTACACTTCTTTCTTAGCATTTGGAAAGGACATTACAGCTACCCTAGGGTATTGATATATTTCATGTTGCAGTACATGCTGCAGTACAGTACACACATAAAGTAACAACATGACATATAGATATACACTCCCCTCCAAAAATTTGGAAACCTTTTCCCTCATTAAAGTTAAATGGTACTCAAGGTTGAATTTCTTGTTCAAAACCCAGTTTAGTATGATATAAATTGACTTAAAGATGCAACAATTAGTGCAGAGGGGCCATTCAACGATCATGTACCAGTGTCAAAATATATTCAACTTTGGATATTCCATCAAGACTAACATATATTTTTATTTTCTCCACAGAAACCCCCCTGGATGAACATTATTTCAGCTGATATTCCTCTTGAAACGCGACTGATCTTAAAAATCTTTAAGTGGGACTCCCTTTATAGAAGCTTTGAACTGAATTTACACTTCTTAATGCTAAAATTAATAGTTTATCCATACAATCATTTTAAGAAAATATGTATGTCAAGATGTTAAGCCAAATGTTGACCTGATAGCTCAGAAAAAGTTAAAAAATTTGAGTTTTCTCTCTACAGACCTTGTTGCCCCTTTAATTTTTTCTTCCTCATATTATTACTGAATTTTTTCCTCACTCGCAAAATGATGACAAAGTTGATCAACTTTTCAATGTCACTCGTCCCAAGCTTCATAATCATATAATATGAAATAATAGATCAAATTTAAAGTAACTTTCTATGATTTCATCTAAAAATTAAAACCCTTGGAAATACTAAATATGGTTTAAGTGCCATATATAAAAATTTATTTTAGAAATATTGTGGATCAAAATGAAAAAATAAATAAATAAAGAATAAAAACATTTTCCGCCGGAGGGATTTGAACCCAGGTCTTTTGGAATAAAAGTCTGACTTAGTCCAAAGCTCTAACCACTACACCAAACTGCCAAAGCTTCCAGAAGCAAGAAATTCTTTATCTATATAATCATGGAGTATGACTTCCTGTCAAAACAGTGTTAAGAATGCAGGGCTCAACAAAAATTTTCAATTAGAAAATGATGTATATCCTTTGATCAGCTGTTTTTGGCACCTGAACTCATCCTACTAGAAAGTTAAGAGCATTTTCTTGAGACATATGGCTCGAAATCTCACATTTCTCCTTCTAAGTCTTAGAAAGATACTTTAAGTATTAATAAACCTGAGATTGTTTTGACAAGATGAATAATTTCCAAATTGGGAAGATGATGCAGTAGAACATTATACCTTTTTCTATTTTCTGCCATTCTTTTGTTGGATAAAACACATCTGCGTTCGGATCATAGTCGTCATCTGACTCGTCTTCAACTTCTACATGAGCGTCTTCCTCACCTTCAAATTTCAAAATTGCAATTATAAATGTTCAGTGAAATTGGTAATATTTTATATGGGTATTTACATGTCATGGTAGAATGCATACATTTTAATAAAAATATGTTGAAATTATATTTCCCATTTTTTCAACCTCTCAGCAGGCAGGGAGCAAATGAATATATTTTGACCAAAACAGGGAAAATTAGGCTTGGCATCCTTCTGAGGATAAAAGCTACAGTGTGCAGAGAAAATTATTAGATGCAACATCCATCACAGAGAATACATGTACAGCTTAGAAGTCCAAATACCTTTGGAAATGATATGAACTAACAAAAAGAGAAATAAAGAATATAAATGCTTGAGAGAATTTCAGAACTTACTTGATTTGTTTTCTTCCATGTCACTTTGTTGATCCTCTACAATTGTAATAGCTCCATTGTTATCATTTGCAGCTGATACACCATAAGCATGATGAGGACTCAGTGCAAACAACACTAAAATCCCAAGGCAGGTCCTAAGTAAACCTATTAACAGCATTGTTGAGTCGGGTCTCTCTAGGACTGTTGATGTCTTTGTTGAGCTGCAAAATCATGAAATGAAATATAGAAAAATAGTCTAAAGTATATGTACATGTAAGTATCAAGTGATGATTAGAACAAAGTGTAAAGACTGTACCAAGTGACCAAAGGCAGCATTATAGTACCAAGTGACATGTATGCGATCATTATAATTGGATAAAGAAGAAGAAGAGTCTGGTGTCTCATCTTGAGGTAATCTTTCTGACATCTATGGTCAATACAATACTACATATACTACAGGCCTGTCAACTGTCCCACAAAATCAAAAAAACAAACGCCGAAACATACACAGTTTGTTCAAAAATGTTCATGTGAATTGTGTTTAGTCTATGCTATGCATTTGCTTCGAATTTTCAAACTCCCATGCAGCATCTCAGTATAGACACTGTGACGGGCAGATATAATGAAGAAATCACCAAAATTTGGAGAAGATAGTCCCTGTTTTCATAACAGATTTACTCAATTTTCACAAAACTTATAAAATATATATTCTTTTACGTTCCCCAATCATTATTTTGTCAAAATGTTCCGAAAATCAAGAAATATAAGAAGAAATATATGTGGTAGGATTTAGAGTTAAAAGTCTTATTGATAATGTTTCACCACACATGTGTTAATTAGTTAATACGCGCAATCCAACCAATGGACTTGTCTAGATTTTACAATCACGTGAAACGAGCATGAGACAAGAACCAATTACTTCAGCTGTTAATTGCGAAGTTGCCATGCTTATTTTAAACAATCTGCTCGCCGCAGTGATATGTTGAAGACTAGCACTGCATGGGAGTATGTCGAATTTTCTGTCCCTTGGATCATGTTCAGATTTGGACCAATGCAGAGCTGTCAAGTGTCCCGCGAATGGCGGGATTATCCCGCGAATTCAATCAAAATTAGGCTAATTCGCGTGTCCCGCAATGTCCCGCGAAGTCCCGCAAATGTGGCTTTTGACCTCCGCGAATTTCTGAAATTGTTGCAATCCCCTATATTGTGATTATCTTATCTTATATAAGAAGGTAAGTTTTTGCACTTTTGAGGAGTAAAGTTTACCTAATTTTAAGTACCTAGCATGCTGTTGTTTGGTATCAAAATAAAGAGGAAGGGTTCAACTTTCATTTTAATTACGACAATAGGGATGTAGGTCACAAATAGTTCCAACGTTGGCCTTTTTACTATCCGTGTGGCCTTCATCTCAGAACTGAGCAAATGTTAGCAAACGCGAGTTACAATAAATGGACGCTGATATCTAGAAAGGGTTTGTAGAAAAAACCGGTTACCGGGTAGTAAATCCTCCATGCTGGGTTCAAACTTGGTACCCGGTACCCGGTCAAAAAACGGGTACCCAAAAAACAAAAAATACGAATATACGAGTATAACATACAGTAAAACCTGTATATCTGAACACCTGGCTAATCCGAACACCTTCCAATTTGAACACTTTTTTTCGGTCCCATTTTTTCCTCCCATTGACTCCCATGTTAATAGAACCTTGAAATCTGAACACCTCCTAATCTGAACAGTGAACAACCAGATTTGAAAAACTGACCTGTCTAATCTGAACATTTTATCAGAAATCAAATGTCTGGACATTTCAATAATAGCCACATATTGAGTCAATGTTATAGTTCTTATTATCTTTACATATGCAATATAATCAAAGAACCGATATTGTCCTAATTATTACTTATTTAAGTCCCAATGACATCCCTAATTGTGAAAAACAACAGGAAAGGTACGAATACGGGAGTTAATTGGTTTATCCTATTAGAAAAGAACTGTCAGTTTCTCACATTCAGTGAATGTTTTATGTTTGGATTAAGAGAAAGGTGTGAATCAAGAAGATAATTGGCTTATCCTTATTTTGAATTAACTGGATGTTTTTGATTTGGATTATGAACAAGTCTTAACTGTTTTATATCCCATGGGTCTGTTATGATAGCTAGGATTCAATCAGTAAATGTTTTATAATCACAGAGACAACACAGACACATTTGCAGACAAGATTATAATTGTTTGAACATTATTAGAAATTACCTGGATGTTTTTGATTTGGATTGAGAGAAAGGTGAGAATCTGGGAGATAATTGGTTTATTCTTATTTTAAATTAACTTGATGTTTTTGATTTGGATTATGAACAAGATGATAGCTAGGATTCAATCAGTTAATGTTTTATCATCACAGAGACAACACAGACACATTTGCAGACAAGATTATAATTGTTTTATCATTATTAGAAATTACCTGGATGTTTTTGAATTGGATTAAGAGAAAGGTGAGAATCTGGGAGATAATTGGTTTATCCTTATTTTAAATCAACTGGTTGTTTTTGATTTGGATTATGAACAAGTCGTAACTGTTTTATATCCCATGGGTCTGTTATGATAGCTAGGGTTCAATCAGTAAATGTTTTATAATCACAAAGACAACACAGACACATTTGCAGACAAGATATATTTATCACGAGAAAGAGAAAAAATTCAACTTCGTGATATCCTATCACTAAAATGCCTCCTAAAAAGGCATACATCTGACATCCTGAATGCCCTTGATATTTTGAAAGATTATGCATCGTCTCGAATGAGCACTCATGAAAAATTCTTTTTAATAGAAGAGGATATCTACTCAAATATTGCTAATGCTAAAAGTGCCAAGAAACAAACAACAATGAAGGACTTTTTCAAGCTAAAGTAAACCAGTGTTATGTAACCATAATATGAGATAAGTCATTTAATAAGCATAAGATTTTGTACAAGACTATCATATACTTATTCAGTGTATTACAAAGTTTTCGCCAAAATTAAAGAGTTATTTTTCCAAAAATAATGAAATTGTTCAAAATGTAAATAAAACATAGCATATACATGTAGGCTATAGGCCTATTGTAGAATAAACTCATCAACAACATGTATTGTTTTCTGATTAAGTATTAAGTGTTCAATATAGTGGACTGAACAATGAAAATCCCCCCCCCCTGACCAACAATATCCTCGAAATTTGAACACCTGCCAATTTGAACGCTTTTGGCTGGTCCCATGGGTGTTCGGATTAGACAGGTTTTACTGTAATTAGATTATCAGAAAACGTGTAAGATTTGTTTTGAATTTACAAAAATGTATGTAACATCCTTCAAAATTGAGCTAGAAGCTTCAAATGAAAAGCATATTTTAAGGCTCTTTTCTTCCTCTATCGTCATGACCATATTTTCATTGGTTATTGGGGGGGGGGGGGGTGCGATCGCACCATCGCACCCTCTCCTGGCTACGCCTATGACATTGTAAGACATAACAATTTAGTGGACAATTCAGTGGACATTTTGTCGACAGATGGGATAACTTAAATTATGATTAATAATCAAAATCTTACACATTGCATCATGTAAATTAACACACGTCACCTCTCTGCTAAAGCAACGATAGCAATTTACAGATTTAAATCATAATCAAAACAATTCACATACCAACATACGAACTATTGAAAATAGAGTAAAATTGATTTGCCTTGTTATTCAAATCGTCTTACAATGTCATTGGCGTAGCCAGGAGAGGGTGTGATGGTGCGATCGCCCCCCCCCCCCTCCCCCTTCATTACCAATGGAAATATGACCATGATGATAGAGGAAGAAAAGAGGCTTAAAATGCTTTTTATTTGAAGCTTCTAGCTCAATTTTGAAGGAAGTTATATACATTTTTGTAAATTCAAAACAAATCTTACACGTTTTCTAATGATCTAATTATGTTGTATATTCGTATATTTCGTTTTTTGGGTACCCGGTTTTTTCGACCGGGTACCAAGTTTGAACCCAGCATTGAGGACACTACCCGGTACCCGGTTTTTTCTACAAACCCTATCTAGAAAAGTAACCTCATTCCCTATAATTTGATGTAGATTAATCGAACCCCTATACCATGGGCTTTCAATTGAAAGCCCATGCCTACAGTATGTGAATAGGTACATTTTGATATATAACATTATGGGCTTTCAATTGAAAGCCCATGCCTACAGTATATGAAAAGGTACATTTTGATATATAACATTTTGGGGGTAAGCGTTTCATATTTGGTCACGACGCCAGAAGTGCAAAGTATTGTTCCAAATTTTTGAATTTCGTGTTAGATTACGATACTCACACCTGAAGCATGGTTTTTGTTTTTGATAAATTACAATAAAGTTTAATAATATTTCTATGCTATGCGTATTTTGTGAAGTTATGTTGACGTTTATTTAAGTTACAATGTAACGGTGCATTATATTTGATTAATCAGTATCTGAAAGTTTGATTTAAGTACTTTTACACGCAGGCCCGTAAGACACTTTTCTCCAAGGGGGGTGCGGTTTTTAGCTAATTAAAGAGAATATAAAACTGTCATTTTTTTTGCCGCGTAAATCAAATCGCGTTAGTCAGAGGGGGGGGGGCTCAGTTACTCCCTATATTGGTTTGGAATTAAAGATATGCTATACAGATATGTAGGTCAGTATTACATAATCGTGAAATGAATAAGTCTGAATATATCATTGGTCAGAAAACACTAAAACCTGCTTGAAACTGTAAAAGTTTATACACTCTATTCCACACTGTATAGAAATAAAATAACTTACACTATAAGTAACTGTGAGCCAATCATTGCATAGAAAAAACTTTATGCACTGTTTATAAGATTCACTGAGACAAGTGGGTCAATACTTCGTGTACTTTATGTGCTCTCACACAATTACATTCCCTTGCATAAAGTTGATGTACAGTTATATGTAACTGAATATTGTATATTCATCACAAACAACCTTAGCAAAATGATGGTTCGACGAAATGGACGGTTCGCTAAAACCAATAAACCAGGCAATCCTGGCCAGTTTGGAAAGAAACTAGATAGTGTGATAGCGAATGAGGATAGTAAATGAAATATATTTTGCAAAGGTCAGCTTGTAAACTACTGGGTAACCCTAAATGATGAGAAATATGTACAAAATATGTTTTGCATGATTTATTCATATCCCAATGATTTAACTCCTTCACTGCATCTCATAAGGTATATAGATACTAATTATGGGACATTTAGGAATTAAGTGACTAGACCAAAGCAAGCATGTTTGAGATTTTAATGATTTTAAATAAATTACCACTTCATTATTTCCTTTTAGACATTCAATTTTATTTGTCCAACAAACCATATTCACAATTGTTCAATCCAACGAAGATTAGGGGATAAGCTATAGAGACCCCTCCATTTGTCCGTCCATCCATCCTTCAACTAGACAACAGCAACACCAAAGTGTAGCAAATCCCATCAAACAGCCATGGCTGGCATTTTTTTACAAACAAAGTATACAGCAAAAATGGCAGCCATTTTTCAAAATGACAGCCATTTTTCAAAATGACCACCTTCTACCAAAAGTGTCATTAGACAGTGTGCCACGCTTAAAGTATTCACGCATCAAATATGAACAAAATCGCTCTTCTACTTTTCGAGTTATAGTAAAATACGTTAAAATGGCCGCCTTCTTCCAGAAGAGTCATTAGACAGTGTGCCATGCTTGTAGTATTCATATACCAAATATGAAAAAAATCGCTCGACTACTTTTCGAGTTACAGCAAAAATCGTAAAATAACGAGTAAAGGCCGCCATAGTTCAATTCTTTGAAGCAAATGATTCTAACATATCTTTGAAAAAATGTGAAATTGTAAAAATATTTTGCAACGTGTGAAATTGAATTAAAGCACATGATTCAATGAATATTGGATGCTTCACTTCACTTATGTCTTCTAGTCTAGGCTTTGAATTCGGACTACCACTCTCATTCATAGTCTAGAATCAGGACATATGTTAATTTTAATCATCTACAATGCATTGAGTCATTGGCTTAAATCCTATAATATAATATGCCTATCAATATAATATGTAATTATTTAAGTATCATCTCAATGCTTTAATTTTAATAGAATTATTTTAATATTTTACTAACTGTATACTATGTAGTTTGCATTACTGTTGATAAATAAATAAATAAATGATTGCACTGTTCAGTAAAGAAGTATAGCAATTGTATTTTTTAAACTGACTATACACTATAGAAATGATTGTCATTGAAAAACCAAATCAGTACCAAAATTATGGTTACCCTGTAGTAGTGAAAGGCACATTAAAAATGAATATCACCCCCTTCAATCTATTTTTACAGGTTTTTATGATTATTTCAGATTTTTCTATAGTTTGCGTAACCAGGACGGTGAATTTTCTTCATTTTTCATCAAACATGTTGTCTTACCAATATTTATTATATCTGTCAATTTTATCAAAATCGCGCCGCTACGTTTGAAAATAATTCAAATTATGTAGTTTTTCCCATTGAGCTCCATTATAAAAATGGAATTTTCAAATTTAATATTTTAAAATTCTACGTGGTGAAAAGTTGCATATTGAGTAGTTAGTTAATGTTATGGTGTTAAAAATTCAAAACAAAAAGGAATAGAGAAAAAATGCCACAGAGAAGTCTCAATAGAGTCTCTTTAACAAATGCAACTTCCAAATGTTCCAACTGTTTTGTGGGGGGGTGTGAGGAGTGGTCCACTCCCCCTAGGAAATTTTACAGTTTTGAGATGCTATTTGGTGGTTTCTGGGCACTTTCAAAGTTTAAGTTTCCAAGTAGTACGCCACCACCACGGGAATAAGAGTTGAGTGCATAATAAAAAACCGAGCATCAGGGGGGTCTGGGGGTTCTCCCCCATGAAAATTTGGAAATTTGGTTGTATTTGGAGCGAATTTGCAACCATCTGGTACGCCAGTGCGTTATGAGTCAATAAGAAAAATGTGAATTTTTTTTCAAATTCTTTTGGGGGTGTCAAAGAGGATGAGAGGGTGAAGTGGGGTGGGGTGTCAGTAGGGGCGCAAGGGGTTGCCCCCCAGAAACATTGACCATATCAAGGTGCTATATATATTTGATGATGTCTGGGCACTTAAAAAATGTCTGAGACAATACATGAAATTCAGAATATTTTCTTTTGTTTTGTGGGGGATGTGAGGGGTGGCTCACTCTCCTAGAAAATTTTACAATTTAAAGATGATATTTGGTGCTTCTGGGCACTTTGAAAGTGTATTAGTCAATAAAAACATTGAAAAACAATCACAATTTTTTCCAAATTTTGGGGGTGTCAAAGGGAGGGGGTGCCAGAGGGGGAGGTGGGGCTGGGGACGAGTGCCAGAGGGTGAGTAAGTGTTAGTCTTCCAGAATCATTAACTTTATCAAGGAGCTATTTGATGATGTCTGGGCAATTTAAAAGTGTCTGAGACAATACATAAAACAAATTCAGATCTTTTTCATTGTTTTGTCTGGGGTGTGGGGGGTGGCCCACTCCCCCTAGAAAATTTTACAATTTTATGACCCTATTTGGTGCTTTCTGGGCACTTTCAAAGTGTATGAGTCAATTAAAGAATTTTAGAAAACCACAATTTTTTTTTGGAGGGAGGGGGGAGGTCAAAGGGGGGGGGGCGCCAGAGGGGGGGGGGAGTTACGCAAGTGCAAGAGGGGGAGCAAGTCCCCCAGAAACACTAACTATATCAAGGAGCTATTTGATGATGTCTGGGCACTTTAAAAGTGTCTGAGACAAAACACTAAAATAAATTTAGAACTTTTCCATTGTTTTGTGGGGGGTGTGAGGGGTGGCCAATACTCCTAGAAAATTTTACAATTTTAAGATGCTATTTGGTGCTTTCTGGGTACTTTCAAAGTGTATGAGTAATGAAAAAAAAATTACAAAAAAAATAAATTTTTCAAAATTTAATTTTCAATTTTTTTTTCAAATTTATTTTGGGGGGTGACAAAGGGGGGTGCGGTCGCACCCATCGCACCCCCCATCTGACGGCCCTGACACGCTTTTACATTAGTCCAAATCACGCAAATCCCTTGAATGTCCCGAGACATCCTGCAAATTTAGGTGGATGTCCCGCGAAATCCCGCAAATTTAGGGCACTTTTTCTAGAAAATTTGTCCCTCTATGAAGTTTTTGCTGGTAAACCTGTTAACTGTCCCGCAATTAGGGTGTTTGTCCCTTGAATGGTCCCGCGAATTTGATAAAAAAAATTGGCCTATAAGCGCAATCACGCAAATCCCTTAAATGTCCTGCGAAATCACGCAAATTTAGTAGATGTCCCGCAAAATCCCGCGAATTTTGGGCACTGGGTCTAAAAATCTGTCCCGCGAGAAAATCTTTGGGGGTTGACAGTTAGACTATATCCTATTTAGTCTGAATTATATTCAGACTATAAGGCACCTATGTTAAAGTTTGGTAATCATAGATATTTGTTTACATAGGAAGTGCTATTCAAAATGGCCGACTGGGTAAAATTAATTTGCAATTTGTTACTTCAACTAGCTTTATTTCCATTTGACAATACGCTGTGTTACTTTTTATTGCATTTAATTGTACCTTACTATTTAATTGAAATTTTGTAATGTTTATTTTATTGAAAAAATGGTTCCTCTAATTGATAATTTTGTGCAAAAAATTTCACTGCAATTTCCACAGGAAAGTAGTACATCATAACAGACTGACTTCTAGTCAGTCTGTTGGATACATACTAGGTTGACAGTACTGCCAATGTGTTGACAATTTGAATGAAAGTTTGAAAGTCACTAATTCTAGGTGTTCCAAAGTTGATATGCCTGGTACTAATAGGCATACTGTCACTAGATTTCCCTGTGATATGACACAATTGAAGAAAATAAAAAATAGGTAGGTCTACAGTAAAATTATTTTTTGTTGGGCGATAATAGATTATCAGAGTGCTAAAATGTAATAATTCATAATCAATTCTGAAGAAAAGCATAATTCAACGGTTAATTATTGTGTCTTACCTTATGCTGATTGTTCTTGACTGAAGAATGAATCGTTTAAATAAATTCTGGTGCAATAATCCGAATAAATACCACAGGTTGTTGTTCAATGGACTAGTGAGACCTAAATTAGAATATGCGAATGCAGTTTGGAATCCATACCTAAAGAAGGATATTGAAATCATTGAGAATGTACAAAGAAGAGCGACAAAAATAATTCCATCACTGAGGGAACTCTCATACCCTGAACGTCTTAAGGTACTAGATATGACAACACTTGCATTTAGACGACTCAGAGGAGATATGATAGAGACATACAAGTATATTAATAACCTCTATGATGTAAATACAAAACTACTTTTTCCCAGTCTACTCCAGCAAGAAGTACCACAACGAACACGTAGATGTAACACCCAGTATCTATTTAAGTCACATTGTAAAACATCCACAAGACAGCACACATTTAGCCAGAGAGTAGTAAAACAATGGAATTGTATACCAGAATGGGTAGTTAATGCCCAAAGTGTGAATCAGTTCAAAAACAGATTGGACTCCCACTGGTACAATCACCCAATGAAATACGATCATACAGTGGACTATCATTTTATACATCGTTACTAACCTTAAGTATTGATCGGTTAAACAGGCAAAATATGCCTATAAACCGTAATCATCTTATAATCTTATAAAAGGAAGTTGTATTAAGTCCTTTTTGGGCCCTAACGGCCTTCTGCCCTCCCCCAATCTCACACAACAGACGAATCTATAAGGATGCCAACAAACATCTAGACCTGAAAAAAAAATGAAATCAAAACAAAGTTTTTTACAAGATCCTTGTTAAAAAAGCCCCCAAACTCGCTCAATATGGAGTAAAAATACTTCTCAATTGAAAAGAAACAAAAAAAGCACGAGCTGACAGATGCTTAATGACGATATAAGCCCTGCAAAACATCTACCCATCAAAACTCGACGAAATGGAATGATTGGGGGAGGGCAGAAGGCCGTTAGGGCCCAAAAAGGACTTAATACAACTTCCTGTGATAAATACGTGTCAAATTCTCATGCCGTTTTGTTTACTTCCGGTAAGCTTAACGTGGTGCATCATGGGAAGTGCGAAATTTGAAAAGATGGAAGAAACATTTGAGGTTGGTATATTTTTGTCGTTTTATTATGAATTGGTGTACCTGAATGATTAATCAAACAACTAAATAATTTTTTCTACTAAAAAATATCAAATAAAGCTTAGTCGATTGGTCAAATATTGTGAAATGTTCAAAGGTTTCAGTTCAGAAATTTTCTGAATGATTTCAAATCCTGAAATCCAGCACGGACGTCAAGTACGTTTCTGGCGAAAGCTGGAGCACAGATTATTTAGAGGACTGGAAACAAGAATGACCTACCTTTTTATTCCCCGAATCTCGCCTGAAATTAGCTCATCTTGGTGACTGTAACCTGTATATCTGTATTAATAGAGTCTTTTTGTATCACCTCTGCCTCAATTTTAAAGTTTTATTGGTATTTTTAATATGATTTCACTGTTTTTGTGGACTGGTACGATCAGCCAAGCAAATGGCAGCTGATCTGTTCAAAGTACTTTTAGTACTAATTTTCGCAAATTACAATAATTTTGGAAACAACATTATACTAAATAGATTACTAAGCATCTAAGGTAAGTAAAACTAGATGAACAGGCTGAGTCAATAGTGATAGATAGGCCAAAACGAACTGGCAGAATGGAAATAGACTACCATCTTGTTTCCAGTCCTCTTAAATAATCTATGCTCCAGCTTTCGCCAGAAACGTACTTGACGTCCGTGAAATCCAGACCAAACACAGTACACTGCAGACTACAGTGACCACAGGCAATGGAACATAGAAATAATCCCCCCCACTCTCTATATATAAGTGATAATATTTTATTTTACTTATATATAGAGAGTGGGGGGGATTATTTCTATGTTCCATTGCCTGTGGCAGTGACGATCCACTTTGACATTGCCTTCTAAATCCAAAGGGGTAGGTTGAAATGTTTGGGTAGATATTATATCTTTTGTTCTGTTTTCTAAATTCTAATCTTCAAAAAGAAATTAGAGTAGGTAAAATTTCTACTCCTGTAAGCCCATGATGTATTTTTCAAAGTATTTACATATATGGGTTCCTGAAAAACTATGGTATAGAATTAAATATGAGAAATGAGATCTTCTATGCTTGATGTACATGTAGACTAGATAATGACATAACTAACACTTTGATGTTTGAAATGCTGGTGGATGGATGGCATGATCATCACTTACACATATTCAGGCCTGTCAACTTGGGACAAATTTCGAACGGAATGCGTGACATATACGTAATTTGCGTGAAAAGTCAGAATGAAATGCGTACTTTTTTTTTCGGCGTTCGTATTTTTGCTGTGTAGACGAACTTTTTTAGAAATTTTTCTACAGAAATATTTTTGCTTGACAATTCCCAGGTAAAATGCGTATTTGCGTGACATTTTCTGTCACGCAAAAATAACTGGCGTGACTTCAAATTCTTCAGCAAATGCGTGACAAATACAAATTGCAGGACAGTTGACAGGCCTGCATATTACTATACAAGATATATAACACAATGAATAATCAAATACTAAAATAAATGACTGGTCCTTATAATTAGATATGACACAATATATCATCAATGAATTCAAAATATCTCAAATATGTAATACTTTTAAGGTTGAGCGAATTCTGAAGAGTCGTAAAAGAAGAGGGAATGCTGAATATCTCGTGAGATGGAAGGGTTATGGCGCTGAAGAAGATACTTGGGAGCCAGAAGATGGACTGGCCGATGCCCAGGAAGCAATTCAAGAATTCTTGACTTCACAAATCAAATCAAAAACAGTATGTGGAATAACATTTCTCTTGAGAGGCAAAGACAATTATTAATATTATATCAACAAAATTACTGAAAAATATTTGTAAAAATGCAATAAAATCGAAAATAATGTGCTCAGGAGAAGACTATAAACACCAGTGTGGCAAAATTCTGGTCAAAATCTACAATTAATGATATTTTATTCTTGCAGCCAAGTGTCAAGTCGTCTGTGCAGAGAACATTAAGGTCAACAAGGACATCCACAAGGAGGACAACAACTGTCAGAAACGATGATCTGGTGACAACTAAAACAATTGAGAAGACAGAAACTTCTGGGGTACTTCCTATAATTCTTTAAAATCATTAATAAGTGATATCATTCACAAGTTGTATTGAATGTAGTTAAACACAAGATCTAAATAGTGTTAAATACTTTACATTGAGTTGCCAAAAGCTAGGATAAAAATTGTCAGATCATGCCACGCCTTCATTAATGAGGAGATTACGCCCAAGTTGTATTGAATGCAGTTAGACACAAAGTTCAAAACGATGGCGACAACAATGAATTGCCAAAAATTTTTAGAATAAAATTATCAGATTGTTTTGATTCAATTTTTACCCAAAGCCAACTTAAGCAAAAAGACTTCTCTCTGAAAAACAGAATATCAAGGTAGATATTAGCCTTGCCCAAGTCAGTCTCTTTTACTTACCTTGATTTCTATTATGGTAATAATTCAAGATTAGATATTTAAAAAACACTGACTTGGGGCAAGGTTAGGGTGATGTTTTTTTTTTCAAAATTCTCTTACCAGATCAATTTACTTTATTCAATCCATAAGCAATATAATATTCCAGGACAGAGCAAAGATCCTTGATGCCAGTCCAATAGTAACAGCCAGATCAATAAGAGGACGACTAGAGTTTGATGAACAAGGGGATACATATAAACTCATACAGAGGCCAACTGCATCATATTTTCCTGATATTAATGATAAAACTATGGACCCAGTAGCCAATCAAGGAGCTGCAAATCGTGACGTTTATTTGTTCCGTCCTCGTGATATGTTAATAATATTAGCTGTGGTGTGTGTCTTAGTGCTGGGCTATGTCATGGTTCTAAATCAATCCCAATAGAAAAAAATAAATTGAATTTGTGGTACTAGGTTAGGGTATGTGATCCTATTTGTACAGATTGCATTGTATATATAATTAAGCCAATATTGGAGATATGATGACAAAATTAAATACCTTGCCAGAACAACTGAACAATTGGTGTAGAATGTAATTACTCTCGCCTCAAAACAGAAATGTTATGCCAATTGTGGTTGTACAAGACCACACAGGATTTTATTGTGATATTTGAACTCATGTCTGGGCAACTTCAGCAAATCCAGTGGAGAAAAATATGCCAGAGGATTGCTTATTTGAGGAACCATTCTTGCTCCAAAACAGTCACAGTTCTTAGTTGAATGAATTCCTCACTTCATTGAATGCATGCAATTTGCAACTTATTATGTGTACAGATAAATTAAGTTGAATGTGCACTCCCAGAGTTCATTTTACCCATTGTAGGTAAAAGTTAAACAGACTGTGTCAAGCATGATGATATTGACTTGCTTCCCAGATCACTTTTCGCTCTGAACATAGCCTTAAATCAAGTGTTTTGTGAACTGTTCATTTCCCCATTTCTCACCTCCGTGACTTTTGGTGAAATGGTAATGGTGGAGGTCAGATGGTTCAGGTTTTGAACCAGTCTGTTTTAATTTTAACCAGCTGATATTTTCAGTATGTGCACAGCGACATTCAACTTCAGCCAGTGGGTTTGATACTTATGACACATCACATGGACTAGGGATTGTATACTTTACAATTGATGTATTTAGACTACCATTTTAAGACACTCCCTATTTGAGTGACGATGTATTATCACCATGAGCTGATATGAAGGGGGGGGGGCATTATATCTTATTTTTATGCATTATGTTAAATACTTGTATAACATTATATTAAGATTATTTTAACTCATGAATTTTTAACATAGCCTACAGTGTACATGTTGTATTTTAGAAAAAAACTAATTACATTTACAATATTTGACTGACATTATGTGTTATTTATAGTTAGTATGATCTGTTTACATGATTTATCTTCAGGGTTCATATAAGGGCATTTTCCCTATTGTGATGGAAATATTTCTTTTATTGTAATTTACAGAATTGGGCAAATGAGAACATAATGTAGGTTATTTAACAAGGGGTCTTATTTACAAGAAGATAACTTTTGATATTTGTTCTCTTGATGTATGATGTCTTATTATTTTTAAATATGAAATGTGTGAAATGTGTGTATCTTGCCTATGTATATTCTGTGTATCTTTTAGTGTACAGTGTATGGGTCCTCAAACTCATATATGGTAGGTCATTCACTCTCCATGGTCAGTATGATATTGCTTACTAGTATGTATATTCTGTACTACAGTTAGCACATGGGCCCTCAAGGCCCTCTCATATTCATGGATGGTCAGTATCTATAATGGAGTTTTGAACAATGCAATGTATATAATGTTTATGCACTTAGTATATCATCAATGTACATATGAATAACCAATGATAGAAATAGAGTTTGTTATGCAAACTAAAATGGATTTTATGTTTTTTAGTTTTCCCCAAACCAGTTTTATCCCTTATAAGTGCTCCCTTTGCCAGGCTGTGTCCAATGCTAAATAAAGTCTGAATTGTTTCCATATTTCTGACTTTTGATTAAATGGTAGTATACTTCTATACAAGAGTTTATAATTGAAATAGTGACATTGTACTCTCAATAATCATGTTGGAATACAAGAGCATTTTTGGGGGATTCCTGGATGAGAGGTGTGTGGGAGTGCCAAAGGATGCTTCTCTAGCCTTCCTCTAGAAAATTTTACCATTTAAATATACTGTTTGGTCATTTCTCATTTTCTGGAAAGTTGTGTACATTATGAATAATGCTTTGTGTAATTGGTCTGTGGGTACATGCAGTTGAAGCCTTTGGAAAAGGTTATTTTTCATGAATGTGATGAAATGTCTTGAATTTAATAAGGTACTGTCTTGAGATACCCCTTAATATTACAGTGAGTTCCTTCTGATTTTTAGCTCACATGGTGAGCTTTTGCAATCACTCACTTGTCCGTCTGTCTGACCGTCCATCTGTCTGTCTGTCTGTCCGTCAACAATAGTGGCACATTTTAAAACCTCTGTCGACAGGATTCCTGTTTTAAGTTATTTCTGTTCAACATCAATACAGAAAACTCCCCTATGACTCCTGGTTCAAAAGCTCGCCTATTTTCAAAATGGCCGTCACTTTTGTCTCGCGAAATTCACTTTTAGCCCATTTCCTAGCTAACCTCTGTCGATAGGATTCCTGTTTTAAATTATTTCTGTTCAACATCAATACAGAAAACCCCCCTATGACTCCTGGTTTAAAAGCTCGCCTATTTTCAAAATGGCCGTCACTTTTGTCTCGCGAAATTCACTTTTGGCCCATTTCCTAGCTTTACAAATAATTTCAGGTGTCCTACATTGTAAAAATCCATGTCAATGTAAAGATTAGATATATGAAATAATTTTGTTACAAAAAATCAGCGAAAAATTGTATCCATTTTTTTATTTTCAGCCATTTTAGTTAACATTGATTTGTCTATCTGACTCGCGAAATCCACTTTCTGTCAATAACAGTGGCACGTTTCAAAACCTCTGTCGATAGGATTCCTGTTTTAGGTTATTTCTGTTCAACATAAATTCAGAAAACTCCCCTATGACTCCTGGTTCAAAAGCTCGCCTTTTTTCAAAATGGCCGCCATTTTTGTCTCACGAAATTCACTTTTGACCCATTTCCTAGCTTTACAAATAATTTCAAGTGTCCTACATTGTAGAAATCCATTGCAAAGTAAAGAGTAGATGTATGAAATAATTTTGTTACGAAAAATCAGCGAAAAATTATATCCATTTATTTATTTTCAGCCATTTTAGTTAACATTGATTTGTACATCTGTCTCGCAAAATTCACTTTTAGACCATTTACCTTAAACCCTCTGTCGATAGAATTCCCATTTTAAGTTATTTTTGTTCAACATCAATACAAAAAACTCTCCTATGACTCTTGGTTCAAAAGCTCGGCTATTTTCAAAATGGCCGTCACTTTTGTCTCGCGAAATTCACCTTTGACCCATTTCCTAGCTTTACAAATAATTTCAGGTGTCCTACATTGTAAAAATCCATGTCAATGTAAAGGGTAGATATATGAAATAATTTTGTTACAAAAAATCAGGGAAAAATTGTATCCATTTTTTTATTTTCAGCCATTTTACTTAACATTGATTTGTCTATCTGACTTGCGAAATCCACTTTCTGTGGCACGTTTTAAAACCTCTGTCGATAGGATTCCTGTTTTAAGTTATTTCTGTTCAACATCAATTCAGAAAACTCCCCTATGACTCCTGGTTCAAAAGCTCGCCTATTTTCAAAATGGCCGCCATTTTTGTCTCGCGAAATTCACTTTTGACCCATTTCCTAGCTTTACAAATAATTTCAAGTGTCCTACATTGTAAAAATCCATGTCAATGTAAAGTGTAGATGTATGAAATAATTTTGTTACGAAAAATCAGCGAAAAATTATATCCATTTATTTATTTTCAGCCATTTTAGTTAACATTGATTTGTCCATCTGTCTCGCAAAATCCACTTTTGGACCATTTACCTTAAACCCTCTGTCGATAGGATTCCCATTTTAAGTTAATTTTGTTCAACATCAATACAAAAAACTCTCCTATGACTCTTGGTTCAAAAGCTCGCCTATTTTCAAAATGGTTGCCATTCTTGTTTCGCGAAATTCACTTTTTGCCCATTTCCTAGCTTTACAAATAATTTCAGCTGTCCTGCATTGTAAAAAGCCATGTCACTGTAAAAGGTAGTTGTATGAAATAATTTTGTTACAAAAAATCGGCAAAATATTATATCCGTTTTTTTTTTATTTTCAGCCATTTTAGTTAACATTGATTTGTCCATCTGTCTCGCGAAATCCTCTTTTGGACCATTTGCTTAAAACCTCTGTCGATAGGATTCCAGTTTCAAGTTATTTTTGTTCAACATCAATACAAAAAACTCCCCTATGACTCCTGGTTCAAAAGCTTGCCTAATTTCAAAATGGTCGCCATTTTTGTCTCGCGAAATTCAATTTTGCCCCATTTCCTAGCTTTACAAATTATTTCAGGTGTCTTGCATTGCAAAAAGCCATGTCACTGTAAAGAGTAGTTGTATGAAATAATTTTGTTACAAATTATTGGCAAAAAATTATATCCATTTTTTTTTCAGCCATTTTAATTGACTGAGAGACAGATGGCTTGAAATAATTTTGTAACAAAAAATCATCAAAAAATTATATCCGTTTTTTTCTGTCACCATGTGAGCCCAGTACCCACGGTACTAATTTTTTTTTTAAGCCCTGGACTCTGTGCAATGCGTGCTGAATCATTCCATTGAAGGTGTTGTTTCCAAATCTTTGCATGACCGCGCAGCAGGAATGCAAAGTTTAGGAAACAACGTCTGAATGGAATGTAAAGCAGCCACAATGCATTGAAGTCTTGGGCTTAAATTCTTTTCACATGTTGCAAAATATTTTCTACGAAATCACCTCAGAGATGCAAAATCACTAAGCTTTAACAAAGATTTTTCTTAAAAGAACATGTTTTCAAAAAAACTTTTGCAAGGGCCAATTTGGCAAAGTATCAATTTTATTCTGGAGAGTCGACTTGTCACCTTGACAACTGTTTTGCTAGTGATTTTGAATGCAGTGTTGGGAATATAATGCACTGCATTTATGTGAAATACTGTGTTCGGATTGGCTGGAATTGGACACACCTTGCCTAGCCATGTTTGAATAAAGACATGAAATGTGATATAAGTTTCTTTGGACTTTACAATTATCTTATACCACAATACCAGTGCTGCCCTTTGTACTGTAGTGGGCACTTGCATATTACACTATCAAAAAGGCCTATTGATATACAAAAATCTACATTTAAATCAATTATCCAACGTTGAAAAACGGTTTAGTTTTTAAGATGTATAATTTATCAATAACGAAAATAGTCTGCTAATTTATAAATGGGCGGGGCATTTTTGTTGCTTTAAAGGGGGCGGGGTTACACATGATGTACTTCCGGGTCAAACCTTTTCAAGAAAAATGGCAGGAAAAGCTCAGTAAGTTTTATTCTGTTTATCAGCCGTTTACAGCTAGTATCGACTCGTTTACATGTCGAATCTTTAGAATATTGATATGTCGATCGACAAACAATACAATCTGTTATTTTTCTCTGCAAATAAACATCATTTCAACAGTTCAAATGTCGATCAACCTAATTTTTCGTTTTTTTTTTCAAAAAAATAAAACAAAAAATAGATCTAACGTTATTGCCTACCTTAGTTTCAGTCACGAGAAGTAATCCATGCCTCGGTTATATTGTACATATATATATATAATATTAAAACTAATATATAGAACATAAGGGGGGGGGTTGATTTGTTGTTAGGTGATTTGCTCTTCGTGGTTTCAGTTTTCCATAGACTCTCATGGAGACTGATCACAGTGAACAGAATTTCCTTAATATTATCATGGGCTTTCACTAGTTGAAAGCCCATGATATTATTATTTAAAACTACAAGTGCGGAATCTTTTTCGTCAAAAATATTGATGTTTGTCAAATTGATAACACATCTTTGTCATGATTTTTGAGATTTTGCAGTCATACATGCCCGAGATCACACACAAAAAAACGAATCCATACCTCAATCTTGCTATTATAGCAAGATAATACTTTTAATGTCAAGCACTGCAAAATTCGTAAAATGATCCGCGCTCCGCCTTATGACCAGTCACACTGCGGGACACATGCGCAGTATCCATGTAGAAGTGAAATTCTACATGGATCTTTCCTAACCTGATACTTATTATTGTATTGAACTTCCAAATTCCGTAAGACTGACCTCTTCAAGTCCATGTTCACTGCATACAATGAAGGCTCTGAATAGTATCTCTAATTGCTCTACCCAGAGACATATAGTAAGATATATAGCATGTCTCTGCTCTATGCTGACAGGAGATATATGTGTGTATTAGGATTAGGAAGTTTGTGATCTGAAGAACTACATGTATGATGTTGTTGGTGTGATGACTTTGGAGGTTAAAATGTAATAACTGGAGAGTGCCTTAGGGCTCCAGTGTATAACCAGCTGTCAAACATAGTGTAACAAGCCAGATACATATTGAGAAATGAAACAAAGTGTGCTATAAATTCAATGCCCAATGTGGGAAACAAACTCAGAACCCTTACATCCAAAGTCTGATGCTGTACCTGTACCAACTGTCTGAAGGCTTTAGTTAACTTTCATTTGTCTCCCTTTTGAATTAAAAGAACCAGATATTATCATTGAAAAATCCTTAATTCTGACAAGAAGAGTACTTGATGTGGTAGTTTGAATTAAATGTAGCCACATCCCAAACATTGAGAATTTTGGAAACCTACTATCTGTGCTATGGATAACAATGTAGACGTAGAGTGGTGAAAAGATGTTACATTTTAGGGACCTTTAGATACACTCATACAATACTTGGCCTAATTCAGACTTGCCTCACTTGTATTTTATAGGGCATACAAAAAAACAAAGTCCAATATAACAGAATAATGAATATATACAGTGTAATGTCTCCATGTCCTGAAATGACAGGACTATCTTGAAGAGCTTGCCAGTGCATGAAATATCAAGGCAGCCATATGTTTTTATAATGGAGCTTAAAATGAGACTATAGACTATTAACCGGGAATAAAGTAATCAGGCATTCAGTCAATTCACATTGAAATAGTAATACTACAAAATTAAATCAGTTCATTCAGATCCCGATTCAGAGTTCAGAGGAATGTTGAAAAATAAGCATGATCAAGTTGATTTTTAGGCATTAAGTTTGTTAATCAAAATTTATCTTTTAAGTTTATGTTAGGACTATATGAAGCAATAGTTAATAAGAATCACTTGATTTGTTGAATTTATATGATAACGGACAGATGATAATAAGGTGTTGCTGATTGATAAAGTGTCTAAAATATATTTATGATCAAGTAGATCTTGAGATATTCTTGAGAGTTCCTATAGCTATTTTGTGTTTTGTTGTCTGTCGTATGCACTTTATATGATAACAATAAACAATCATATATATTAAGTACTAATTATAATTCAAATATGCCTAGAGTGTCTTACCAGTTCAGTCATTAATTCAAGTATACCTGTATGTGTATGGTCAGCTGAGCAGAAACATTATTTTGCGGTGCATTTTGGTTTTATAATGAACCAAGCAATGACATCATTAGTAAGGCAGTGACATCATCACAGTGCATTACAGTTGCATAAAGAACTAGAAATTTCATTTTTATGAAGGAGATGGTATAATGTATATATTGAATTGCAGTGAAGAACCCGATATCATTCTTTATTGGATTCAAAAGCATTCATGCATGTACTTATCCATCCTTAAAATATACTCTGGTTTTACCCTTGTGCAATGTTTGCACATGTCATGCACTCATGCTTTTAAATTTCTAATAAACTTGATAAAGGATTCTCCTCTGAGTATTTCAACTTTCAGTAACCTTTTAAGCATGACCTCTTTAGATGTCAACATCTTGACCCTTTCTGATTACCTTGACTTTTGAGTGTTACCTTGACCTTTGAATGTTACCTCGACATGTGTCCAAAAGTTTGTTATATGCAATAAAATTTGAACCAAGGTGCTCAAAATGTGGGCCAGGGTGTTCAGATTTGGGCGAGGGTGTCCAAAATTTGAGGAAAGGTGTTCAACATTTTTAAGTCACTCATGTTAGGTGTTCCCAAGTTGACAGGCCAAAATGTACTTTGTTATCTAGGCCAGCATTCTGTCAGGGTTCAACCACCCTGGAGATTCCCATGAGTCTCCACAAGGAAAACCGCCAACGACTGTGTGAAAGACTTCGTAATGCTCCTGGTTACCAAAAGGGGTCACTAGTGCTGCTACAAGGAGGCGAGTCTAAACTTCGCTACTGCAGTGACCATGAACCAGTGTTCAGACAGGTATGTCTTTTATGAATTCAAGTTTTGTATGGCAGTAAAATATCTTGGTTGTTGCAAAATGGAGTAAAAAAGTATAATTAGCATTACTGGAGATTTGCATTGTGAGAGCCATTATAAAACCTACAAAACAGCCATCGTTAAATACTGATATTTTTGAAGACTGTTCCAGAAGTGTTACATTCAGCTTGTAAGTTTTGCTTATCACTCTTTGCCTCATTAATAGAATCTTAAATAGAAATCAAAGAAGCAGATATACAAGTGAACACCACCTCCTACACAGCCAGATTTTAGGCCTCAAATTTTTCATTTCAGGACTGATAATAGCTAGGCCTTTTGAACCTCATTTTCAAGAAAAAGTCTCATTTCTGACCTTGGCCTTGATGTTTCTTCTCACACAAAAATCAATTCTAGGCCCTAATCTTTCTCAGTTTCCAGATCCAACCTACCCCATATATCTATTACATAAAATATGAATCACGATAGTTTTATATGTATTTAAATGATTTTATGCATTTGTCAATTTAGGAATCATATTTCCACTGGACATTTGGGGTGCTGGAGCCTGATGCATATGGAGCCATAGATGTAGATTCGGGAAAGTCAATTATATTCATGCCAAAATTGCCAGATTCATATGCTGTTTGGATGGGAAAGTAAGAAAACAAAAGTTAACTTTCTGCATTTTGTAATGACATGTAGTTTAAATTGTGTGAAAAGTAAACCTCAGAGTGACTTTTTAAGCATTTTATTTTTGTTGAAAGGAATATAACATTTAAACAAGTTTGTGGTCCCAAGCACAAGATGAACCATTATATGATTTATAAATATTTTCTAAAAAATATAAATATTTAGTGAATAACAGTAATATGGGAGATATATTATACTTTATGGGTTCACTTATTTCAGGTTGTTTACCCAAGGAGACTTCCAGAAGAAATACCACACAGATGAAGTCCATTGGGTGCCTGAGGTAAGCTAAAATAATGGTAACTGCAGTTATTGATATAAGCAGAACTGGGGACATTGTCTGTCAGTAACTTGAGTTATTGATTCAACATGTCAGTTTGAAAATCTATACAAATCTATACATAATTTTAACATAAGATATGGAGTTATTTTCTCAATACAGGCCAATGCACATTTTCCCAATTCAGCAAAAAAATATATTAGAAAGCTCAACTTTTTTTCTGAGATATTTCCAGGTGTGTTAGTGCTCTTATTGTGTTTACAGCGTAAAACCTGTGCAATGGAACACCTTGCATGTGAGACAACTCACAAATGAACATCTCACAAGAGCAATGACTTATGTGAAGTAGTTTAAGAGTATCATGACCCATTGACTTCTTGTTAATGAATCTTTATAAGTGGAACACCTCCCAATTGAAACACTCAAGGGTCTTCCTACCAACATTTTACTGTACTTTTAATATATTCCAGCTTGCCAATGTTCTAAAAGAGCTGAAACCAAGTGTACTGCTGACATTGGTAAGTTGAGTTTGGACTACTCCCTCTTAAGGGATGATTGTTGACTCCCACTTGTAAATCAACATTTTCATGTCACTACCAAGATGGATTCTTAGAGTAGAAGTGTAAAAGGTCTCAGTTTGATACCTCTTTCTAATGTTCCAAAGCTGTTTTAATTTAAATCATATATTTTTACTTTGTTTGATCTCACAGTAAGCATGGGCAAAAATCAGTCAGAGAAAAGCAATACTATTAAAAGATCATTATATAAACACATCAAATATTATATGATCTTTTATATTTTAGCATGGCCTCAACACAGACAGTGGAAATTTTTGTAGAGAAGCAGCATTTGATGGAATCAGTGAGTAAGTCAGAATTTATTTCTAGTTCGGCAAAATATGTACTGGCCCTGGGTTGGCAAGACATATTTCCCATTGAATAAAAGGAACAAACCTTTCACCCCAGGTCTGTTTCTTCCCTTCCATAAAATATGTGAAAAATCTTATTGTCAATTTACTAGAAACTGTTAGATTCACTAACATGTAGTCAATCGGACAAAGAACTTTGAAAACTATTCCACATGTAAGATGTGGCACTTACAGATGTATTCCACTTGAAATATTTTTACTGTATTGTAGTTTTTCACAAATCAGACTTTAACTTATTTTTTATGTTTAGGTTCACAGTAGATAACAAGTTTCTTCATCCACAGATCATGGAATGGTGAGTATCAAATGAGAAAAAAATTTCTTTTAGATTTAACTATTGGTAGATTCAAAGAAATGCACCGTCAATTATATAAAACTGTTTTTATCAGTCCATTTCTATAATAAATTGTTCATCTTATGAGAACTTTAACTTTTCATATTTCACTTTCATAACGCGATGACAGTACCATTGTATTGATCCAAAACAATATGTATACATTCCCGCTTTATATAACTTTGCTTGACTACATCTTGATAGTTATTATACGAAAGTTGGAACAATACATGAGGTACATGTAACATGAGAGAAACACAGAGAAATATGTAAGACTAAGAACCAGATCACTCTATAGTACTGAATATTAAAATCAGCTCTATATGTTATTATTCAATAAACACAATTCAAATATTTCAGCCGCGTCTTCAAAAGTCCACAAGAAATAGAGATTTTACGCTACACAAACAAAATCAGCAGCGAGGCTCACAAAGAGGTGAGTTATGTCTAAAAAGTCAGGAGTCAGCTTAATTAGCATTGTGTCCTTTTTTATGAAATCATTTTAGTTGTACGGGAGGGGACACACAAATGGGAGAGCTAAAAAGGTCACTTTTTTACTTTTTCTGAGTAATGTGGTTTTTGAAAAGATTGCATCCAATATTTTACACTCTCTATCTGTTCTACTTCTTTAAATAGAGTGCTGAATTTTCTGCAGGTAATGAGATCTGTTCGCCCTGGATTGATGGAATACCAAATGGAATCTCTGTTTTCTCACTATTGCTATAAGATTGGTGGAATGAGACACTGCTCATGGGCCTGCGTATGTGGAAGGTATAATGTTTAAATGATAATCACTCCTTCATCTATTATCTATATTTTCTGCAGGTAATGAGGTCTGTTCGTCCTGGATTGATGGAGTACCAAATGGAATCAGTATTTTCTCACTATTGCTACAAGATTGGCGGTATGAGACATTGCTCATATACCTGCATATGTGGAAGGTATAACAGTGTTAAACTGGATACAGTAGAGAACAACATGAGATTGTATTTGGATCAGTTGAAGTTTGATGTTATATTTCATAATATTAAAGGTGTAAATAGCACAAAAAATAAATTAAAGGTCCACTATGCTTACTTTAGAAGAAAAAAAGTTAATAATCATTGAAACATATTATTTACACACTCAATCAAATATGATACAAATTTTGATTTGCATTAATATTGAAACGAAAAAACAGCATTTGAAGTTCAGAGATCCTTTGTAGTGCATGCCCATTTTTGACAAAGCGCAAAAGTGCATGTTTTTAAATAACTCTTGATTTAAAAGATGGCGACACTTCTATAAAAATGAATGAATCATGTGATACAAACAACTTCGCCATCTTTCATTGACATTTTTTGGGTCTAATGAAACTTATCAATCCATTTGAAATACTATGAAGTTCAAAAGTAAGTCTTTATTTTGCCCAAAAATTTTGAAAATATGCATAGTGAGCCTTTAAATACTACCATACCTCATAATTTGATAAAAAGATCAGTTTTGAATGTTTAAAGCTATTCATATATTATTATGAGGTAATCTATCATATCAAAGATTTCATGATGACATGAGAGGAAAAACAGTATGAACAATAAAGAAGAAATAGAACCATCTGCTTCAAAGTGGATTTATTTCTAGCTCAAAAAAATATAAAAAATAAGACATATGTATTTAAAGATTTGTTTATTGTTTTATAGTGGAAACAATGGGGCCACCCTACATTATGGGCACGCAGGGGCTCCAAATGATAAGAAAATCAACGATGGAGATATGTGGTAGGTGGACTCCACATTTTCTCAGAGCTTGACTTAATAATGTTTTCTCTTATTGATATATCTAAAGATCCTAAAGTTTGCATTATAAATTGCATAATTACTTATTTTATCCCAATCTTATTTGTTTATTTTGTTGTTTTATTTCAGTCTTTTTGACATGGGTGGTGAATACTATTGCTACACATCTGATATCACATGCTCTTTCCCTGCAAATGGCAAGTTCACAGAAAAACAGAAGGACATCTATAATTCAGTATACAAGTCAAGCCGAGCTGTCATGAAAGCTTTGAAACCAGGTTTGTTTCACTTATCTATTTGGAGTACAAAAGTTTCAGTTCATTTTAAGTAGGTTTGTTCCAAATTGACTAAAAATTATTTCATTTTAGATGCTAGGTATGTTATTTTATCATGTTTGTTATATCAGTGTAGCGCTAGTGGTGACATATTGTTATAGTCTCCCGATTTCTGGGAATGGTGTTGTCAGCAACTGTAACAAATGGCAAGTGGTAACATCTTGCATGTTAATGCCTTGTAAAACTATATGTTTAGACCAAGCTCTCAAGTTTTGCATATTCATAACCTAGGCTACCTTAAATTTTATTTTATTTGCCATGATTGAGTTTAATTTTGCGACATCTGATGAAATTGAAGATGTCAGCTGTATAGTGTAGGTGTCAATTATATATTGTAGGTGTCAATTGTTTGTTGTAGATGTCAGTTGTAAAGTGTAGGTGTCAATTGTAAATTGTAGATGTCAATTGTAAATTTTAGGTGCCAATTGTAAATTGTAGATGTCAGTTGTACATTGAAGGTGTCACTTGTATTTTATAGATGTCAATTGTAAATTGTAGATGTCAATTGTAGGTGTCAATTGCAATTTAAAGATGTCAGTTGTAAATTGAAGAGGTAAATTTAATTGTAGATGTCAATTGTATTTTGTAGGTGTCAATTGGACAGACATGCACCGACTGGCTGACAGGGTTCACTTAGAAGAGCTGAAGTGTCATGGATTGTTGAAAGGAGATATAGATGACATGGTGAAAGCTAAACTTGGTGCTGTGTTCATGCCTCATGGCTTGGGCCACTTTATGGGATGTGATACACATGATGTAGGGGGTTACCCTGAGGTGAGTTTGAAATTAATTCATGATTATACCACTCTAAACTTGGTGCTGACTGTCAAAATGATTTAAACATTTGTACCAGATTTCCTCGAAATGAGCCCTTTCCTTGTTTACCAATGTAAAAAGGCCTTGTGGCTAATTTTATAAGTACTTCCAGTAAGAGGCCCATTTGGTGTTTGTTAGAAAATTGACTAACATATGAATTCAATTTGTTTTCATTGTTGGTGCAAGGATCTTTGTTCATTTTCTTTGTATTAGCAACAAAATTATTCCACTAAAGCAAAAATAGGAACAAGAAGTACATGGTATAAGAGTCAAGTAGCATTATTTTGAAAGAGTAGTCATATGGCTCGTGGGCCAGTATATTGAGGGTACTTAAAAAGGTCAGCGATGCTGCCCTGTTTACATAACACAACTCTTGTTGGTCTTAAGTTTGCCCCTAGGATTACTTCAACTACTTACACGATGTGTATTTTATTTATTTTACATTTTAAAGTATGATTTGTAATGTTGCAGGGAGTTGAGAGAATAGAGGAGCCTGGATTGAGGAGCTTAAGGACTGCAAGAGACATTGAGTCAAATATGTGTTTGACAATAGAACCAGGAATATATTTCATAGACTGCGTAAGTTCTATCTCAACAATGGGGACTAGAGATAACAAAACCTGGGAGATAATAAACACATTTTTGCTAAATTTTTTATTTTCATTTTTTCTGATTTCTTCATAAATAAAATTAGTTATAAGTGTACAACTGGCCTGGCAGGGCCATGGCAAAAATTCCCAAGAAAAACTAAGACAATACATTCATCAATGGCATATTGGAGAAATGTTTGGGAAAATATTTTCTTTTTGACATCTTAGTGGTAGGGCCAATGACAGATGAGGGTAGATGAGTCAATGGATAATAACAACTAATTTAAGTTTACATTTGTCGCCACTAGATTTTCTTTGATGGTCAGGTTCTTATCAAATTAACAGATTAAGCTGACAGTGTCAAAAACTGATTGACACAATTTAGAACATGCAAATATTGACCTGACGCTTCATTTAAATTTCAGCTTCTTGATGCTGCCTTGGAGAATCCAGAGCAGAACTGCTTCATGGTGAGAGAAGTTATCGACACATTCCGAGGGTTTGGTGGGGTGAGTAGATATTGCAATTGTCTTTTTAAATCACACTGGGGTCATCATTATTGCAGATCACTATTTCTCATAACACATCAATTGTTTTAGAAATATAGGCTACTGCACACTCAAGATAACATAATAACTTGTTAATTATTTTATTCACTGTTTTATTATTTATTATCACTTATTTTGGTGTCAGCCACACAACTTAATAAGTGCAGTATTTTATTAAACATTCAGTTTAGTACTACAATTTAACAAACATTTTGAAAAGTTGTTTAACTTGATTACAACTTAAGCTACTATACTCTTCATCTAAGAACACATTTTTTATAATTGTAGGTGCGTATTGAAGATGACATTGTAACAACAGAAGATGGTATGGAACTACTGACATGTGTCCCCCGCACTGTCGAGGAGATTGAAGCCTGCATGGCAGAAGGAAGAAGAAATGAAACAAAGGAACAATAAATAAACCACGAATACCATGCTGAGCAGGGTGTGCCATAAGCATTTTTGAATGCTACTAGTTTTATGAACTATGCATGTCATGTACATTTCAATGTTGACATAATCAGCTAATCGATATATACTTATTGTCCCAAAGGTGCCTTGTATCCTGATGCTGATTTTGTTTTGGAATGCAAAATGGTGGAATTATCAACTACATAACTGGACAAATAAGAAATGTAGCTCGATTAAATTTTCATGAGATTTTAAGCTGAATTCATCTTATTTGACATTAGAGATCAAAATTCATGAGGCGGCCATTTTCATTAATATAAGGTACATAAAATAACTATAATTATTCCCAGGTGTTGAGGATGATTCAGAGTAGCCAAACCAGTAGCACCATATAAGGAGTTAGTAACAATAGCACCATATAAGGAGTTTGTAACAGTAGTATACATTAACCCAATCGGACTATAAATGTGACATAGACTTAAATATCAGTGAATTGAAATTGTGAAATGAGAGAGCAAAATAAAATGTTAAAAAGGCAAGTATGGCAATGTTTAGCAAAACTTCAAGCCTTATTTTCCGGGCCTCTTTATAAGAAAATCCGGTATTTTGTTTCACAGGGTCTTTTATCGAGATCTGTTTTAGTTTTATTTCAACATATACTTTGTGCAATATAATACTCTGATAGAATATTTGCTCATGATCTTCAATCAAATGCCATATGGAGCGATTTGCAAATTAAAGTTTAGAATAATATGTATTCAGAGAAATGTTCACTTGAGAGGTGTTCACTTCAAAATGTTCCTTCTATTCACTTCTCATCCAGTGATCTCCCAGCATTAAAATAACAACCAGGTGTTGGAAATTCATATCAAAATACATGTCAACCTGTTGAAAATCTGCACCCCTCAGAACGATGATATGTTGAACAAAACAAGTAAAACTAGAATTTAGTACCTGTTTGAGAAAAATATAAAACCTGAGGAGGTCACTGTTCTCTGTACTAAAGGACAGCATGAATAAGAAATAATTTTATAATAAAAAATGCTTTGATTTCAAAAATATGTAAGTTTGTTTTATTTTGTATAATGTCATTTCCAAATTAAATGATGATTGACATATTATATCTTTAAAGTGGTAATATAGGATTTTCCACTCAAATGTTAGCTTGCTAGCCTATATAAATCAATATCATATTGCCACTTTAACAAAGCTTTTTATTCAAGAATGATACAACAAAACAACTTTGTGTGATTGAGCTTATGATTCATCAAGTGGTTATGTCTCATTTTCCACATGTGATTTTTCTTCTACCAATTTCACTAAATTGTTTGTAAGTGTATAATTGTGATTTTGCCAGTTGAAATGTGTTGGGGGCTGACTCTCGTCCCCATGTCCATATTCAAAATATTGACTCAGTTCAATTGCTAGACTAGATTTAATCAAGCCAACACCCCCTGTGCGATCTGACGCAGGGTGGTACACACGTCCTGTCCAAGGTAACATGCAGAGTTCTGATGGTTCGAATTCAACCTTAAGTCTATCACCAGCATACCCATAAGTCAGCATATGTCCAGATTCTGTTTGGATTAGATGTGTGTATACGATTGGTTGATCATCACAGCGAATGAAATTACGTTCACGTCCACATAAGGATATATAAGGGAAGTCTTCGTAGCGCCCACTTTCATTTGTTTTCACTCTTTTGAAGAAGAATTCCAAAAAATCTTTCTCTGAAATTGAAAAATAAATTTAAGTTGCATGCTGTATAAAGAAAACAAGGAATTTAATGACTAACTAACCACCACAAAAAGTGTAATTTGGATAGTGCTAAGCTAAATGCAAATGCCAACACAGAACGCCAGTCATAAAAAGTAGAGACTATAACGATATATGACTTAATGGTGGCGAAAACAAGAAAATTAGACAAATAAACGTGAACAATCAATTTTGAATTACATTTACACACATCAAAAGTGAATGCCATTGGGACTTCTTTTTAAGATGATGGTCGAAAACAAAATTGTTAGTGAAATTGTTAATGTTTTGAGGTGTTCACAAAGAGATATGTTTGAGTACAAAGGCCTCACTTCACATCTATATGGCAATCATGGGAATTGTGTCAATAAATATACATTTTGACAAAGATAAATAATTTCATTGACATTTGGCTTACCTTTAAAACATGAAGTAAAGTTCTTGATCTTTGCATCGTCAAGGAAAAGCTGAAATCAAACAAATAAAATATTTGTCATGTTTGTGATGTTGCATTAAGGCTTTGCTGTCTTTTCAAGAATTTCATGATAACTTTGGCTGCATATCATCATTAATTTAAAATCACAAAATATAAGATTGATAATAATAGAACTTTGAATTTACAGCTCTGATGTATTATCAACTAGCTATCTAGGGTCATAACTTTGTCGTTACACTAAGAAAGGACCATATCCTTGTGGTTAGCCCTGCTTTTCCTGGCAGAAATTTACCACACACAAAAGGATATGTATAGCCAATGCAGACACCAATGTTATGATACAAGCCAGATATAGACATTACATGAAAGGTAATGGTCAATATGGGAATCGAATTCCTGACTTGTACCCAAAGTCAGATTCTCTACCAATCTCTATATATCCTATAGTTCTGATATAGACTACTAACTGTACTATTTATCTGGTTTGCATCACTTTTCATCATTGGCCAATAAAATGCAGAAACTCAAGTTTCTCTACAGTAAAACTTTAAATGTTTGGAACTGCTTTGAATCTGAAAAATAAGCAATCAAAGGACCATATTGAAACAGTATATGTAAAAATAGAAACATTTATACACAGCTTAAGTTTTGTATATTTTAGTTTGTTTTATAGTTTGGCTATCATTATGTATGGCCTCTTATCCTTTGATGCTTTGTCATGTTATTTTCTAAAATTAACATGGCTGAAACTCCCTAAATTACAAAAGGCCACAGCTTTGCTGCACATTACACATAACTATCTGAAATATCCAAAAGTTAGGCCTTGTACATGTTTCTATTTTTTCATATACTGTTGCAATATAGTCATTTGATTCACGGACCTCTGCCAGTTACCTCTTCTTGGTGTCTAGGCTCAATGAATATACTCAAGGACAAGACGCAACATCTTCGGAAAATATGTATTCCCTTGATTTTGGAGTCAGTTATCAATGAATATCACATGTCATACCTCAAACGATGTGTACTGCTGTTAGCTTCATCTCCAATAACTAAACCCACACATTTAAGAAAGCGTCTGTTGATAAAAGCATAGAATAACTGAACCTATATGTAATGGAGTGTTTCGGCTATTTCCGTTGTTCTCATGTTTATTCCTGAAGTCCAATATCTTTTCTGAGAATGTGACGCCACTCCGGATGCCGTCACATCAGAGATTACTGAAAAACCTCATGATGTTTTTTAAACTCCTGTAGAAACACTACATGTAACAATGGTTTGTTAGGCTACACTATCCTTTACTTTCATTGGCTGTTTGTTTGCGATGTGGCGTAATTTGAGAGACGGACATCGGACACTGCCGGAAATTACCGAAACACTCCATTATCTCTATGCTCTGAAAATTTGAAATAATTGTCCCGGAAAAACTTGATTTACAACATCAATAATTGATATCATGTAACCAAAACTAATACATGAAGAAGAGATTACAGGGTAAATATTGATCACTCAATGACTGGGAGATGGTAAAGATAAAGGTCAGTACAAAGGTCATATTTTTGGGTAGTCATATTTTGGATGTACCATTTTGGCTTGTGTCCATTTTCTTATTTATTCATTGAGCGTACTACCAATAGGGGCTGACTGGATCTGGCTACGGATCTGTGATTTGATTGCTTACTTCATGAGCTTACTTTACTTTTCCCTTGGCCTCATAGATCCCGGCAAGATTATTTTGTAGTAGAATCAGTAGCTCAATAAATATTCCTCAAGATGAGACACCTCGGAAAATTTCAAATTTTAAAATGACGATTGTGGAGCCATTTCTGAAAAATATGTGACAAATCATACCTCATTCGAAGCGTCTTGTTATTCTTTAACTTTTTTATCACCAATGACCATTATTCAAGCAATACTGCGTTGATAAGAGGCCAAAATAGTGATATTTTATCGCCGGACTCTTGTCTGTCCAAATCTGAATGTTGCTCCCGTGGTTCCAGAAATGTGACGTCATCAGTACACTGATATTTGGACACACAAGAGTCCGGATCTCGTGAAAAATATTCGCCGTATTAAAAGTCAAATAACTGCATCCATAGGTTATTTACTCGAACCAAACAAGTAGAAATAGAAAGATGAAGATCTCAGCTATAAAATAAGTGCAAAATCTGTCACAGGGAAGCAGGTACCGTTTTGTATTAGGAACATTTTGAAAGGTGGTCAATTTTTTTTTGAAATTTTCCAATTTAGTGTCGTATCTTGTGAATTATTCTTTGAGCCTATGATCCTACTACAAAACAATCTGGCCAACATCTGTGCTTGGCCTATGCAATTTAGCCTATTTATGGTACTCCAAATGTAGATCAGTCTGACATGAAGCATTGATCATCAATATGGCTAAATGTCAATTCTCTCTGGTCTACTCTCAGTATCTGGTAACTGAATAAGCATAGGCCAAGGGAAAAGTAATAGTAAGCTGTATAAAGTCTTCTACAGTATATACAGCTTATTATTGCTTTTCCCTTGGCCTATGTGGATAAGTAAAAAACAAAGTTATGTCAAAGGAAAAAATGTGTTTATCTATTTACCTGGCCTTGGTGGTCAATGTAATAGAAATACTCCCTTATCTTAGGAGATGGTGATTGTCCTTGTATATAGTGGACACATCTACTCAACAGTGGGGAGCTAATTATTCGCCTAGAAATCAGAAAACTACACTTTTGTAACATTTTTGTTGACACCGGAACTTCCGTACTTTACGGACTGAAAAGAAAATGAGGATTGTGAATGAAAAATGAAGGTGTATTTGTAAAGTTAGATAATCCTTTTATATAGTATAGTGGTTGACAAATGAATTTTAGGAGATTATCTTCTAGATTATCGCTAATCTCATTTTCATAAAGCTGTCCACGTTTTTATCGGACCAATCAACAGTCTGAATTTAATTCAGTCCGCGTAGAAAGGTTTCAGTCAAAAAAAGTTTCTTGAAATATTTTCATAGATTCAGTAGTTTTACGCCAAATCAAGGACATTATGCTGTATCAAACACATTTATTCACACCCTGTTATTAATTATTTGTCATTTGGATGATACTTTGGTGCACATAAACTGACTTTATTCACCTTTTCTCAACTTCAAACGAGGTGATCAAATTCGTTCAAAAATGGCGGCATCTGGGAAAAGGTCGTGGAAACTCCGTAAGTAAAATGATTTCATCGTTCTATTGTGATCTGAATTTTATATCTAAATATTGTTCATTCTCAACAACCTAATGAGACCTCATGATTTTCGTAGGGCTCTGGATTCTGCTCAAACTTATCAAGAGCTTGCACAGAGCTTACTATATTTGCACATAGCCATCTTTTAGTAGTATGTATCCAACAGACTGACTAGAAGTCAGTCTGTTATGATGTACTACTTTCCTGTGGAAATTGCAGTGAAATTTGTTGCACAAAATTATCAATTGGAGGAACCATTTCTTCAATAAAATAAACATAACAAAATTTCAATTAAATAGTAAGGTACAATTAAATGCAATAAAAAGTAACACGGCATATTGTCAAGTGGAAATACAGCTAGTTGAAGTAAAATTGTGCAAATTAATTTACCCAATCGGCCATTTTGAATAGCACTTCCTATGTAAACAAATATTCAGTAATATCAAACTTTAACATAGGTGCCTTATAGTCTGAATATAATTCAGACTAAATAGGATATAGTCTACATCTTTTAGTAGGAGATAACTTTGTGCAAACTAAGTAACACAGAGCTGTCAAGTGTCCCGCAAATGGCGGGATTATCCCACGAATTTGACCTAATTAGGCTAATTTGTGTGTCCCGCAAAATCCCGATATGTTGGCTCCGCGAATTTCCAAAATTGTTGCAAAGCCCTAGGCTGTATTGTGATTATCGGGGCCATTACCTTGTGGTCTAAGAAGCTAAGTTTTTTTGCACTTTTGAGGAATAAAGTTTACCTAATTTGAAAAGTGCTGCCAAACTCTCATTGCATCAAATCATCGAAGAGCTCTTGTTTTTGGAGAAATTACTGATAGTTTTTCATTCAGTGCCCTACACAAAAGTTGATGACCCACATAATATAGGGAAAGTGGTGAATTGTGAGGTTTCCTATCCATCCGCCAAAAGGTATGATCCCCATATAGTCCATTTAAAAAACTGTGATTTTGATCCAAATAATGCCATAGTTGGCTTCTCGAGTACCTACATGTAGTATGCCGTTATTTGGTATCAAAATAAAGAGGATGAGTAACTTTCATTTCAATTGACAAAAATAAGGATATACGAGGTCCAATCAGAAAATAAGTAACCAACTGCTCTTATTTTTTCATACTTTATTCAATCACATTGAAATTTTCACAGATGTAGAAAATATTGACCTCTTAAACAAGACCAAAGGCAATGGGTTAGCGTCAATTCCATTGTTATGGCTGTTGCTATGGTGACAATTGTTTTGGGTAGGCGGGGCACCTTTTTGTAAGTAGTGTTTGAAGATAATTTGTAGAGTTTTTCTACATGTTGTAACACCCCCAAACATATCAAATTTACATGTATGACTACATTTTAACTCCTAGTCCTTCAAAATAATCGCAGCCAAAGTCAATGCATTTAAGGAAACATTTCACTCTGTCCTAAAGACGTGCATCAGGTCACCACTGAATGACTGCAAACTGCCATTGAAAGCTTTAATGATAGCTTCATTGCTGTCAAAAACGGATTCCCCGAAACGACATCTTTGCATTTGGATAGAGGTATTAGTCGCATGGGGCCAGGTCTGGGGACTAGGGAGCCTGGGGAAGTTGTGTGGCCATGGAGAAGGCTTCGTCTACTACATCTTCAGTAATGTAGGCTCTGGGGGTTGGAGCATTGTCGTCATGCCAGTAAAATCCCCTTTCAACCACATTCATCTTGACTGAACCGCGACCATCATTATGACATATATGGCAGTTTTGCATAAAAATGTGAGGTCATTTGGATGTATACAGTATATAAAAAAAACTCTACAAATCATCTTCCAAACCCACTTTCAAAAGGGTGCCCCGCCTACCCAAAGCAATCGTCACCATAGTAACACACATAACAATGGAATCGAGGCTAACCCATCGTCATTGATCTTGTTTAATAGGTTAATATTTTCTTCATCATGTGTGAAAATTTCAATGTGATTGAATAAAATATGAAAAAATAAGAGCAGTTGGTTACTTACTTTCTGATCGGGCCTCGTAGGTCACAAATAGGTTTCAAAAGGCCTTTGAAAGTTACCTTCAAACTCTGAACACATTGGTTCAGGACATCTCGTTTTTAGGCATTCATTTTTTGATGTTCTTCTCTTGAAACATTTTTGCTTGACAATAATCAGAAAAATGTGAATATGTGTGACATATTCTGTCACGCATAAAAAAATGGGCTTGACTTCAATTTCTTCAGCAAATTTGTGACAAATACACAAATTGCTGGAAAGATGGATTGCCTGATTGAGTGTTTGATGGCCAATAGTTCAATGAGTTAATCTTAATTCATTAAATCTAATTTTTTGTGTCTAATTAGGTTTAACTTTCATGATATGTATTCATGTGCAGTAAATTTTGGATCGATTGACACTAATTTCCTGATAATACTAGAATTTGAGATACTTGATGATAACATAGAAAAACCTAAAATCAAACTTTTAAACATAACATTTTTGCATTAAATGTTCAAATTCAATTCAAATTCTATTACTGTTCAGTGTTCTCTCCAGGATTTTTTCTCAAGTGGGTGCGAAATTCTCATTTTCACAATTTAGTCCAAAATTGGTAAAAATATGCCCATTTTAAGTGATTTTTCATTACTTTCAAGTGGGTGCAAATTAAATCTCAAGTGGGTGCAAGCCTGTTTTTTTAATCTTAGGTGGGTGCACCACCCACTTGCTTTAATATTGGGGATATCACTGCTGTTAAACTTAATTATATATCTGCTTTAGATGGGCCTCCCTGTTGGCCTTTTGCAGATTATTGATGTAGATGTAGATGTTCATTTATATCAGGGTGGGCCAAAAAAATTTGCAACCTTTTTAGAAGGCAAAATAAGTATTATAACATTATGGTATTGACATGAATTTTTTTTTACAGAAACTTAAGGATAGGCATATTTTACCATTCAAATACTTAAGCTAATACTGACTTCAAATTTTTTTGTCAGATGTTTGAATATTAATGGTAAATTGTTCATTTGTCCGAGATTCACCATTTTTCCTAGAAAATCTGACTTTTTATGATTTTATGTGATCAACAATAACACATTCGTTATGTTTACTAAATCTGCTACAATCTTTGATAACTGTTTAACCAATGTCTAGTACAGGTTTATATCAGTATCTAGTCACTATGGTAATATTGTTAGAATGTATTAATTATTTATTAAACAAATGTTCTATGCATCCGCATTTCACCTTCACAATCACATGGAGACGAGAACTGAACTGGTCAATGGCGAGATCCAGCAGTTCTTGTTGTAGTCGTCTCCACTTATCCTGCAGAACTTCTTATAGTTGATCAATAATTTGTAGGGTATAACCATTAACTATACATTGCTCCAGGTGCCCCCATGTGTGATAGTCCAAGGGGTTGGCATCTGGTGTATTGGGTGGCCATTCGACTCGGGACTAATCTTTTTCAAAAGGGATATCTTTCAAGAATGGGGGCTCTTTCAGCCCCAACTGATTACATATTCCAGCAGGATAGCGCTCCTGACCATAGTCCAAAAGTCAATATGGAATATCTGGAGCAAAATACCCCTTGATTCATTAGTCCTGATGAATTGCCGCCCAATACACCACTTAACAAAGATTGCAGCAGATTTAGTGAACATAATAAATGTTCTATCGATGATCACATATAATTGTAGAAAAACACATTTTCTAGGAAAATCGGTAAATTTCGGACACATAAACAATTTACCATTAATATTCAAACATCTGACAAAAAAAATTGTAGTCAGAATTAGCTGAATAATTTGAATGATAAAATATGCCTATCCTTAAGTTTCTGTAAAAAAAATTTCATGTCAATACCATAATGCTTTGATACTTATTTTGCCTTCTAAAAAGGTTGCAAATTTTTTTGGCCCACCCTGATATAAATGAACATCTACATCTACATCAATAATCTGCAAAAGGCCAACAGGGAGGCCCATCTAAAGCAGATTTATAATTAAGTTTAACAGCAGTGATATCCCCAATATTAAAGCAAGTGGGTGGTGCACCCACCTAAGATTAAAAAAACAGGCTTGCACCCACTTGAGATTTAAAGCTGTCTCCAATATTTTTGTAATTAAACATCATGAAATACACAGGGGGATATGGGATGTGTTTTTATTCATAAGGTATATGCATGCTTGCTTGGATCACATTATTTAGAAGTAACATCACAAAACAATGTACTCAAATGCTGGCCAAAATTGCGCCATTCCATTTTCTGCGGAATATCCACAGAAGTTCAACCTAGTTGGGAGCAAAGGATATGTCAGATAAGAAAACTTAAGGTTTAACTTGTTGAATGAGATGGCCAAGTGAATTTTCCAATGCTCTGGTCGTATCAGCTCTCCAGTGTCCTCTTTGGTTTATGATACCATTCTATGATAATTTTAGTAAAGCACAGTTACTTTGTATGATTCAGTATCCTAATACCTAAATGAAAGATGGACACTATCACAGATTGCATTGAAATATGGATATGGATATGGAGAATGTGGGCACATGTAAATCAAACCTTAAAAGCGAACCTACTACTAATTTTCTCTAGTGGTGGAAATGGAAAAAAGGATAAATTACAACCATGTACATGTTTAATCAAACTTAATATTGTATTTCCAATCAGTAAACTGAAGGTGTTAATGATTTCAGAGGAGTTTGTGGCTCATGGTGGCAAAGTGAACTGCCTAGCTCTAGGTCGTGCTTCAGGGAGAGTCATGGTCACTGGAGGGGAGGATAAGAAGGTTAACATGTGGGCAGTTGGTAAACCCAATTGTATAATGGTAAGGAAATGTACATGGAAGACATGTAATATTATATCGAACTTTAACAGAGGCACAGTATGACATTGTAGATTGCAACCAGCAGTGAAAATCATTTTTACGCAGTTCAGATTTTGCAAAATATAGTGAACTCCATATTTTTGATTTTAATATCTTAAAATATTTCTACCTAAAAACAAAGTTATTGACCACATTACCAGTAATTACCAAACATCTGACTAATTTAATGAAAATTATTATGATTATCTCATCAAACTTTTGGGGATATAGAGAATGTCCATACTTACAATTTGGCTAGTGAGTGGCCATTTTGAAAAATGATGACCTTTTTTACATGTGTTATTTTATGATTTTTGCTACAACTGAAAAAGTAGTTGAGGGATTTTGTGAAAATGACAGCCATGGCTGTTGGATGTGATTTGCTACGCGTTGGTGTTTCTGTTATCTAGTTGTACATTATTTTCAGAGCCTTTCAGGCCACACAAGTCCAGTTGAATCTGTGAGGTTCGGACATGCAGAGGAAATAGTTGTTGCTGGATCACTCTCTGGAGCTCTAAAATTATGGGACCTTGAACTAGCCAAAAGTAAGACTGATTTTTGAAATTTATATTCGTTCTATTCCGGGAGATTGATGAAATTCTATGGATTTGAGACTTGAGTAAGGAATCTTATTTGTCAGTGGTTTCTCAATGTTAGAGCAATTAGGTGCTTTTGAAAATACATGCCACCATTCAGGAATATTGTTTGAAAAGGGGAAAGATTGGTGAATGGTAATGTCTTGATTTCAGTTGTGAGGACCCTAACCGGACACAAGGCAAGCGTTAAGAGTCTCGACCTACATCCCTATGGCGAGTTTGTAGCATCTGGCTCAACAGATACAAATATTAAGGTATTTTGTTAATTCATTACAATAATTTTATGATTATTAGAAAAATAAAGCAAGCCTCTACAAATCATCTTAGCCAAATTAAATCGATGATATCATGTAACTTTTCACTGCCCATGCCAAGGATTAAAGCCAAGTTGTTCAAAATGACATGACAATGTTGGACCAAATATCATTTGATTCTGTATTTTACTCAACAATCACTTCCCATATTTTGTTCCAAAATCACTTCTCTGATGTTAGAATTTCCAGATTTTCTGAAATTAATTCTGATTGTTCCCCATTTCTTTTTATTGTATAACAGCTATGGGACATAAGAAGAAAGGGCTGTATATTCACATATAAAGGCCATACAAATGGAGTAAATACAATAAGGTTTAAATGTTCTCTATGTTCATTGTATTCTAGCTATGGGACATACGAAGAAAGGGCTGTATATTCACATATAAAGGCCATACAAACGGAGTAAATACAATAAGGTTTAGTCCTGATGGACGGTGGATTGCATCAGCTTCTGAAGACAGCACAGTCAAGGTATGTTGGAATAAATCAACAATTGTCATAAAATTAATTTTGTTTTGACGTAACTGTTTCTTTGGGTCTCAAAGAAGTACAATCTCCGTTGTTTGATAATGAACCCCTGGAATACCTTTCTCCTTAAAAAGCATGCAATTTATTTTTTGTATTTCATATAACTGCAGTGCATTATATCACCAATCAACGCATCCAAGGTCACTCCTTATGTGGTTGTCAAGGTGGCAACTTGACTCTTTAGATTGAAATTGATACTTTGCCAATTTGTACCTTACAAAAAGTTTCATTGAAAATATGTTCTTTTAGTAGTTTCTTAACATTTAAGCGACATGGTAGAGAATATTTTGCAATGTGTGAAAATAATTTGAGCCAAAGATTCAATGCATTGTGGAATGACCATTCCTTTCAGGCATTGTTTCCTAAAATATGCACATCTCGTTTAAATTTTGGAAAGCAGCACCTTCAAGGAATGGTCATTCCACATTGCACAGAGTCCAGAGTTTAAATCCTTAAATGTTGATCAATTTAAAGTAGCATTTTGCTGATAGGTTTAGGATTTTAAATTAAATCATGATGAATGTGTTCAAAGAATCGACGAATTCAGTTATGACTACATTGAAGTCAGTTTTCATTTTAAGCGAACAATAATACTTCAACGAAAGTATTGAACACCCAGGCATAATTATTCAAGTCTGACCTGCAATGCGTGTTCCTTCACTTTTGCAGATATGGGATCTCACTGCTGGCAAATTGTTGACAGATTTAAGGCAGCATTCTGCGTCTGTCACATGTTTAGAATTCCATCCCAATGAGTTCCTCATGGCAACAGGAAGCCTTGATGGGACTGCCAAATTTTGGGACCTTGAAGCATTCCATATGGTTGACTCAGTAGAGGCTGATGCTGGTGGTATAAGGTAGGTTAGATTTTTTTTAATTATTGCAACTGATTTATTCCAAAAATAAATATTTGGCATGTCAATTATGTGAAATCTTGGCCTAGAGTGGCCATCACTTAAATGTAGAAAAATCAGATTTTCAGCTCTTTCATGTACATGTATTTTATCAATTTGCTTGAAATTATATGGGTACATTAATTTCTAGATTCAATAATCTACAAGTTTTTGCAAAATATGTCCCAAAGTTTCAAAATGGCCAGTACTTTTATTGTGAGCCCAGTACACATGGTGCTATTCATTATATTATTTATATTATTATCCCATCGAACGAAAAGAAGTGGAGCGATTTTGTTCATATTTGGTATGTGAATACTATAAGCATGGCACACTGTCTATTTCTAATGACACTTTTGGTAGAAGGTGGCCATTTTGAAAAATGGCCGCCATTTTACGTATTTTACTATAACTCGAAAAAGTAGTGGAGCGATTTTGTTCATATTTGATATGTGAATACTATAAGCATGGCACATTGTCTAATAAAACTTTGGGGAGTACTCGACCATTTTGAAAAATGGCCACCATTTTTATGTGTGTTATTTTACAAGTACGTGTCGATTTTTCAAAAATTTTAGAGGTTCGATTTTTTTTAATTATTGCAACTGATTTATTCCAAAAATAAATATTTGACATGCCAATTATGTGAAATCTTGGCCTAGAGTGGCCATCACTTAAATGTAGAAAAATCAGGTTTTCAGCTCTTTCATGTACATGTATTTTATCAATTTGCTTGAAATTATATGGGTACATTAATTTCTAGATTCAATAATCTACAAGTTTCTGCAAAATATGTCCCAAAGTTTCAAAATGTCCAGTACTTTAATTGTGAGCCCAGTACCCATGGTGCTATTCATTATATTATTTATATTATTATCCCATCGAATGAAGTTCGGAGGGATATAGGGAACGCCTCCGTCCGTCCGTCAGTCCGTACGTACGTCCGTATGTGCCGATTTTACAGTAATTTTGGTGCAATATGTAAAACTGTAATAGCAATATGTTTTAAATGTAAAAAATTATAAAGGACATTAATAATGCTACAAATGTAGATATTAAAGAAGCGCATGGCAGCCATCTTGAAAAATGGCGGCCTTTACTCGTCATTTTACGATTTTTGCTGTAACACAAAAAATAGTGGAGCAATTTTGTTCATATTTGGTATGTGAATACTATAAGCATTGCACACTGTCTAAAGACACTTTTGGTAGAAAGCGGCCATTTTGAAAAATGGCAGCCATTTTAACGTATTTTACTATAACTCGAAAAGTAGTGGAGCGATTTTGTTCATATTTGGTATGTGAATACTATAAGCATGGCACACTGTCCTATGACACTTTAGGTAGAAGGTGGCCATTTTGAAAATTTTTTTGAAAAATGGCCGCCATTTTAACATATTTTACTATAACTAGTAGTAGTAGTGGAGCGATTTTGTTCATATTTGGTATGTGAATACTATAAGCATGGCACACTGTCTATTTCTAATGACACTTTTGGTAGAAGGTGGCCATTTTGAAAAATGGCCGCCATTTTGAAAAATGGCCGCCATTTTACGTATTTTACTATAACTCGAAAAAGTAGTGGAGCGATTTTGTTCATATTTGATATGTGAATACTGTAAGCATGGCACATTGTCTAATAAAACTTGGGGAGTACTCGGCCATTTTGAAAAATGGCCACCATTTTTATGTGTGTTATTTTACAAGTACGTGTGCGATTTTTCAAAAATTTTAGAGGTGGCTACTTAAAAGCATATTATTTCTTCTGATGACACCTTGGCTAGTGAGCAACCATTTTGAAAATGGTGGCCTTTCTGGTGTGTTGTTTTATGATATTTGCTATTCGTTTGTAAAAATGCCAGCCATCTCTGTTCGATGGAATTCGCTACGCTTTGGCGTTGCCGTTGTTCTGGTTGTCCTTATAAATAAATTCACTCTTATATAATCTGAGACATATTCTGATTACAATAAAGCTGTCAAGTCAAACACCTCTAGAAGTAGAACACCTTTGAAAATAGAACACCTTTGGAAGTAGAACACTTTTGGAAATAGAGTACTTTCCACAGTCTTCTGACCCATTGACAAGTTTTATTCAAACCTCTATACGTAGAACACTGCCAAAGTGGAACACTTCAAATGGAACCAAATGTATTCTACTTGACCACTTACATAATATGTTTTCCGCATGTAAATATTATTGTACTGTATTACATATGTTGTTTATATTTTAGGTGTATATGCTTCCACCCTGATGGTCAGTGTCTCTATGCTGGCAACTCAGACTGTTGTACAGTATTAGGGTGGGAACCTGGTACGAAATTTGACTCCGTGCCAGTTTCCTGGGGTAACATAGAATCCATAACAGTGGGTCAGAACCAACTGGTAAGGAACAAACCTACAGGCTGTCCATAAAGTCTGTTTACTATTACAATACAAAGTCTGTGTAAACTGTAAAGACACTTAGTGGACACCCTGTATTGTCTTCTTGTATATTTCATAATGACAATGACAATTTGTGGCTCTATGAAACCTTTATCCCTGTTAAAGTAGTTGTCAAGACACAGCTGAAGGATTTGGCATGTAATGAGACATTAGGCTGCTATGGATTTGATGGTTGCACCAGTCATTTGTTATTACATTTCACAACCTACCATGTCTTTTATATCTTCATTCCAACAAAACCCTTGTAAATTATTCCATGTGTCTAGTGAATCAATGTCCCTAATATACCTTGCTGAATCACAGCACTCTTGAAGTTGACCTGGTCTAATAAGCCGCATCATAAATCCAAGTGTCTATACATAAAAGGCTTGTCAAATTTTTTAGGAATAAGTGACATTTTTTCGATGAATATCTTTTAATTGGCATAAAACTCAGCGGGATAATAAACTCTTGGCAAATTTTGAAGGTAAGACCATTGCATTGATAATATCAATGCCACTGGACTATATATTAATTCTTTTAACATGGAAACCAAAATTACAAAGAGGAAATGGGTAATGAATATGATTTATGATTTGTACCTTTGAAGCAATATTTAAACACAAAGCAATTTGACAAAGATTGACCCTGTATTGATCTGCCATCTATATGCATGTCCTCATTCTAATCCACCATTTCATAGATATTCATTTACTTCATGATGATATTTCTGTTTCAGATTGGTGCTTCTACAAACCAGTCCAATGTGTCTACATATGTGGTAGACCTAAGTGTAAGTACTACAGTAAAACCAATATATCCAAACACCTCAGGGTCTAATCTGAACACCTCTCTAATCTGAACACCTCTCATTGTGAACACTTGTTTTCAGTAACATTTTTAATTTGTCATAGACATCCATGTTGAAAAAAAACACACCTGTGAACACCTGTAATCAGGAACACTTTGATCTGGTTCCAGTGGTGTTTGAATTGGACAGGCTATATGGTCCATTAAAATTACTCTCTATCAAAATAATGTTATATTATGTTCAGTATGAAAATATAGAATATTTGTAATTGGCTCACTAGTATCACAAAAGTAAACAAATACTGTATATTAAGATGATAATATGAAAAAAACTAGCAAAAATTGAAAAATGTTCCGTTATTCAAGATTATACATGTACATACATATGATTAATTCTACTCATTTTTCAGAAAACTAAACCAATAGGTGGCAGTGCACCTAATCAGCCATCACAAACCCCTCTCTCATCAAGGTGAGTGTAATTACTTATTCCCTACAAAAATATCACAGTCGTCATGCTTTGAATGGGAGAGATTGGAAAAGAGAATTTGACAAGAAAATGGCATTTAGCCTCAGGATAAAGGAAGTTTCTAAATCAGGTTCTAGATCCCTGAAATTCTTCCTAGAACTCTGCTCCCATGGTGACATATAATACTATGATATCCACCATTTAGACCATCTTGTCTGGCCCAACCATGGTCAGGTGATGTTTTTGTTACTGGATTTACTATTTTCTATTTGACCTCAAGTCCACTTTCATTTATTTAATTTGATTCGAGTAAATCTTTTATAACATTATGCAGGAGTTAACATATTCTAGTAGTTAGAGTGTGAATCTAAACTTTCTTCCTGTATTGAACTCTTGTGTGTTGTTGTCTAAACCCAGTGTGTTTCTTACAATAGTTATGCTTCAGTTTTATAGCTAGGAAAGTGAGATCTTTCACATAAAATCATGGTTCTGAGGGAATATCTATTAAATCAGAGATCAATAGTTTCTTTGACAAAATTGCAAGGAATTTCTGACATTAAGAATTTGGGTTCTGGTAGAAATATTTGGCAATTTTGATTTCGTGAAGAAAAAAATCGTAATACATAATATATGGATTAATAGCTTTGAAGAAAAAGGGACCCAATGTATCTGAAGAAACTGTAGAAAATATCAAGGATTTCTTTGTTTTGATAGATCCTTTTATTTTTAGACACATACATTTTTGTGGTAAACCCGGAGTGAAAAGCATAGAATAGATATTGTCTTATTGCTACAGAGCTGTTTGTTCAAAAGCCATTATTTAACACTATCCACTTTTGTTAGAGTTGACTTGAGTTTTTCTTTATCACACCCACCTCAATGTTATATCTTTTTCGATTACTTGCATACATATATCTATTGTCTTGCAGCCCGCCTTACAGCCGATTGGAGCTCCCATCTACCTCTTTGCAACGCTCCTCTAGCAACCCCACTGTCCACCGTTCCCCTAGTAACCCAATTGTACATACTTCATCACAATCTCATCACACCCAAAAGGTGCCATTTGCCAACATTCACAAGTCAGCATCCGCAACCAATGTGCAGTGTTCCTCAAATCCCCGCTCTCCTCCACGAAGCACCAAATCAAAAGTCAGACGATCAAATTCAGCTAATAAAGGTCAGATAGGTGCTTCAGGTTCAGGGAATGGAAACGATTCCCGTTTAAAACGAACTAATTCTGGCAATAAAGGTCAAATAGGGGGCAGCACTAGGGTTGTTCATTCACCAGTTATGGTACGTCGTCCTATTTCTCGTAATCCAATTGTTCCCGATAGTCCTTTAGGGCCAACTGGCAAGCCACCTATTCAACAATCCAGAACGTAAGTGGAGCTCTTCGAACAGGAGGTGGTGGGATACATTGTGCACGCAAACATCGTTTTTTCTTTGGTTAATGCATGAATGGTGTTGGTTCTCTTCTCTTATTTGTGCATGTGCTTTTGGTTATGTATTATTTTTAAAAATGCTTAATATATTTAATTTAGGGTGTGTAATTATTTGTTCCAACATATCCTTGACCCTAGTAAGTCTATGGATATGGTATACCTTTGCTTTGCACTCTTTCAGCTTTTAAATAGCCACTGTAAAGGCTGCAAAAATCAAATATTTCCCAGATTAACTACAGAACTATTTTCATATTATTTTGACAGAACTTGTGAAAAGTTGCTTGACACAATAAAATATTGTTTTTAGGGCTTTGTTATTATTAATTGTTCTCATTTTAGGATTTCCATTTTTACTAATGTCTCAGAATCACTCTTTTCTATATAAATGATCTATATAACCAAAGCACTAATTAATGAATCTCAACATTGTTTTTTAATGGTGTTCCTATGTACAGATAAATAAAGGAGTAAACCAAATTTGGGTTATGTACTAGAATGTCTTGGAGGTTTCTACGTTGAACACTCCAAGGATTGACATAGTACATCTTTACTGGTCAAGAAATTGGCAAATGTTCATTCCGATTTATGAAAATTGATCCAATCATTCACTGGCTGAGGGCAATTGTTCTGTGGTATCAGATTATTGAAGTGAGCCATCTCGGCTCTATAAGTACTCGTTTTTTGGTACCTTATAGTTGAGATTTTTATCCCAACGAACGAAGTTCGTTAGGGATATAGTGAAGCCCTCCGTCCGTCCGTCAGTCCGTCTGTCCGTCAGTCCGTCTGTCTGTCTGGAAGATAACTCAAATACTAGTTAACAGATTTTCTTCATATTTAGTGGAAAGATGTATATTGGTGAATAGTTTTACGCAAAAAAAAATCTTTTCAAGATGGCCACCGCTTTAAAAATGACGGGACTTTTTTGCAAAAATCATAAATTTTTCATTCTAAACCAAAGTAATTAATATTATTGTTTGAAATGTTGGTAGTGTATTCACAACTTTTATCTATTTCACATATATTCCGTGTTTTTCATCCTGACCCCCAGGGGCCATGTATGGGGGGACAGGAAAACAGAAATTTTTGCTAATTTTTAGATCTTTCTGAAATATAGCTTTATTATACTCAAATGAAAGGCAATTAAGAGTAGATTGCAAATATTGTATCTTTTTTCTGATTCGAGCCTCGTAAAATTCAAAATGGCCGTCTAATGTACGATTTCGCAATAATTTTTCGATCCCTTCAAAGTATGGCTATATTATACTTAAATTGAAGGAATTTTGGAGTAGATCACAATTATGGTATTATTCTTCAGATTTGTACCTCAGAAAATACAAAATGGCTGCTTTGCAGGAATTCGCAATTCTAAAATCAAATTTTTTCATTTTCAACCAAAGTAATGAGTTTAATTGATTGGAATTCGGTAATTGATATTTTGTTCGTTGGGATTTGCTACTCCGCGGAGTTGCCGTTATCTAGTTGAGTCCTGTAAATAAAATGAAACTTTGATATTTTAAACATTGATTTTTAACATTGTAAATCTGACTTTATCATCATTATTTTGCTTGAAAAGACCCATTGGGCTAATAAACATGTTTTTTGTATTTGCAGTGGTCGTAAAAGTTTTGCAGAAAGACCTCCTACGCAGAGCACAAAGCAAGCGTAAGTATTCACCAAATATCTTATTGTGTAAACAATAAAAATGCTTGTTTACGTCTATGACAAATTTCGTTATGAATTCTTAACTATACCTCTATATGTTACATGGTGCATTTATATACAGTATAATAATTATATTAAATAGTGCATTTCTATCCAGTTTCTGGATATATCATATTTCAAATCAAATGTTACAGAAAGCCAAAGGAGGAACCCTTAGAACATGCACAACCAGAGGAAGATCCTGCCGAAGATGATACATCAACTGCCGATATTCAAAATGAGGCTGACTATCGAGAGATCTTTCAACCTAAAAGTAGGAAAGCGATTGGTGTGTAGTGCTATTTACTAACAATATTTGAATGAGTTTGATTTTTGCTTTAAATTGAAATTTTAGTTTTCTTTATTAGCGATGCATCAAATTATATGTAGTTTGAATTTGAAAAACTAATATCAGCTTGGAGAATTTTGTTTGATGACATGTCTTTTGGCTTGTGATACTAAATCCTAGGTGTGGTATGTTTGCTGATTTATTAATCCTCAACTTAGGTATCAATTTAAAATGAAAATCATTTAAAAAAATTAAAAATCAACTCTACAATTTCAAAAGAATTTTGATTTCAATGAATATTTACTAATATATTAGTTTTAGTAAATATGTTATTATTGCATGGCAAACTACACTAGTCTTGAGAATGTTATTCCATGATATCAGTACATGTTTTTGACTATAGAGTGTGCTGCATGTTCCTGTGCATTTTGTTACAGATCGAGACTCAAACAAGAAAGTTGAACCATTCTCTCCACCTGATGAAGGTACTTTTTGCTTAATACACATATTGTAAATTAAATGAATCTGGTTAATACGTTTGTACTCCAATGTTTATATACAAGGTGACCCAAAATGTGCAATCCTCTTTTCTTGGAATAACCTAATTTTGGTGTAATGTTCGTGAATTTTCCGGTGTCATTGGGATGTTCAATGTTATAGTGAAGTGTTAAACCTATATTGCATCTTCATCCTAAAGGTTTAGAGAAATCATGATTTCTGTCCAGTCAGGTTGTGGTACCAAGTAAAGTGTCATGTTTGAATTCCATCAATTTATCATAATGGGATGTATTGCATTTACAATACATAGAATCTGAAACAGTAAATTACATCTAAATACAAGTAAATGCAACAAGTCAATACAAATACCAACTCAAGTTTAATTGCAATTATTTTAAAAATATGATTTGATTCTGTTCTAGGGGTTCATGCTACAAAACCGTCCTCTGCCAACCCAGGCGCTACTAAAGTCATTCCTGCAAGTCGACATGAGCCAGCTGGGCTTAACATGGACGATTTCCTTCCTGTAAGTGAAGTCTCCAGTGTTTTCCAATAAATTCTCACTTGCTTAATTTTATTATTCATTGTTTGTCAATAACAAAAAAAGAGTTGAAAGTATTGAAGGTAAACATGCCCAATTTTTGAAAGATTGCACTTTAAGAGTTTTTATCTAGTTTGACATAAAAAATTTCACAATTGTGATTTTGATTTGCAGAAACAAGCCCAGAATGCAGCTGGTGGGGTTGCTAAGAAACCAAATGTGTCAGAAATTGATGCGTTGAATCTGATTGGTCGAGGCCATGACTCCATGATGGCTGTAATGTCAAGTCGGCAGCGGAATCTTCAAATTGTACGAGCACTTTGGACAGGCGGGAATATAAAGGTGAGTGATGATTGTTAAAATTCTAGGTTATCGATAATCCAAAGTTTACCAAATGGATCACGAGTCTTCATGATAAATCTTCTATTTAATGTTTTAAGTGAGGGGATGTGATGCGACTGATGTCTCTTCTGTTAATTCATAATATAAGTGTTTACATTGTATTCCTAAATTCAATGGTAAGCTCGCCTTAAATGATCCCCTCACCCTGATGGACATCCCAATTCATTTAACCCAAATAAAACTTTTTGATTCAGAGATATATGTCAGAGGCATATGTCACTCTACAATCATTTCAATTTTGAACTGTTCATTTACATGCAAAGACTTAACAAAGATACCCTTTTCAGACTGCAGTTGACAGTGCTATAGGCATGAATGACCAGGCAGTTGTAGTAGATGTCCTTAATATTCTATGTGCTAAAAGGTAAAGAATCATTTTTATTATGAATTAACTAGTTATGTCACAACCATGCTGAAAACTTTTTTGTGGCTGCAGTTGGTCTGTATCAAATGGCAGGTGGTGACATTTTGCGTGTTAATGCCTTGTTATTTTTTACAACATGTATATTATTTGACAAAATTCTGGATACTATGATTGAACAGCACTGAAATCTCATAATATGAAAAACCAACATGCCATTTTAGGAGACACATGTTTTCATCAGGATAAACCCTGTATCCAAAACCTCCCAGTGCAATCATAATCCTTATATATATTTCAGCAATCTTTGGAGCCTGGATATGTGTGCTCTACTCCTGCCCCAATTGAAAGATCTCTTAGGAAGTAAATATGAAAAGTAAGTGAACTAGAAATTGGCTTATACCAAGATGTGAAAGTTTTATTTATTTTGCCATTCTCGGACACAAGCTACATAGTACATACATCATGTGTAAATTTAGTGTGAATAGATCCTTTCTACACATTAATAACATAATTTTATTTTTGTGAAAAATTCCTTGACATATTATCCTGTCACTCTAAGCCTCAAAGTCATTTCTTTAGTGACAAGAAATCATGGATCGTCAATATGTTGAAATTATGTCTTTATTTAGGACACAACATTTGGTGTTCCAAACATCCCCATGATATGATTTTAGACACTATTTTTAATAGCATCCAATGCAGATCTTTCAAAACTGACCAGACTTGGAGAATGTGTATTAATACAACTTATAATTTATCTATTTTAAATGGACTTTCATAAACATGAAATAAAAGAGTTCTAAATTAAGTAAACGAACATGGAGTAAATGATAAATATGTAAATTTATGCACATTTAAAAATCATTAATAAAATAAGATTTATGTGATATCAGTTTTGTTCTGTAACTTCAGCTATGTACAGACAACCTGTATGTCTCTTCGTACCATCTTGAAGAACTTTGGACCTGTGATAAAATCAAATGTTACTGCAGCACCAGCTGGTGGTGGTGTGGATATATCTCGGGAGGAAAGGTAGGAGGAAGTTGCATTTCCCTACAGTAATGACTACTGCATCATAACCTTAAACACTCTGTTTTAACTCTTAAAGGAAATAGAGGAGAGATTAAGTTTGAAATTTCACAACTTGAACATGTTTTGAGTCTTCAAAATTCCACGGCATACCTATTTTCTAATAAAAAGTTCTGACTTTTTTTCAGGATAATTCTTCGATTTTTAATGTTTAGGGTATTTGGCAAAAATGCTGAAGTGAACATCTCTAATGATGGATTTCAAGGAAAACATTGGCACGCTTTCTGGATATTTTTTTTAATAGTTTACAATGTCTATTCCTTCTTTATCTTCTTTATGTGTGCTGAAATAATTGAAACAGTTCTATACTGTATCAAATGAACATTCATTACATTACATTTTATTTTCAGGTACCAAAAATGTAACACCTGCTACGGATATCTCATGGCCATCCGGGCAGTTATCGACAAAAAAGCGTCAACTTCTGGAAAAATGAGCAGCACATTTAGAGAAATTCAACTCCTTTTGGGTACATTGGATTAACATGTGCTATTGACATTAGGATTATATTTAAATTATCATCAATTCTATACATGACTTTTGGATTATACATAAGAGTCGTGCGTTTGATAATAAATAGACTGTTAGTGTGTCAGATGCGTCATAATGACTTTAGACTGACTGCTTAAAGTTGGATTATGGGCCAGTTGTCAGTCGAGTTTTTTCTGATATACATGTTGAAAAAGTCAGCTGAACCATATCAAATTTTACTGGCTGTGAATGTCTGGACAGGCGATTATGTCGCATTTTGCGTGTGTTTGCGTGTGATATTCGGAGCAACTGCTGGATCTGAAAAATTGGACTGTGTGCTGGTCATCAGTAATTGGAAGGTGTATTATAGAAGAGCTCCTATGCAATGCCAAGTAGGTCTTGTAGTTAAGCATATTGAGAGTTTGGTGTTGCCATGGAAACCATCACCAAAATCTCTTGTTTGTTAAATAAAGTTGACTTAACAAGATGTTTTGAATGTGTTATTATTTTAAGATAGGTAAGTTACTAACTTGTGAATAAAGATGTCATTGGGGTCAATTCAAATCCAAAGTAAGAGAGTAGAAATTAGCAAGGAGTATACTGTTATATCAATGTCTGTCAAATTCAGTCGACTTTTCTTTTATGGGGTAGGACAAGGGTTATTATATCTTAGCCTATAATATGATGTTGTTTAATTTTGTAACATACAAATCAAATGAAGATGTTTTGAAATCTCTATTGGGATTTGGTAAAAAAAAGGGAGGTGCTCCAAAATATAGGTCTTACTTTAGATTACAAAAATATAGCTGTTCTTAAAGAACATTCCTGAAGGAAACAACTGAAGCCAATAATCCAGTTAACCTGATCTATGATAGAAACTACAGATGGACCTTGATTTTATATTAAACTTGACGTATGACATTTTTCTTCTCTAGTGTAACAATGGCTCTGATCTTTAATGTAATAACAACAATCCTGCCTGATGAATTCAATAATTGAATTTATGTCCCAATGCTCAAATTTCTGGAATTAAATTCATGAATATATGCATGGAATGAATGTGATACATATAAGACAATTTTCAAATCATTTTTGTCCATTTTTAAAATGATATTTTCATATTGCAGTGCATGAAAAAAAGTCCTGCACATTTTCGCATCAATGTTATAAATGTACGTACTGTTCACTTTATTTTCTATAATCTGTTTTTTTATACTTTGAAATGTTTGATTTTCCAGAAAACTTGATTTTCCTTTTCCAACATTTTCATATTAAAAAAGATCTCAGGATTGTGGTGCCCTCTTTTTAAACAGTGGGGAACTAAACAGTTTAAATTGCTAAATTATTTCATTTCTTCGTGAGCTGAATTTAATTTTCAAGCTCAAGTTCATTTTAATTCAATAGTTGTCCTTAAGAGCCATAAAACGGGTGACTAATGTATGGCATTAAAAATGTTAATGCATTTGAATGCATTCGCTAATAGACTCAATGATTTTGAAAAGTGAAATTTAAAACAGATGAAATTTTCTAATTAATCATTTTGTAAATTCAAATTCTTAATTAATAAACACATCTATTGAGATTTTTTCCCCAAATGGTTTTAATTTTATACTTCACTTCATCAATATATTCTCGCTCTTCAGTTTGATTTTATTTTTACGAATATTTAACACTTCAAAGTAACTTTATACTTTAAATCTGTTAAAATAGAAAAAGAATTGTAGGGAAATAGAAATCAACCTTAAAAAATAATGTCACTTGTAAAATGTTAAGCACTTGTAAAATTTGAACTAATCTTGTTTCTTGCAAGTTTTGCCAACATTTTAAAATAGGAAATTCAAAACAAAACCCTATTCCGAAATGAAATTACTTTAATTTGAATTACTGTAATCATTTGTATGTCATCTCTCATAGACTCCTAATAGTCCATAATATACAAGTTCAATATTTTATGTTGAATTGAAATAGATTAAGGTAAATATGTTATTAAAAGATCATTAAAAGTTTACATCACTAAATAATTTGAACTGCTTCAGGTGTGATGGATGTATTGTATTGATACAATGCTTTTTCCTAATTGTTTTCTTTCTTTGAATACAAAAAAAATCATCCTAAATTGTATTCATTGAAGAAAAATATGGAAATGAAGCATATAACTTTTGTTTGATTGTTGAAGATTTTGTTTGTTATTTGAATATTTATTTGTGCATGTTAGATAAATATCATATTAAATAATTTATAATATATGTATATTGTATATTTGAATCACAGACTGCCAATAATATGTAAGATAATTGTAGATATATTGTATTGTATATATGTTGTACAATTGTATTGAACTGCTTTGTGGACAACAACCACCATTGTCACTGATGTAGAAATTCACCATGGTAACCATCTCATGTGTTAACTTTATCAATCAGATCATCCTTTCAGTTCTATAAAATCATAATTTAAGATATAGATAAAATGTAAGTTATAAGCAGTTATACGTATTATTATTTGAATCAAATGTGTGACATTTCCTTCTTAAATGACAAATCAAATTTCTGCATTGATTTCAGTTATACTTTTTAGATTTCATATCCCTCAACGAGTCAACATGTATGAACCCGATAGTTGATAGTTAAATTAAGCTTGAAAAGATCTCACCCTGAAGATATCAATCAAGTCTTTAAAAAGTATTTTCACAAAAACATGAATTTGATGTGTATGACATTGATTTAACACATTTGCAATTTTGAATGTTTCATTTAGCATTAAACACTGTTTATATTAATAGAACATATCTCAGTAAAAAATGCTTACATTTCACTGATAGGAGCTTTTGTATACTTTTTAAGATAGTGTTTTAATGGTAGAAGAGTGATTGAGACCAGATGAAAGGTTAAGTGTTAAAATTTGTACGCCCAATGCGATTATGAAGAAAAAAAATATATTGAATAATATTTGTAAAAAGTTTTTATGTTGTTTTAGATAATACGTATTAAAAGCTGTAATGAAGAAAAAGATAACCAACTTGTGTCTAACCTAAGATTAGTGAACATAATTTGTAACTTAAAATTATAAGTTTGAAAATGATTGGTAGTTTTATTCTGGCAAAACAATAGCTATTGAGTTACAGCATGCATTATAAATGAAGCAAAAAATAATAGAATAACACTTCGTCATGAAAGAGTTACAAAGAACAAATAAAACAGAAAAAAACATTGATTGTTGGTGTGAAATAAATGCCTTGATATTTTCTGTGATTAAAGCAGTCTTGACCACATTTGAGCGTCCATGCAGCGTTCAGGACATGGTTTAATTATGTGGTACGCAACCACGACCTTCATGTAGCATCTGGCTTACTATTATTCTGTCATATTTCCCTCTCTAGATTACCAATAAACTTTTTTGCATTTTTTATGAAAGATTTTATGCCTCGGGAAAGTTTTCAAAAAATTGCAATCTGGTTCTTATGGAGCAATTATGGGAAAAGCCTGGTATCTAATTTATAGAAGTTGAGTGTTGAATAAAGCGGGCTAAGGGCAATATCTGAATGACTATAGTGATAAAGTAGTCATTTTCAGATGTATTTTCTTTTTTCCATGGAATCATGTTGCATGATACACCCCCCCTCCCACCATAAGTTTGGCAATTAGACGTCCCCATTGAAATAGCATGGTTCATGATTGAATCTTAACATTGTTACTCAGTTGCAATAGATCTGAAATTCATCATAATTTTCATTAAGGTTGCCTAACATAAAAGGAAACTATTTACTATGGCAGTACCTTGTATGAATTTTGTATGAGTATTACTGAATGAATTTTAGGAGTGCGTTACTGGAGATATCCTTGTGTTGAATAACTGGAAGCGTTCCAGGGGTCCATCAATAAAACAATTCTAAGTATACAAGCATGTACTAAATTAAGAAATAATAGGAATGAATTCTTGGAATCATTTTAGGGGAGCATTACTGCGAAAGTAATAAGATGAGCGCTTGAAGCATTCTTGTTGCATTTACAAAACGTCAATGTCACATGCCCACACTCACGTGTGGCAATCTTTATTTATATTACATCGAAAATAGAATTGTAAGGTGAAAGAGCCAGTAAAGCCACATTTCATTAAGTCTATATCATTCTCTAGTTGAGGTAGATGCACAAAGTTTGTATTGATCATGAAAATGTCAATTTTGATGGAGAATTGTGTCACATTTTGAATTATTCCAGGTAGCCATACTCTCACCATAGCAACCATAAATTGTTATTGCACTTTGAAAAAGTGTATATAAATAAGTGCCATTTTGCTTTTTAACTCTGTTGACCAACACTGAGATATTTCGTCTATGAAATCATAATGGCATGTGACCACTCCGAGATATCTTGGGGTGCTGTCCAGTAATTGTTACATAATCTGTACCGGTTATCCTATCAAATATTCTAGTGGTCACTAGGGGAATCTGGTGCAATTGAAATATATTGTCATTGGCTTCACAAATGGCATATACATAGCACATAGTAAAGTGTTTTAGCAAATAAATAAATAAAAAGAAAATAGGGTGTTGATACAGTCTATTTTATGCTAATGTGAAAACATGCAATTTTGCTTAATTTTCCATCAAACTTGCCAGCCACCAGCAGAAAACCTCCAAAAGTAGCTTTGGCCAGCAATGAGTTAAAGTAAAATATTTACCACTGTGGCATTCTAATGATTGCAAATATATTTGGATGAGGCAAAATTATATCACATAAAAATTTTTCAAGTTTTAATGAAGTGCTTTAAGTTTACTAACACTTACTATAATTCTTGTACACCCTGTACTTCACCATCAGTTACTGTAATTTTCAGCAACCTTGTAATTTACCACCTGTTACTGTTATTCTTAGACACCCTGTAATTCATCATCAGTTACTTTCATTTTCAGACACCCTGTAATTCACCACCAGTTACTGTCATTCTTGGACACCCTGTATTTCAGCACTAGTTACTGTTTTCTCAGACACCCTGTAATTCACCACCAGTTACTGTAATTTTCAGCTACCTTTTAATTTACCACCAGTTACTGTCATTCTTGGACACCCTGTAGATAACCACTAGTTACTGTCATTCTTGGACACCCTGTAGTTAACCACCAGTTACTGTCATTCTTGAACACCCTGTAGTTAACCACCAGTTACTGTCA